GGTACAATTCAACTCGTGGTGCACACCTTTAATCCCACCCAGAACTCAGGAGGCAAAGGCACTTGGATCTCTGAGTTTGAGGTCAGCCTGATTTATAGAGTGAGAAACCCAGTCTTGAAAAACCCAGAAAGAAAGAAAGAACGAAAGAAAGAAAGAAAGAAAGAAAGAGAGAAAGAGAGAAAGAAAGAAAGGAAAGGAGAGGGGGCAGGAGCATGAGGCAGAAATTATATCAACAGTAAGGAAGAAGAGGAGGAGGAGGAGTGGAGGAACCAGGAGGAAGGGGAAGAGGAGTAGAGGGAGGAGGAGGAGGAAGAGGAGGACAGGGGAAGAAGAGGAGGGCCAGGAGAAGGAAGAGATGGTACTTGGCTCACTTTCTCCCTACTTGGTTCCCAACTCCAGCCCTTGAGGATGGTGCCATCCACATTCCTGGTGGTTCCTCCCCGCTTTGTTAAACCTTTCTGGGGGCATCTTCAGACTCAGAGGCGAGTCTCCACGCCGATGCTGATGCTGAACCCAACACACCTGTCACTGCCCGCATCTTCCCCTCTAGGGGATGTGGATGGAGCTCATGGCAACACTCTCTCCCGTTTTCATGAGAGTGCTCAGACTGGGGGATGTGGAGATGCTGCAGATACCAAGGCTCAGACTGAGTTCATTTAAACTATACACCACCTGGCTGCCTCACGCTGCCTCTCGGGGTCTCAGCCTGTCAGTTTGTCACGGAGGGCACCTGACAGCTTCTCCCTGTACTCCTGAGAATCTAGGATGCTTCCTCCTGTTATCCCTCTCATAACGCCTATATTCCTCAAAAATGTCACCCCAGAGGCTGGGATGCCGGTCAGTTGGTAGAGTGCTTGCCTAGCATTCATAAAGCCCTGGCTTCCATCCTCAGCATTGCATAGACAAGCATGGCGGTATGGACCTGTAATTCCAGCACTGGAGGTGGGGGTGGGAATTGGGAGTTCAAGGTCATCCTCACTACATAATGAGTTCAAGGCCAGCCTGGGCTACATGAGACCCTGTCTCAAAGGAAAAACAAAACATCATCCTGTCCAACTGTCTGTGTGTGTACTAGTCTTTTGCCAGCACCATGTGAGTTCTAGCCCAGGGTGGGTGGGCCCAAATCTGTTTTTTCCAACACTCCGTGGCAGGGACCTAACTCAGAGCTGAGCAAAATCACTGTTATCCAGGTAGTAAGCACCCTACTTGGGTTCATTCCTGCCCCATCTGTAAACTCCCTGTTGTCCTTGGCTCCAACTCACTCTCTCAACTTACAGCCAGAGATGTTTCTCTTAGCTAGGATGGGGATGACTATCTGACCCTGGGAGATCAATAGTTGTCATCCCCTGCTTCAGCATTGTGGCCATCAAGCCTAGGGACCACTTTATTTGGTTAAAGATGAAGGGTGACAGGGCTTTTCCTCAGCATCCTGCTCTGGGACCCCAGCACCCAGTGGCCTCATGGAAGAAATGGTAGTCACAGGGCTGTGATGTCTGCAGTGACACTGTCACAGACCTAGGATGGGTACATATAATGGTGTGGACACAGGGGTCTCGCCACCTTTCATGCAGCTTACTACGGCTCTCCATGTCATATCCAGCCTGACATTGGCATTTCCAGATCCTCTTTTGGCCTCTGCAGGCACCAGGCATGCCCGTAGTACGTGTATACCAGGCAACGCTCATGCTATAAATTAAAACTAATGAATCTTTTTGGAAAAGATGATAGTGGTAGGGTACAGTCCATGAAGGCAGGGAGTGTATGGTAACATGGATGGCTTATGGGTGCATCAGCATGTATGTGAGGCTGCTTTGCTTACGTCTGGATGGACCCGAAGGCACTGAGTGATTTTCCTGTGTTTCCCTTTTCATTCACTCTGAGACCTTAGTCCATAGGATGGTGCCATCCACATTCAAGGTGGCTCTTCTCCCAGTTAAGCATCTTTGAAAACATCCTCATAGATACACCCAGAGGTGTGGCTCTTAGGTGTTTTAAACTCAGTCAAGTTGACAGTGAAGACTGTAAGGAGATGGAAAGGGACCCTGACAGTCAGGAGCCAAGGAATACCACAAAGTCACTGTAAGCATAGCAGCTTATAGCCCAATGTAACAATTCTGCCCCTGTTCCACTCACATCCGGTGAAATGTTAAGCTCTGCTTTAAGGGAAAGTTTCCCCAGCCAAAGTGTTACAGCTCTGCTCAGGTCCCACCGACTCTGTAACTAGGGGGAAGGTTTCTCCCAGCAAAAGTGTTACAGTTCTGCTCAGATCCCACAGACTCTGTAACTAGGGGGAAGGTTTCTCCCAGCAAAAGTGTTACAGCTCTGCTCAGGTCCCACCGACTCTGTAACTAGGGGGAAGGTTTCTCCCAGCAAAAGTGTTACAGTTCTGCTCAGCTCAGTTCTGGGTCCAGATAGAGTTGTTACTTCTCTGTTCTGCTCCTCTCCTGTGAAAGGTCATCACCCAAACCTCATTCAAGAGAGTTACTATTAGAGAAGAATCCAGGATGGTGGCAGTGGCAAACTGAGCAGGGTACAGAGCTTATATAGGGTTTCTTGAAGCGGGGGACTGGCAGAGATTTCTAGGGTGCCTTGGAATTAGTGAGTTTTTCTGCTCAGAGATTGGGATTTAGTGCTCAGGGAACTCAGGGATTAGTGGGACTTCAATCCCTGCTCCCAAGTCAGGGTAGGCTGTTTTCCCCGGGCCTCTTTCACCCTGCAAAGATCCACAGCCACAGAGGGAATGGACAACAGCTTCCAGGTGCTTAAGACAAAGGAGGTCGATGCAATAAAGCTGGCAACGGGGACACCACGTGCACAGAGCTCCCCAGCCCCTTATCCAGCATGGTGTGCAGGCTTTTTTCTTCCCACAGTCTGTTCTAGAATGCCATCCTATCACAGTGGTACCCTCTGTGCCCACGGGAAAGCATTTTCAGGTCCTAGCAGGTGGCCTGTTCTTGCAAGCACAAAACAAAGGCCAGTGTTCCAGAATAGCAAAAGAATGTTCTTCTGCCTTGAACACACAGTGTCAGCCCCTCAGAGGGGCTCATCAGTGCCCAAGTCAACAAGTAGCTGTCTCCCCCCACCCCCAGAGCGCTGCATTTGGTTGATTTGGCTCTCCAAATCAGGTTTCTGCACCCTAACTGCATCTCATTTTGTTTGCTTGTGAGCGAGTCTCTTGTAGCCTAGGGTGGCCTTAAACTTGTTATGTAGCTAAGGATGACTGATGTCTGGCTCCTCTCCTCTTCCTTCTGAGTGCGGGGATTTCTGGTGTGCCACCCACCCCCTCGTTTCTGCAGGGCTGGGGACTGAATCCAGAACGGAGGCAGGCACTACCCCAGCCATTTACTGACATTTTGGACAAGACCATTCTTTGTGGTAGGGGTCTAGAATCCTGGGAACCCTAGAATGCTGAACAGTATAGCACCCATGCCCTTCTGTGTGAAATGCCAGGAATAACTCACTTACCAGGTGTATTAACTCAAAATGTCCCAGATGTTGCCAAATGTCCCAATAGGGCAAAAATCCACCCCACAGAGAATCACATTTTCAATAAGAGAGTCCCGTAAGGCGGCATGGCTGGTCTCTATGTCTCTATGTCTCTATGTCGCCTTCTATCCTCTTGCAGTGAGGAGCCTTCTGCTTCCTCCAGTCCCCTGTGCCTGCTGTCTGAACATAGCAGCAGGCAGGGAGTAGGGCCCAGCTGAGCCCACTCTGGAGGCTGGAAGGAGGAGCTCCGAGTGCAGAGTGTGTGATATACACTTAGGGATCACGGACAAGCCTGAGCTGAACTCTACCGTTTGCTTTTTCGAGACCCAGCTCCTCCTCCGGCTCTCTGTCACCTGCCACACTGGTGGTGTGTGAGTGGAAAATGGTGAGGCCCTCCCTGGAGCCCTGTGAAGATCTAACCCTCAATAAACATGAACATGACTACTGACATCAGAGTCATGCCAAATGTAGCAACTCGATGTCCCCTCACTGTCTGGGGCAAAAGGAATGGCCCGTGTCTTCCCTACACAAAATATCCAAACTCTAGTGTGTGGAAGTCAACTTTAATGTTGAGGTCCATATTCATCTTATTTTGAAATACATTCTCTCACTGAACCTAGATCTCACTGATTCATCTAGGCTGGCTAGGCAAGGAGCCCCAAGGAGCTGCCTGCCTCCACCTCCCTAGTGCTGGGATCACAAGTACTTGGCATCATGCCTGGCTTCGTACAGGGTCCTGGGGGATCAACCCCAGGTCCTCATGCACAGCAAGAATTGTACGACTGAGCTAGTTAGTTCCCTGCCCTACCTTTTTGAGACAGTGTTTCTCTATGTAGCCCTGTCCTGGAGCTCACTTTGTAGACCAGACTGGCCTTGAATTCACAGAGATCTGCCTACCTCTGCCTTCCAAGTGCTGGGATCAAAGATGTGTGCCACAATGCCCAGCCAATGACGTTCTTTTTGTTTGTTTGTTTGTTTTTGTTTTTGTTTTTTTTGGTTTTTCGAGACAGGGTTTCTCTGCATTGTTTTGGAGGCTGTCCTGGAACTCACTTTGTAGACCAGGCTGGCCTCGAACTCACAGAGATCCGCCTGCCTCTGCCTCCCAAGTGCTGGGATTAAAGGCGTGTGCCACCAACGCCCGGCTGCCAATGACGTTCTTAATGCAGGCACTTTAAATCTCTGCTGACAGCCACAGACCCTCTGGGACTTTGTATGGGTATGGAACTGGCTCTGAGGTGGCCTCTACCACTACTGTATGGAGCCGTGACTTTGGGACCCACGCCGGTGCCTACCCCCAAAGGGCCTACTGCTCTGCATAGTTCTTGGCCCACAATCAATTGCCCCATGCTCTGGTCCCTGCTCCACTCCTCAGCTGCCGTGACCAGGTAACTCTCCTAGAGCCTCAGTTTCCTCTTTGGTAAGACAGGGACTGAGAAACACAAACATTCCAGGAACTTTGGAAGGATTGTAGGAGATCAATGAGAGGCCCCAAGTGTGGGATTCATGACAAACACTGCTGTTATCACTGATTTAATTTGCATAAGATGCATAACAATAAAAAATATGCATGGACAAGGAGAGCCAGGATCACCCTACCTACTCTCTCGTAGACCGCCCTCACGTGGCTGCATGCCAAGATACCCCTTGGGGTTGCTTGGAAGGCACTGGAGAGGAGGACAAGACTTTTGTTCCTGTTACAAAGTAGGTGAGGGGGCGGAGAAGGCAAAAGAAACTTGCCCCTCTGTAGGTGTTCCGGAGGCCCCTGTACCATGGGGCAAGCTCAGCTGAGCTCTGGGAGTTTCTAGAGAAAGGCATTGGTAACTACTGATCGGAGATCCTGTGATGGGCAGAATGGAGTCTAACTGAAGGTCCCATGTGTCCTGAGCCAGAGAGAGCCACAGAGTGGCTGAGGCTGGGGGAGCTATCGCAGGGATAAGTCCTATCCCTTCCCCCCAGAGAAAGGCACACACTTGGGGCTCGGCCCGGGTGGGGGCTAGTGATTTGTCCTTGATCTCCCCACCAAAAATTGTCCAAGAAGGAAACTCAGCTTCCACTTGTCAGAAGGGGTGGCATCAAGGCGGCGGCCAGCAAGGGACACAAAGGGACAGCGCCGTGGGCAGACGCTGCCCTAGGTGGACACATCTTCTCTCTCTTCACCCCCCACGTCTTCACCCGTGTCTTCTTCCTCTCCGATAACTTCTCCCAACATTTCCTCTCCACCGTCTGTCTCTACACTTGCCTTTTTCTTTTGAAGCAAAAACAGAAATGCTGGTGAGGGGCAGGCCCTCCCTGATTCACTGAGATAAAACCCCAAAGGCCAAGGGCAGGGAGCTGCCAGGAGCCCAGAGAGTAAGTCCCTAGGCGCCCGTGGTGTCCACTCCAAGCTGGCCCAGCAAGGGCCCAGACCCATGGGATGGAGGAGGCAGGTGAGACTTTGGGAAACTGTGAGCCCGGCTTCTACCACTTGCAGTGTGGGCAACCTTGAGCCTGCTCTGCATGGGGTACCTGGATGTAGGCATGACGCCTGGAGGGCTGGGCTTAGAGGTAAGAGTGAAGGAAGAAAGTGTATAGGGACAGCATCCATCCACCCCCACTTTCATTCTTTTGAGAGGAACTCTTGCAACATAACAGACGTTGGCCTCAAATTCTGGGTTTTCTGGCTCGGGTTCCCTGCAGTGCTCAGGTTACAGGTATGGGTTATTCGTCCTCGCTTCCGAGTGATGCTCTCTGACCCCCAATTTCAGGCTAACTACAAGTACTAAGAGAGGAGGAGGTATTGCGTGGGCAGGAGAGGGGTTGAATCTGTGAGCCTCAACACTTTCTCTAGGACAGCTTCATCTAGAATGTTTAAAGGTTGCAAGAAAAGCACTCCAGGAGGTAGCACACCGAGCACACGCCTCCTGGTCCCATGACACTGTAATCTTTGCCTTCTGAAGAATGGGGTGGACCAGGAGTGACAGATGGGAAGAGCCTGGGGCTTCAGACCAGAGAGACAGGACTCTAGTCCAGCCTGTGCTATAAATGGGGGCTCCCCTCCCCACCCACAGCATGGCTCTCAGCCAAGGGCTGTCCAAATACGAGTTACATCACCAAAATCACTCCCTGTCCTCAAGCAGTGGGAGGGAACAGCAAGTGTCTCCAGGCAGAAGGAGGTGCTGGGGAGATGGTTCAGGGGTTAAGACTCGCTGCTCTTGAAGATAATCTGCATTCAGTTCCAGAACCCATGTCAGGCGGCTCATAACCACCTCTAACTCCATCTCCAGGGGATCCGAGACCCTCCTCACGTGACGTTACCCTCCTGCCTGAGTCTGTATAAGTGAGCATTGCAGGTGCTCATGACCCCACCGGGTTTATGGTTTGATATTGAACATGGAAGCCAGAGCTTCATGAATGCCAGACAAGCAGTCTATCAACTGAGCTGCACCCTAGGCCCCTCTAAATAATTCTTATATTTATTCAGGGTGTGCGTGTGCATAGGCGTGTGTGTGTGCATGTGCGTGTGCATGTGCATAGACGTGTGTGTGCATGTGTGTGTGCATGTGCTGTGTGTGCGCATGCGTGTGTGCGTGTGCATAGGCGTGTGTGTGCATGTGTGTGCATGTGCATAGGCGTGTGTGTGTGCATGTGCGTGCATGCGTGCGTGCGTGTGTGTGTGCCTGTGTGTGTGTGTCTGTGTGTGTGTCTGTGTGTCTGTGTGTGTGTGGGCACTTATGTGACCATGCACATGACCTGAGTTCCACAGCATCCCTGGGGTAGTCAGAAGACAACTTGTGGGAGTTGGTTCTCTGTTTCCACCATGTGGGTCCCCAGGAATCAAACTCAGATCATCAGGCTTGTAGTAAGTGGCCTTTACCCATAAAGCCATCTTGTTAACTCCACTAAATACTTCTATTTCTTTATTTTGAATGTGTGTTTTGCTTGCACGTATGTCAGAGTACCACATGTATGTCTGATGGCCACAGACACCTGAGGAAGGCGTTGGACACCCGTGGAATTTGAGTTGAGTTAGACAGTTGTCTATGGTCCTCTGGAAGAGCAGTCAGTGCTCTTAACCGCTGAGCCATCTCTCCAGACCCTCCCCTAAATACTTTTTAAACAAGGGCCCCACACTTTCATTTTAGCCTTGAACCCCATGCCACAAGCGGGCCCTGTGACACAGCTTAGAAAAGCAGGCACTGGTGTAGCCTGGCTGCATTGTTTTCCTGGCCCCTGGCTCCTTCCTGTGTAGACCCCTAAGGGCAATGATATACATGAAGAAGATTCTTTTCCCTTTGACCCCAGAAGGTAACCAGGCACCATCTTTACGGCGCTTTCTCCGTTTTCCAGACGGCAACTGAAGAGATGAGAGGGAAGTAAGAGGCCAGGTGACAAAGTCAGAGAATGCTTGCAAGCTGGGGCCAGGGGCAGGGGAGCAGTCACAGGCCACAATCCTGTCACCTGGTTGGGCTAAGGCAGAACAGTGCACACAGGGCAAATACCACAGCCCTTTCCTCCCACAGGCCTCAAAACCCTCATGCTAACTCATGGATTCCCAGGGCCCTGATTCAAGGGCACCACACATGTTGAAGATGAGCCTACCATGGTGAGGAGGATAGCAGGAGGCATGGAACTCCAGCCCTCAAAGGAACCTGGTGTCTCTTAGGAGACAAGTTTCCTCAGGAGATAGAGGGAGTCAGCCCTTTACCAGTGGACAGTCAAGATCCATCCAGGAAAGTTACTGGCTCTGAGGTCACCCAGGAGGCCAGCAGTTGGGCAGAACTCAGGCCTCACGGCTCTCTCCCAAACCCAGCCCACCCAAGACCCTGCTGAGATGCTTACAGGCTTTGGTTTCTTCTTCAGAGCCTCTGCCTCCTTCTTCTTCAGCTCTGAGAAGATGACATCGAAGAACTCCTGCTCGGCTTTGGTGACTAGCTCTTCAAGGTTCAGGGCCGCCTCCTCATCCCTCTGGTCGTCATCTTTGCCCTCTGCCTTGCCTTTCTCCTTCAGCCGCATCTCGCGGTGCCTGGCCTCCAGGATCTTTTCCCGCCGGGTCTCACGTTCAAACATCTGGGACAGACAGGGACAGGCTGGTGGTAGGGGAGGTAGGGAGACAGCTGGAAACCCCAAATAGTCTGGGCTTCTATGGAAATTTGTCCTGGGTGAGGTCTGCTGGGGGTCATATCAATAAAGGAGGGCTGGTCCAGGAATGGTGATATACACTTAGGATCTCAGTGCTCAGGGGAATGAGGCAGGAGGATTACTGCAAATATAAGCCAGCCTGGGCTTGTCTGATATATATATATATATATATATATACATATATATACATATATATATATACACATACATACATACATATATATATATATATATATATATATATATATATGTTTTCCAAGACAGAGTTTCTCTGTATTGTTTTGGAGGCTGTCGGTCCAGCCTGGCCTCAAACTCACAGAGATCCACCTGCCTCTGCCTCCCGAGTGCTGGGATTAAAGGCGTGCGCCACCACCGCCCGGCCGTCAGATATTTTTATTACACTGTGTGAAGCTGTGTCACTGTTTTACCTTGCCTGCCTAAGGCATCTGACTAGTTTAATAAAGAGTTGATTGGCCAATAGCTAGCTAGACAGGAGAGGATAGGCAGGGTTTCTGGGCAGAGATAGGAACTCTGGGATGAAGAGAGACAGGGGGATTTGTCAGCAAGACACTGAGGAAGTTGGACATGTGATACTGAGGAGGAGAGGTAAAGAGCCACGTGACAGAACACAGATTAATAGAAACAGATTCATTCAAGTGATAAGAGCTAGTTGGGAATAAGCCCTAGCTAAGGCCAATCTTTCATAATTAATAATAAGTCTCCATGTCATTATTTGGGGTCTGATGGTCCCAAAAGAAAGTCTGACAACATGGGCTACTTGGCAAAACCCTGTCTAAAAAAAATCTATGCCATAGCTGAGAGATATATTATGTATTGAACTACTTCCTTTGAAATTAAAGGTGTCAGCATGTAATTACGCATCAAGTAAATTTGTAACTGCAAAAATGCACCTCTGAGTATGTAAACCTTGAACATTTGCTTTTATTTATTTGTATTCATGTACTGGATACAAACAAACAACTAAGCCAGATATGGTGGCGCATGCCTTAAAACCCAGCACTCAGGAGGCAGAGGCAGGTGGATCTCTGTGAGTTCAAGGCCAGCCTGGTCAACATAGGCCAAGCCAAGGCTACAAAGTAAGATCCCGCCTCAAAACAAACAAGTACATACTTGTTCACAGTGCTAGGGACGTAGGGCAGCTGTTAAGAGTGCCTGCCTAGCAGAAATCTGGCTGCATAAACGGTACGGTGGCACACACCAGCAACCCCAAGTCTCTGGAGGCCAAGGCGGGTGAATCAGAAACTCAAGGTCATCCTTGAGCAGGGACACTGAGTTACTCAGTTCCAAGGAGGTCCAGATACACAGGCTACAGTGAAGAATGTCCTTGGGGTAGGCAAGATGGTGATTTTGGTCCTCAGCTCAGACATGAGGCCTCTGCCTCAGGCACAACCACCAGGCTATCCTGGCTTCAACACCAAGAACTTCAGTCCTAGTGTCCCCACGCTACTGGGGAATGAGCCCCAGGGTGGGGAGAGGGGTTGTGTTGGATCTCAGTACTCTATCATCCATCAGGCAGATCACTTCCATTGTCTTCTCTGTGGACGAATGCTAAGCCTTTAACTGAGAGACTCTGCTGCCAAAAAAGTCCCATTGTTTTACTCTGTCAAACCTCTTTGATTTACAGCTGAGAAACTAAAGTCTGGGCATGCGAGTGACCTGGCCAGGACTGCTGGATGCTAGCAACGGCGCAAAGGCAGATCAACAGTTTGGTGACGCCGCCATGCTGCCCTGGCCAACAGTGACAGCCCGTTTCTCCTGACTCGGCCAGGTCAGGACCTGTGCAGAGTGGGCCTCGCCCTGGCACTCACGGAAGATGCTATGTTCTTCTCATTCCTCTGCAGGGTGGAGAGACTGCTGGAGACCTCCAGCAGAGTGGTCGTTCCAAGCTGGGAGCCACAGGCGATGAGACAGCCGGTGTCCTGAACCCGGAGGCAGAAGAGGGCCTCATCACACACCTGCTCAAGGGTCAGCAGAGACAGGTAGAGCAGGAAAGAAAACTAAAGTCACAAGTATCCCATTAGCTGGCCCTGTTCAAACACCCCCAGTAATACACCCTTCCACGGCGGAGGAGGTTCGTTTGCTGACAAGACCCTCATTGTTGGTGTAACGCCATTTGTGCTATGGATCACTGAGCTCCCTGGCCTCCCATGGCTCCAGCCAGTGACCTCAGCTACAGTGTGCTGATATAGGGTGATGGGGGGGCAGGGGCTGCAGACAATCTGCATATAGGGGGTCTGAGTATAGGGATCACTATTGGAGAAGGGAGAAAATGTCTACTTCTCTTAAATTATCTCCTGTCTTATTGTTGTTTGAGTCTGGGTCTCATGTAGGCCAGGGTGGTCTTGAGCTCACTGTGCAGACAAGAATGGCCTTGAACTTCTGATCCTCTGGCTGCACCATCACACCTGGTTTCTGGCACACTACAGACAGAACCCAGGGCCGTGTGCCCACTAGGTCAGTGTCCCACCAACTGAATAAACTCGTTTCTTGTGGTCCTGGTGCGAACTCAGACTTGATGAACGCTAAGCAAGTGCCTTGCCACTATTTAAATCCCCGGGATGATTCTTCTACATCATCCCAGCTGCAAGTCTCCTGGCCCCTCAGTTCTGCAGGAACCCATGCTCCCAAGGCCAGAGTGTAGCTGGGCAGAAATCACATTGCCCAGAGAGACCCTGTCCGAGTGCACCTACTACCTAGAGCAGCAGCAAGACACACATACATACATGCACCCAACCCCCCACCCATCCAGAAAGGACCCCGGAGGGAGGGAGGGAGGACATGTGACCTTCAGGCTGAGGGCAGGGTCACACTGCTTGAACACCAAGTCCCAGATGTCCAGGGTCCCATCCATCTTGGTGGTGAAGAAAACTGCTGGTCTCACGGGGCTCCAGGCTCCATCGGAGAGGTAAGACATGTGGTACCTATAGGAGCCATGTGGTGAGTCAGAGCCTGTGTTGGGAGGGAGCACTAAGGCTGGCTGGCCCATGGTGCCTCTCGCTGAGGCTCCCACAGGGCCGGGTTTCTCTGAGTCCTTCTGGGTAGGAAGTTCTTTCCTGGGTCTGACCTCCAGCATGGCAGCCTCACTCTTCCATGGTTTCTCAGGATGAACTTCACAGGGGGTGTGGCTCTCCCCCATCGGCTGGCTGGCCATTGGTATTTCTCACAGAGTCAGAGCTGCTGGAACTGGGATCCCAGGAAAGAAATGCCCAGGAAGTTCACAATTCTGAGATGGGAGCTGGCTCTGTTTCCTCCTGGCCCTTATTTTAGATTTTCAAAAGCTTGTTTGGTGAGCAGGAAATACATTTGTTTAATAGTTTTAAAGACATATTTTTTACGTGTAAGTTTATATGTGTGTGGGGGCATTTGTGCCACAGCACGAGTAGGAGGGCTGAGGACAACTTGCAGGAGGGTTCTGGGGATCAAACACGGGCTGTCTGGTCCACACAAGCACCTTCATTCACTGTGGCATCTTACCAGGCCAACAGAGATTCAGCCCTCAATGTGGAATGTTTTTAAACTCTGTCTGTCTGTCTGTCTGTCTGTCTGTCTGTCTGTCTGTCTGTCTGTCTGTCTGTCTTTCCTTGACTTTTCTTCCAAACCCATTCCTCCTCCTCCAAAGAGGTATAGCTGAGGCTAGACTAAAATTTCCAGCTTCATTTGCTTCATATGAACAAACAGTTGATCCACAGCAGAAGAAATGATCCTAACAAGAAGAAACTGGAGATATTTGTTTGAGACAGTTCTCACTGTATAGCTCTGGCTGGCCTAGAACTGGAAGAGATCCGCCTGCCTTTACCTCCTCGATACTAGGGGAAAAAGGTGTGCGGCACCATGCCCAGCTGACTGGAGATTTTATTTAGTTTAATTTCTACTTTATGTGCATTGGTGTTTTGCCTCCATGGATGCCTGTGTGAGGGTGTCAGATCCATCGACAGGTGTGAGCTGCCCTGTGGTTGCTGGGAATTGAACCCAGGTCCTCTGGAAGAGCAGTCAGTGCTCTTAACCCTGAGCCACTCTCCAGCCCCCAACTGAAGATTTTTGAAATTTTTAGTGTAAGTGTATTCCAAATACTACATGAGACATATTCATACTCATTGGCATTGGCTGGGTGTGGTGACACAGCTTCCTTCCTTCCTTCCTTCCTTCCTTCCTTTTTTTTAAACAGGGTTTCTCTGTGTAACAACCATGGTTGTCCTGGAACTTGCTTTGTAGACCAGGCTGGTCGCAAACTCACAGAGACCCGCCTGCCTCTGTCTCCCGAGCGCTGGGTTTTAAAGAACATGCGCCACCACTGCCCAACGACACAGACTTTTAATCTCAGCCACTTGGGAGGCAGAGGCAGTGTCTTAGGGTTTCTACTGCTGTGATAAAACACCGTGATCAGGAGCAGCTCGGGGAGGAAAGGGTTAATTTCCCCTCCTACTTCTAGGTAGATAGTCTGTCACCCTGGGAAGTCAGGGTGAGAAAGAACCCTGAAAGCAGAGGCCACAAGGGAACAAGGCTCCCTGGCTCACCCCTCAGGCCTTGCACACCCTGGCTCTCTTACACACCCAGGACCACCTGCCCAGGGGCAGCACTACCTTCAGGGGGCGGGGCCCTCCCGCATCAATCATTAACCAAGATGCAGATGTGCATACAGGCCATCTGATGGAGGTGCATCCTCAAATACGGACGTCTCTTCTCGGGTTAACCCCAGCTTGTATGGAGTTAACAAAACAAAACAACCAAGACAGGTAGGCTGATCTCTGTGAGTTTGAGCCAAGCCTATTTACACAGAGAGCTCTAAGCCAATCTGGTCTACACAGTAGGACCTGTCTCAAAAAAAAAAAATCTAAAGTGTTAACCAGGCATGGTGATACACACCTCTCCAGTACATGCGAGGTAGAGACAGAAACACAAGGCATTCAAGGTCATCATTAGAACGTCCTTTAAAACAACAACAAAAATTTTAAATGAAATTTAAATTTCACTTAGAATGTGGTTTTTTGTTTGTTGGGTTTTTTTTTTTTTTTTTTTTTTTGCTTGTGGGGTGGTTTTATTTTGTTTTGTTTTGTTTTAGACAAGGTCTTTCTATGTAGCTCAGGGTGCTTCAAACTTGGGATCCTCCTACTTTGGCCTCCAGAGTGCTGGGATTGCAGGCATGAGCCGCCATGCCGAGTCTGTGAAGTGGGTCCCGTGCCCCTTCTGCTTACCTGGTCCACATGATAGATGACTCCCTACTGTCCTCAGACCAGATGCGGGCTGTCCAGTCACCAACCGTCAGGAAGTTCTTCGGGTAGAAGGGGTTTCTCTGGAGGGCATAGATGGGGCCGTGGTGGCCTGAGAAGGTACAGACGATCTTCTCAGCTGATGTCTTGGCCTTGCGGTTGCAGGAGATAACGATGCCCTGCTCCGTGCCCACCATGAACTTGGTTGGCTGTGGGGGGACGATGATAAAAGAGGAAGGTGTCATGAGACATCAGCTCTAGGCTGGACCCACGTGACCTTGGCTCTGGTGTTCTCTGAAGGGTCACTAGGAGGGCCCTCCACACAGCTATCACTGCAAGCACTATGCAGTGTGTGTGTGTGTGTGTGTGTGTGTGTGTGTGGTGAATGTGCATTTGTGTGCAACAGTGCGTATAGTCCAAAGGAGACTTTGGGTGTCTCCCTCTACCACTCTGCCTTGCTCCTTTGAGGCAGGGTCTGTCACTGAACTCGGAGCTCTTGTTTCAGAGAGGCTGGCAGCCAGCAAGCCCCAGTCACCCTCCTGTCTCCGTTCCCCAGAGCACTGGAGTTAAAGAAAGCGGGTGCTTTACCACAGAGCCACCTCTTCAGCCCCAGGAAGCATTCTGTCATATGATTTTGGATATTTGTCTATATGTAGAATAACCAAGGCCTAGGAGTAGACACAGTGTGGCTCAGACCATGCCGAAGCCGTCTCTGGTACCATAGTGACCATGCCGCCAAATCTGACAACCCGAGTTTGATGCCTAGGACCCAGGATGGAAGGAGAGAGAACCAACTCCTGCAGGTTGAATTGTCTCCGAGACCTCCACAGGTGCATTACACATAGGTGCACCAGTACATGTGTGCACATGCCAGGACATGCACACAAACACATACACGCACACACAAAGTTAATGAACTTTAAAATTACAAATAAAAGCAGGAAAAGGGCTAGGAGTGCAGCTCAGTCCGCAGAGTACTTGTCGAGCAGACACGGAACCCTGGCTCAGACCTTACACAGCAGGCATGTGGTGCGTTCCTGAAATTCTGTAGTCAGGCGCAAGAGACAGGATCAGAAGTTCAAGGTTCCCCCCAAACACTTAGCTAGTCTGAGGTCAGCCTGGACTAAATGAGACCCTACTTTAAAAGAAAGGAAAGAAGCCGGGCGTTGGTGGCGCACGCCTTTAATCTAGCACTCGGGAGGCAGAGGCAGGTGGATCTCTGTGAGTTCAGAGACCAGCCTGGTCTTCAAGAGCTAGTTTCAGAACAACCTCCAAAGCCACGGAGAAACCCTGTCTCGAAAAACAAAACAACAACAACAACAACAACAAAAAAAACAAAAAAGGAAGGAAGAGAGGCAATTGCTGTATGACCCTTCTTTTTAGATGTCCCTAGAGTAGGCCAGGTCATCAAGGTAAAGAGTGATGAGAATTGCTTGGGTCTCAGGGAGAAGGAAATGAGGACCTGTTTTTCTCACAGGCATAGGGTTTCAGTTTTTGTTTTTTGTTTTTGTTTTTTGTCTTTTGTTTTTCTCTGGCAGGAGAGCTGGTTATTGGGAAGGAAATCATATGCTTCACTTTGAACATTTGAAAAATCAGTTAAAATGAGTGCTAGGCAAAGAGGTTTGTTAGTTTTTTTCTGTTTTCCTTCCTTCCTTCCTTCCTTTCTTCCTTTCTTTCTTTTGACATATGGTCTAACTTTGTAACCTTAGCCGTCCTGCAACTTGCTGTGTAGACCAGGCTAGCCTTGAACTCCCAGGGATCTGCCTGCCTGTGTGCCTCTGCTGGCACTAAGGCTCAAACCATCAAGCCCAGCTTTAACTGGAAAATGTAGAAATAACCACATTCCTTTTGAGGAAGGACCGTGTTAAAAGCGTGAGTCAGCAGAACCCACACAGCTATGAGGAAGTGCCATCGTGTTTATCAGTAACATAGGAAGCGGGGCTCCTGCCCACCCAGACATGGTAAATAACATGTCACATCTTGATAAAGAGCTTCAGCTTTGAAAGACAGGAAAATTGCTGAGCCAGTGGCAGGGAAGGGCGTGTGACACTGGGTAGAGCACCGCTGAATTGGCCCTTCAGAGCGGGTTAGCTAGAGCAGACCTGTAAACCAGCACCAACTGGTGGAGGCAGGGGCATCGGAAGTTCAAGGTCATGAGTCTGGAGGTGGCTCCACGGATGAAGGACATAACCGCCAAGCTTGATACCCTGAGCTGAGTCCCCGAGACCCAAACGGTAAAGGGGAGAACAGACTCCCACAAGTTGTCCCCTGACCTCCACAAGCATGCCCCCCCACCAAAAATAAATACTTAAAAATGTAGTATCTTTTTTTTTAAGTTCAAGGTTGTTTTTGGCAAGATAGTAAGTTCAAGTCCAACCTGGGATACAAGGGACTTGTCTAAAATAAAAAACTAAGAGACACTGGAGATATCAGTTAAGAGCACCTGTTGCTCTTGCAGAGGACACAGGTTCGACTCCCGGCATGGGCATGGTGGCTCACAAACGCAGCTCTGGTTTCAGGGGTGCTCTCTTCTGACCTCTTCAGGTACCAGGATTGTAAATGCAGGCAGTAAACTCACACACACAAAGTAAATAAATCTTTAAAATAAATGAATAATAGCCGGGTGGTGGTGGCAGCGGCACACGCCTTTAATCCCAGTGCTCAAGAGGCAGAGGCAGGCTGACCTCTGCTTCAAGGTCAACCTGGTCTACAGAGCCGGTTCCAGGCCAGCCAGGACTACACAGAGAAACCCTGTCTTGAAAAACGAGAGAGAGAAAGAGAGAGAGAGAGAGAGAGAGAGAGAGAGAGAGAGAGAGAGAGAGAGAGAGAGAGAGAGAGAGAGAGGTAATTTTATTTGAAGCATGCAGAGACTGGAAGATGGGTTAGTGTTAAAATGTTGGCCCCAGGTTCAGTATTCATAACAAGAGACACAGAGACAGAAAGAGAACACAAACTGAGCTTCTAAGTTGGACATCAAATAAAAAGACCAAATTTGGGGGGGGGTCCTGAGAAAAAAGCAATTACGCCAGCCATGGGGTACCCGTAAGTGGCCAGGTTCGAAGCACCCAACCTGCTTGTCTCAGACATCACATTGGGGTGGAGATGAATCAGAGCTGGGGGTTCAGCTTTATCAGGGTGCTCAGACCAGGGTGCTCAGTTTACTGTCACCGAGACTCTTCTTGTCTGGGGGAAGCAGGGATAAAACCAAGGTCTTCCAGGAGCACGGTGGCTGCCCATGTCTGGGAAAGGCTGTGTGCTCAGGGACCAGCCTGGAGAAGAGGGGACGTTACATCTATAGTGCAGCCTAGAAATCCCAGCACTGGGGCACAATGTCTTACCGAGCCCCGAGTTCAGGGGCTCCTCCTGTGCCATGGTGGCAGGGAAACTGGTTTGTCTTCCAACTTATCAACCCAGGGTGGAACTCTGGCCGGTGGCTGAGGATCCCCGGGGCAGGTGTGAGGCCAGAGCCACCCAAGGTCCTAGGACAGGACCTTGAGCAAACAAGTGACACCCCCAAAGTGTGGGTAGGGGGACAAGCTTGGACCTCAGCAAGATGTAGAGGAGAGACCAGCCCAAGCCAACAGCCACCTGCAAATGTGATTTTCTTGCTTTATTTAGTGAGAGGGTGTTTGTTCCTATGACTGCTCAGCTCAACTTTAAGCTTTGTGATTAAATTTTATTGGTTTTTGGTTTTGTGTGTTGGAGGCATGGTCATACTATGTACTCCTGGATGGCCTAGAACTCTGTATAGACCTAGCTGGCCTTGAATTTTCAATGATCCTTCTGCTTCTGGCTTCAACTTTGAATTATTATTATTGTTATTATTATTATTATTTCCCTCCAGAGACAGAGTTTCCCCGTGCAGTCCTAGCTGTCCTGGAACCCGCTCTGTAGACCAGGCTGATCTTGAACTCACAGAAATCCATTCACTTGTCTCTGCTCCCCAGTGCTGGGATTAAAGGTGTGTGCCGCCGCCGCTGCCGCCGCCGCCGCCACCACCACCACTGGAGTTTTTGAATTTTTTTCTCTTTTTTTAATTTTATTTTTAAATTTAAATTCAAATTAGAAACAAGGTTTCTTCACATGTCAATCTCACATCCCTCTCCCTTTCCCTCCCCTCCTCCCACCCCCTCCTACCACCCATCCAATACCCCCTCCTTTCCCTGGGGAGGGTGAGTTCTTCCATGGGGGTGTCCATAGTCTGTCATTTCATCCAAGACAGGGCCTAGAACCTCCTCCAAGAGTCCAGGATGAGATTGCATCTCTCACTGTGGGATGGGCACCCAATGTCCATTTGTATGCCAGGAATAAATACTGGTCAACTACCAAAGGCCCCATAGATTGCCTAGGCCTCCTCACTGACACCCACATTCAGGGGGTCGAGTTTTTTAATTTTTATTTATCATCATCATCATGATTATCATCATGGTGTGTGTGTGTGTGTGTGTGTGTGTGTGTGTGTGTGTGTGTGTGTGTGTGTGTGCACCATAGCATACTATGTATACACAGAAGTCAGAGGACCACTTCCAGGAGTCAGCTTCCTTAAATAGTGGGATCTGGGAATTGAACTTGGGCCATCAGGTTTGTGCATTAGATGCTTTTGCCCACTGAACCCTCTTTGCTGTCCTCTTGTTTTCTGTTTTGTTGTTGTTTTGTCTTTTTTTTTTTTCAAACAGAATCTCACATTTGCTATGCATGACCTTGAGCCCCTGACCTTTCTGCGCCCATCTCAAAAGTGCTGGCCTCACAGTCATGTACCACCATTCCTGGCCTCTGGGGTTTCCTTGCCCCTTGAGACTTGCTCTAATCGTGCGCAGACACGATTTCCCACCAGATTTCCCACCAGGCTCCTCTGCTCTCCCTTCCTTCCTCAACACCTTTTTCTTCCCCTGGGGAAGGGAAGTGACCAGCCTGAGGCCTCAAATGAAGCCAAAGCAGTGTGGATACTGGTCCTGACCAGCGATCATCCCTCCCAAAACTGTGCTTTTCTGGTTTTAAAGCTTAACTCTGCTCAGAAGGGCGGGCCTCAAACCAGTGAGCATAGAGGCCTTTGTGGAAGTGCTCTGCTGCCCCCTGCTGGAACAGCACGGTAAAGCCTTCACATGGCGTAAAGCTGCCTCGGGAAGGGCTTCCTCTCGTGTCTCCTACACCAACCCCCGCAAGTGAAGATGAGGAGAGCAAGAAACACCCACCAAAGTAGACTCGAACTCCAAGGAGATTGCGCCCAGGGCGTTCTCCAGCTGTTCCTTTCTGGAGATGTCCATGATGACCACCTCGGTGGGCTCGCTGATCTTGCGAATGTCCCACCACATGACCTGGCATGGGAAGACAAACGAGAATTTGAGGACCCTGGCTTTTGCCCCTTGAACCATCCAGAGCCTCAAATGATGTGGGACCAATGAGAACAAACGTATTTGTAAGATTCACAAAGGCCAACTGTGTACCATTCAGACGCGGGCACCAGACTCTCCCTATGTAGCAACATCTAGCAAGGTGAAAACAGGACCCAGGCATGGCCATATGTGCCTGTTGTCCCAGCATCCAGGAGGTGGAGGCGGTAAGCTCAGCAGTTCGAGGCCAACCTGGACTACATGAGATTCGATCTCAAAACAGAAACAAACAAACAAAAAATCAAGGCAGGGTAGCATTCCCACTGCCAGCAATGTATGCCATAGATTTGCCTGTGTAAGTATGTAAAGATCCGGGCACATATGCATGTCTCACTATTCCTTTTGTGATGCTAACAGAATGTAAAATCTTCTTAAACAAATCATAATGTACCCACGCCAAGCAGTCAACGTGCACAGAATCGGGCTTCGTGAAATTTGAAGCGCCTGCTGAGTAGGCTCAGGGGACGCAGCAGGTGTAGACAGGTGTCACACGTGCAGAAGGGGGAGGGCAGAGAGATGGGTGTTTGCTTGAGTACGCAGAGAGCACCTCTCAGGGCGGACACAGAAAACGAACATCCCAGGGAGGGGCTGGGGCGTTGGGGATAGAGGCGGCATTTCAGAGACTGCCCTTGAATCCTTGGGATCATCCAGTATTCCATGTTAAAAGGGGGAGAGTTTAGGGCGGTGAGATGGTTCCGCAGGTAAAAGTGCTTGCACCAAACCCGAAGACCTGAGTTTGATCCCCAGTACCCACGCGGGCACCATGGTATGTACCACTGCCCCCAAATAATTCTTCCCCCTCTGTACGCCTGCCTCTCTCTCTCTCTCTCTCTCTCTCTCTCTCTCTCTCTCTCTCTCTCTCTCTCTCTCTCTCTCTCTCTCTCTCAGTGTAGCTCAGTGGTAGAATACATCCTACGCGCAAGGCCCTGGATTCCAGCCCCAGCACCACACAATAAAAGAAGTGACACAAAACTGAACATAAGGCAATGTTCTCTGGATGCCTCTCATGGGTCCCCCTCCCCTCCCCTTTCCTCTCCTCTCTCCTTCTCTCCCCTCCCCTCCCCTCTCCTCCCCTTCCCTCTCCTCTCTCCTTCTCTCCCCCTCCTCTCCCCTCTCCTCTCCTCCTCCTCCCCTCCCCTCCCCTCCCTCCCCTCCCCTCTTCCTCCCCCTCCCCTCTCTCCTCCCCTCCCTCCCCCTCCCCTCCCCTCCCTTCCCCTCCCTTCCCCTTCCCTCTCCTCCCCTCCCCTCCCCTTCCCTCTCCTTCCCTCTCCTCCCCTCTCCTCCCCTTCCCTCTCCTCTCCTCCCCTCCCCTCCCCTCCCCTCCCCTCCCCTCCAGGGTCCAGCCAGGTGGTACCTGCCCATCCGTGGATGCTGAAAAGCACTCAGTGCCTGTCTTTGACTGCAACCAGATGGTGCCATACACTGGGTCTCGGTGGCTGAACTCGATGGTGGACAGCTCTGCCACCAGGCTGCCCTTCCGGGTGTCCCAGCAGGCTGACGGGGAGAAGAGGAGACTATGAACTGAAGGTGCCAGAAAAGCAAACCAACCTAACCTGTAGTAGAGCTTTTCTTGTGACCGAGCAGAGTTGAAACTCTGAGGTTGAGACCAGCCTGGTCTACATATCAAGTCCCAGGCCAGCCAGGGCTACATAGTGAGATCCTGTCTCAAAAAACAAAAATAATACACAAGAAGGATGTCATCAGATACTATGTGAGGCCTGTAACAGGCTTCCTGTACTGTTACAACCCACCTGCCTGTTATTTTCACTGATATTGGGCAGTAGGAGGTGGGTGTTCACTTACTTTGTTTTGGGTTCCTTGAGACAGGGTTTCATGTAGCCCAGGCTGGCCTCAAACTTGCTATGTAGCTAAGGATGGCCTTTAACTACTGAGTCTCCCGCCTCCACCTCGGGAGTTCTGGGTCTGAAGGCTTGTGCTGTCACTCACGGCTTCACCACTCTCTGAGAAAGGCCTTGGTTGGTGGTTTTTCTGCTGTGCAGCTCTAAGAACTTTGGGAAACTATTGTCACTTTGTTCTTTAGTATCTGGTGTCACCTGTCCAGACCATGGTCACTCATATTTGACCTTAGAACTGTCTTTCACTTTCCTTGGAGGTGAGAGCTGTGTTTGGGGGCTGGTGAGTGAGTGTGTGTGTGTGTGTGTGTGTGTGTGTGTGTGTGTGTGTGTAAGAAGCATGGGACTGGAGGAACACTGCTTCTCTGAGGTTGGATTTTTAGAATCAGGGCTACATTCGAACCAGCCTGTGTTTCCTACCAGCCGCGCACAATCTATGCAGAGACTCAAGGAGCACAGATTTCATTCATTCCATCATGCCCCAGACATGTTCTGAGACCACCCTACGCCCTGGTGAAGCTCCTGGGAATGGACCAGGCTCAGTACTGGGAGGGGACAGGAGTGGGGTCAGGAGGTAGAGAGGCTGGGCTGGTTGGTAGGGAAAAGTGGCAGAGAGAGAAGGCTGAGGGTAGAGCTAGCTAAGCAAAGGGGTGAGACCAGGACCCAAGGCAGGGGAAGCGCAGCAGAGGCCAGAAAGTAAGAATGTGGGCAGATCTCCCTGCCCTCCCTGAAGTACAAATGGAGGGGCAGCTGGAGCGATGGCTTGGTGGGTAAAGGTTATTTTCACGAAGCCAGATGACCTGGGTTTGATTCCCCAAACCCACCTAGTAGCTCACAACCATCTGTAAATCCAGTTCCAGGGGATCCGTTACCTTTGATGGCAACTAGACATACACATGGTACACAAAATAAATCTAAAAAAATTAATAATGAACAATAATAAACAAAGCAGGCTGCTGAGACAGCATCAGGTAAAGGTGCCTATTGCTGCTCCATAACCTGAGTTTAACCCCGGAGAGCCACATGGGAGTAAAGAACCAACTCTGTCAAGTTGTCCTCTGACCTCCACCCATATGCCGTGGTACCCCGCTGTCTTGTTAGGGTTTCTACTGCTGCAAAGAGACACCATACCATGGCAACTCTTATAAGGAAAACATTTAATTGAGGTGGCTCGGTTACAGTTTCAGAAGTTCAGTCCATTCTCATCATGACAGGGAGCGTGCCAGTGTGCAGGCAGACGTGGTGCTGGAGCTGAGAGTGCTACATCTTTCATGCAACAGGAAGTCAACTGCCACACTGGGCAGCACTCCAACATAGGAAACCTCAAAGCCCGCCCCCACAGTGACACACTTCCTCCAAAAAGGCCACACCCCCTCCAACAAAGCCATTCCCTATAATCCCATTCCCTATGAGATTATGGGGCAAATTACATTCAAACTACCACAGCCTCCAACACAATAAAGCTTTAAATTGTAAATTAAAAGCTAAAGAGAGTTTAATCCCAGCACTCGGGAGGCAGAGGCAGGCGGATCTCTGTGAGTTCGAGGCCAGCCTGGTCTACAAAGTGAGTTCCAGGACAGCCTCCAAAACAATACAGAGAAACCCTGTCTCGAAAAACCAAAAAATAAATAAATAAATAAATAAAATAAAATAAAATAAAAAGAAAATAAACAGGGATGGAAGATGGTTCAGAGGTTAAGAGCACTGGCTACTCTCCCAGAGGACCTGGATTCAATTCTCAGCACCCATATGGCAGCTCACAACTGTCTGTAACTCCAGTTACAGGGGATCCAACACCCTCATATAGACATTCATACAAGCAAAATACCAATACACATAAAAAGAAATACTCATGGGTGTGCTCAAGATCCTGCCGTTATCTCATCTTTGTGCTTTGCCAACAAAGGGGTAAAGCTTGCCTGCCTGCCTGCCTCCTGCCCTGGTCTGGCTTGTCCTTCCTCCTGAGAGCCATCAAGGGTCCACATACTTACTCAGAACCATTTCCAGGAAAGATGATTTTGGAAACCAGCAGACATACTTGCTCATAAGTTTTGACCTAGTAGGCCCCAAGTCCAAGGCTTTTGTCCTTGGCCTGGCCAGGCCCAGAAATGTTTCTTTGACTAACTTGCTCTGCAAAACAACGCTTCAGGGTGGGTTCCGAGATCCCAGAGACACAGCTGGAGTCTGCTTCCTGTGGAAGCAGGACCCCAGGGCTGAGCCGTTGTGAGCCAGTATGAAAAGTCACTGAAAGGAGTCATGAATAATGAATGAGTGAATACTGAATAAGTCATGACAACAGCTTGGCTATGGCCTTTATGGCTCAGACAATGGATAATATAGCAGGGCAATGTATGGGGCCCTTAGCTGTGACACAGCCTGGCTCCTCCCTTGGGGATAGACCTGGGCTTTTCTCTCAGGGAATCAGGAGTTTAAGGCTAGCCTGGCCTACAAAATAAGACACAGTCTTTAAAGCAAAAATACATTAGGAAGCTGGAGAGATGGCTCAGTGGTTAAGAGTGTATACTACTCTTGCCACTGGATCAGACTTGGGTTCCCAGCACCCACAGCAGGAGGCTCCCAACTGCCTATAACTCTGATGCCCTCTTCTGGCCTTCAAGGGCACTGCACTCAAGTGCACATTCGCACATAATCAAGTAACAAAAGACAAAAGCAAATCGGAAAACAAGAGCAATTAAACCCAAAGCAAAACTAAACACAGTGGCTCAGATTTATAATCCCAGAGCTCAGAAGATGGGGCAGGAGAATTAATGCAAGTTTGAGGCCATCCTAGGCTACACAGTGAGTTCAAGTCCTATTTGTGATTCATATGGAGACCCTGCCTTACAACATAAAATGATAAAATAATTTAAAAAGCCCAAATAGCCAGGAATGGTGGTGTGTGTCTTTAATCTCAGCACTCGGGAGGTAGAAGCAGGCAGATCTCTGAGTTTGAGGCCAGTCTGGTCTACAATGCAAGATCCAGGACAGCCAGGGCTACACAGTGAGAGCCTCTCTTAAACAAACAAAAATGAGAGCTGGATATGGGAAGCACACCCAGCACTTGGGGGTGGAGCCAGCAGAATCAGCAGCCTGGGCACATGTACACACACACACACACACACATATAAACACATACATACACATACACATATACACACACATGCACACACACATACACACACCAGAGCACATGAACACACACACACACACACATATAAACACATACATATACATACACATATACACACACATACACACACATGCACACACACATACACACACCAGGGCACATAAACACACACACACACACACATAAACACACACATACACATATACACACACATGCACACACACATACACACACCAGGGCACATGTACACACACACACACACACATAAACACATACATACACATATACACACACACGCACACACACATACACACACCAGGGCACATGTACACACACACACACATATAAACACATACATACACATACACATATACACACACATACACACACATGCACACACACATACACACACCAGGGCACATGCACACACACACACACATATAAACACACACATACACATATACACACACATGCACACACACATACACACACCAGGGCACATGTACACACACACACACATATAAACACATACATACACATACACATATACACACACATGCACACACACATACACACACCAGGGCACATGTACACACACACACACACATAAACATATACATACACATATACACACACATGCACACACATGCACACACATGCACACATATAAACACATACATACACATATACACACATACACACACATGCACACACATGCACACACATGCACACACATGCACACACACCAGGGCACATGTACACACACACACACACACACACGGGCACATGTATACACACACATACACACATAACTGAAACAGAAAATGTTATAAAAATTGAAGTAAAAAAATATAAATGAAAGAACCAGGTGGTGGTGGTGCACACCTTTAATCCCAGCAGTTGGGAGGCAGAGGCAGGAGGATCTCTGTGAGGTCGAGGCCAGCCTGGTCTACAGAGTGAGTTCCAGGACAGCTAGGGCTGTTACACAGAGAAGCCCTGTCTTGAAAAAACAAAACAAACAAAAAAAGTGAAAGATTGACAAATTGACACACACACACAAGCTCCAGGTATTGAAAGCACACAGGAATCGTGGGTGATGAATGGTGTGTTAGAGAGTCGGGTAATCTAGATGAAATGGAAACATCCCAGAACATCAGGCGCTGCCAAGGCAGTCAGAAACAAACCTGGCAGAGTAGGGGCCCATCTGTAATCTCAGCACTAGGGAAGTGGAGGCAGGAGAATCGTAATTCAAGGTCAACCTTGGCTATTTTACTGAGTTTAAGTCCAGCCTGGGCTACATGAGACTCTGTGTCAATAAGAACACGGGGGGGGGACGAGAAGGGGGGATGTCAAGAGTCACAGAAACCAGAGGACTGAACTCATTCATTAGCTCCCAGTAAAGAGTAGCCCAGGGGCTGAGAGACATCACTGGGTAAAGATACTTGCCAAGCCTGACAACCTGAGTTCAATCCCAGGACCCACAAGGTGAAACGTGAGAACTGATCCCCACACATCCTCCTTGGACTCTCACAGACCCATCCCCCACCTCACCCCTGGCCGCCTCCTCAGAACCACCTTGGGGAGTTCAGCTGTGTACCCTTAAGAAAGGATTATCCCAGCTGGCCTTGTTGACTGCACTCTAATAGAGGGGAGGCAGTCAGGGGACCCCCACCTGAGTATCAGGCTGCCCTACCACCCATTGTAGCCAGCACCGCCCTAACTACTGCCCTAACTGCCTGGGGGGGGGAGGTGCATGTTGCTGGGCACCTATCCCATGAACTTTTTCCAGATTGGACTCCACGATGGCCCTTAACATTCCTCCATGGCTGACCCTGGTCCTTGATTTTATTTGAACTATAGCTTTAAAACAAAACAAAACTACATTTCCTGGGGCAGTGGTTCCTTTAAATCCCAGCACTTGGGAGCCAGAGGCAGGCAAATCTCTGAGTTCGAGGCCAGCCTGGTGTACAAAGTGAGTTCTGGGACAGCCAGGGCTACACAGAGAAACCCTGTCTCAAAAGATCAAAACCAAAACAAAACCCTACATTTTATTTATTTATTATGCGCATACATGTGTCTGTGTGCCTAGGTGCAGTGGCAGTCGGGTGAAGGTCAGAGGTCAACTGCTGTCTCTGTCTACCGTGTGGGCTGCACAGGTCAGCTCAGGTTAGCAGGCTTAGTGGCAGGCACCTTCACCCACGTAACCATCTCCTGTTGCATGATATTTGATCACAATGTGAACCCCCGAGATTGCGTTATTTACTGGGGAAAAAAACAACAAACATGTTTCTAGTTGTGATGTGGCTCAGCCCTAGCACACACACACCTTTAATCCAAGGGCTTTCTGCTTGAATATTGTAAATACAATTAAATAAGTCAACCAGCTGATAGGAGGTGAACACAGGATTATTGAGAGAAAAACACAGAGAGTAAGGAGGAGTCGGGAGGATGGATAGAGAGATGCACAGGAAGGAGAAGCAGGGGGGAGGGGGAGAGGGGAGTGGGGTACACTCAATTTGATGAGTCTTGTTGGAGATGGCGGGAGGCTTTGGCTGAGGAGGAAGGTCAGCCAGGTGCTTTCTCTGCCTCTCTGAGCTAGCCGGCCTTCACCCCAGCATCTGGCTCCTGAGTCTTAATTGGTAAAATCGAACAATTGAGATTTTGTTAAAGACAACAATCTCCCTGGCCTGAATTATAATTTTTAAAAACTTCTTGCTGCCTGGTAATGTCAGATTTACCTGAATGAGTATGACTGGAGGCTAGCCCAAGGTGTCAGCAACCCTTGACTCCCAGGGGACTGCGGTGTTAGCTTCCCGAATGGCCTGCCTGCTAAGTCCAGGCTGGGCCCTGGCGGCCACGTGGGTTAGCGGTGTCCTGCCTCTCCTTACCTATCTGCCCATTGTAACAGCCCCCTAGGAGCACGTGGGAATCCTTGGGGTTGTACTCCAGGGTGATGAGAGGAGAAGATGGCTTCAGGGCAATTTCAGGTCTGTTGGGGTTTTCTAAAATAAAGAGGGGGAAAAATCCATTAGGCCTACATAGAGAAAGGGCAGGGTCGATCAGTTCAGCCCATTCTCCATGGTACAGAGGGTGACATAGACAGCGTGGAGCCCTTCCTCCCCTTGTGGTCTCTTTTGCCTGAATCTTGGCTAGTGGCTTTATTTGGGGGACGTGGAGGTAAGAATCAGGCCCAGGGAGGAAGGGCAAAGTCTCACCCCACCTCCAGCCCCACCAGAGGTGAGGCTCCCAGGGAAAGGGTAAAGCTTCCTCGGGCAGGCTGGAGTGGATGCTGAGATCGTGTACAGAGAATGTCGGCCGTAGCTTTCTTCTCACCAGACATTTGCAGCCTGAAGACGGCTCGCCTACTGGGATGGATCCCACTAAGATGACCCAAGCCTGCCTCCTAGATCCAGCTGTACAGAAACCCTGCCTCCTTGTTTATCTGCATGTGCTGACCCCGTATTCTTGTTCAGCTGTATGCAATAGCCCCCACGTCTCTGTTCAACTCTATACAACAAACACGCTGAGCTTCCTCCATACTGATTTCTCCAGCAGAGAGCCCAGACCGCCCCGCCTCAGCCCTTCAGTGTGTGTCTGTGTTTGTCTTTTCTTCGCTCCTTTGCTGTTTCAGCCAGCCCAAGTCCCAGGATCCATGATTTGATGGCACTGAGGTTTTCCATAAAGTCTACTCTTGGGGCCAGTAAGATGGCTCAGTAGAGGCACTTGCCGTCAAAGCCTGGTGTGACCTTGGTTCCGTCCTCAAAGACCAGATAAAGGTGGAAGAGAAATGACCTCACAGAGTAGTCATCCAACCTCAACTTGTGCACCGTGACACACATGCCCCCCCAAACAATATCTATCTGTCTTTTTGTTTTTTAAAATCTACTGTGACGTGGAGGTGCACGCCTTTAATCCCAGCACTGGGGAGGCAGAGGCAGGAGGACCTCTGTGAGTTCGAGGCCAGCCTGGTCTACAGAGCGAGTTCCAGGACAGCCAGGATTGATTTATAGAGAAACTATCTTGAAAAACAAAAATAAAAACAAACAAACAAACAAAGTCTACTCTCTGTCAATGTTTTCCACCCAGGTCTGAAGACCAGGGTTGAAACTGGAGAGCGAACCTGGGTGAGGGCGGCCGTCAGAATTTGATGAGCTGCAGAAAGCGGCTGCCTGTCAGTTCTGAGTTGTGCCTACATGTTTCATGTCCTTACCATTCCTCCCTGGGGAAAATGGCCTGTCACTGACTGCCATGAGTGAAAGGCAGGGGTCAGGAGTGGTGGGATGGTTTCCCTCTGCTTGGATCCCCGCTTGGTCACATAGGAACCCTTCTGTTATGGGGATTCCATGACTCTGGGATCCCACAGATCCCTGTCTTAATGACCCAGATTAGCAATCTGGAGTTGGGCTGGGGAGGAGCGACTTGGAACACTCACAAGCCGTAGAGTCCATCCCCAGGGTGGAAGGCAAAAGAAGAGTGGACCGGAACCTCCCGGGTCTGGTTTGGCTCTGTGGAGTTGTGCCTGCCCACGCCCACACAGGGAAGAGACAAGAGCCTTCCTCCTGGCCCTGGCGGCGCCCCAGAGTGTCTTTGACCCCTCGTTTCCAGTCTCAGCTCCCTGAGTTTGGCTGGCTGCTGACCTGGCCCCTCAGCCCTCCCTGGCCAGTGGAACCACCTGTTTCCTCACCCAGGTCCCAGATGTACGATTCGTAGCTCATGCCCATGGGGGCTCGCTGGAAGTTCAAGCAGGAATAAGCCACCGCCAGCTTCCTGTTGCCATCAGGGTGCCAGGAGAGGTGGGTGGCTGTCCGCTTGATCTCCTGAGGGTCCCTGGAGGGAGGGCAGGGAAGGCAGAGGATTGGAGGGTAGGGTGCCCCCGATCCGAGTCTATCAGATTCCTTTGCAAAAGATCCAAGTAGATCTAAGCAACCCTATCACTTAGGAATTGATTTTACGAGGTTGAAGCTGCCAAATCCTGGCTCAAGCCTGTAATCCACAACTCAGGCTGGCTTAGGTTACAGAGTAGATGGACCTTGTCTCAATAGATAAATAAATCGATGCAACATAGATAGATAAATGGATAGATAGATAAATAAATAGAACAAAGCGAAACCTACAGAACCGTCCCCCCCCCCAAGTTGACAAGACTTCCTTAAATGGAAAGCCAATCTCAACAGCTCCACCTAGAGGAAACAGCCAGGGAAGCAGATCAGTGAACTTGAGCCTAATAATAATAATAATAATAATAATAATAATAATAATCCTTAAACTGAGGATACCCTTGAATTTCTGGTTCTCCTGTCTCCACCTCCCAAGTGCTGAGACTACAGGCATGCACCAGGACACCCAGTTTATAAGACACTGGGGATCGAACCCAGGGCTTGTGTATACTAGGCACACACCAACACAGGCTGTGTCTCCAGAAAGAAGGTTCCTGTAAAGCCCTGGCTGATCTGATACTGTAGTTTAACACTTTCCTTTCTTCTTTTTAAAGACAGAGTCTCACTGTAGCCCTGGCTGGCCTGAAAAAAATCACTGTAAACCAGGCTTGACTTGAACTCACAGAGATCCGACTGTCTCTGCCTCCCGAGTGCTGGGGCTAAAGGCACATGCTGCCACGCTGGCCCAGTTCAAACACTTACCTGGTGAAAGTTTTGACTGCCAGCCTTATCTCATAATTATGGGATAGAAGAGGTGGAGAACCCAGCCAGTTCACTACTTGGTATTCGTCCAAATGCGTTCAAAACTCCTGTCCAGCTAGGCATGGCAGCACACACCTCTAACCCCGACCCAAGTCCTAACCAAATAAAAGGGAGATCTGGGGGATGTAGTTCATTCGCTAGAGTCTTTGTCTACATGTATGAAGCCCCGAATTTGTCCCCCAGTTCCACATAAAACAAGGGCTGTAATCCTAGCACTTGGAAGGCAGGCAGAGGCATCAGGAATTCAGGGCTAGTGTTGGCTACATAGTGAGTCTAGGCCAGCCTGGGCTACAAGACACCCAGTTTCAGAAAGGAAAAAAAGAAAAAGAGAGAGGAAGGGGAGAAGGAGAAGAGGGGGAGAGAATCAGAGAAACAAGCCCATTAGTGAGAAAAAGAAGGCAGACTAACAGGGCCACAAAGTGTAGGGCATTGATGATGATAAAAAGATCAGCGGGGCCGGGCGTTGGTGGCGCATGCCTTTAATTCCAACACTCGGGAGGCAGAGGCAGGCGGATCTCTGTGAGTTCGAGGCCAGCCTGGTCTACAGAGCGAGTTCCAGGACAGCCTCCAAAGCCACAGAGAAACCCTGTCTCGAAAAACAAACAAACAAACAAAAAGATCAGTGGGTACCAGGAGTTGGGGGTCAGGAGAATGAATAGGGAAAGCAGTGAGGACTTTTTAGGGCAGTGGAAACCTGCTCTGCATTGGACTTTGGTCCAAATCCACAAACCATGAAGCCTGCCTAAGAGTACCCCCTAGTGGAAACCACGGCCTCTGCAGAGCAGAGATTTGGTAGATTGGTTAACTGGCTCTTTTTTTTTTTTTTTTTTTTAAGACAAGGTATTATTCAGCCCAGGCTAACCTCAGACTCCCCTCGATTGGTTAACTGGCTCACCTACCAATCTGACCTGGACCCCTCCCTCTGGAGCTACCTGAAGACGTTGATGGTCTTGGCTGAAGGGGCCTCTTCGGTCACCTCCACGCCATCCTCGTCATCAAAGTATTCCTCGTATATATCAATGGCGTTGTTCTGTTTGATGCAGTGCTCCATGATCTGGGGAGACACCCAGAGTTCTTAGCCGTGAGAGACCTCTGGCCCTACCCAGCGGGGCTATCCCACAGTCTGAGAAGGAACAAACATGGAGTGGTCCCTGCCCTTGTTCCATGGGGGAAGCATCGCCTCCAAAAGAGTTACAACTGGTTCTTAGGGACACAGGTATTCGAGCATGGCCCGTGTAGCGTTTTACATCAAAGACAAACCACCCCAAAGGCCCTGCCTGTTGTTTCTTGTTCAGCAAGGTCTAGCCCAAGCCCAACACCTTTCCAGGAACCTTCTTTGATCCCATCAGCAGGAAATCCCCCCTTAGGAAGCAAATGTGCAAGTCCTTGTCTCCAACAGTGTTCCTTTTGATGGTATCTGGCAAAGTCTGTGCATCTGTCTCTCTGCCTTAGACTCTTGGAGTGAATTAGACTCTTTTGGGGCAGGAAGCGTGTGAGATTCAGTTTGCAGCCTCTGCTGTGTCTGGCGGAGATGTAGAATTCAGTTCTGTGCGTGAATGTGAATTACTGACTGACTGACTGACAGGCTCTTTTGGAGTACACTTTTACCCAAGGGACTTCCCGCATTTTATTTTTTAATTACTATTGTTGTATGTGTGCCCGTCCGTGTTTTGGTGGGATGTGCTCACCATTGCGCATGTGTGGCAGTCAGAAAACACCTTACAGGAGTGAGTTATCTCCAGCCCTCATGTATGTTCCAGGGCTGCAACTCATGTGGTCAGCCTTGGTGACAAAGGCTGAGCCATCTTGCCAGCCCTCTCCCAGCATTTTGGTCTCTTTCTAACACCTGTTTGTCCATAGGCGCTTATGGTCAGCAGTGAGGTCCCCCTTCCCTGAATGAGAGCTACGGAAGCCTTCATGGGGCTATGCACAGCCCGGGCGCAGGCCCAGGCGAGGGAACTGGTGTTGGACAGCGGGAGCTGGGGAGGAGCCTAACCGAGCCCAGCTGCATGACGGTATTGATGTAATTCTCATCTTTCTCCACTTTCTTCCGGAAGCGGATGGTCTGCTCCAGCTCCAGGGGGTTCACATCCTTGGGCCAGCCCCCCTCAATGTGGTTAACCCCACAGCTCTCCATCTCAAACCGCTCCGTGTTGGCCTAAACAGAACAACAGATGAGAAGATGTCACAGGTTTAAGCATTCAGCCATTTCTACAAACCCAGATCCTCAGGTCTCGGGTCCCAGGGACCCTGAGCTCTTTAGGGGGTACTGAGGAAGGGGTGCCCTGACCAAAGGCACCAAGTGAGGCCCTACCTGGTCCTCAGGTGACCACAGGTGGCCTCAGTAGCACTACCTTGACAGCTTAGCATGGGGCAACGGTGGTCATGGAAAACCCAGTTTCCTATTTATCTTGAATAGGTCCAGGAGCCCAGCTACCCATCCCGGGAGATGTCACATTAGCAGTGATTAATACTCCCTCCTTTAGCATCCCAGAGACTGCAGTTTCAGTGTGACTTACCATGTGCATGCTGTGGAGCCGGCAGAACAGTTTTCCCAGCCAAAGCTGCCTTTCCTACCCCATATTCATTCATTCATTCATTCATTCATTCATTTCATTTGTTCATTCATTTTATATGAGGCAGGGTCTCACATAGCACAGGTGGGCCTCAAATTGACTGTGTAGCTTGAGGATGATATTGAACCTCTGGTCCTCCTGCCTCTGTTTCCAGGGTGCTGGGACTATAAGCATGTCCTGCTTTTATTTTTATTGCTTATTTTATTATTTTTTTTTGTTTTTTCGAGACAGGGTTTCTCTGTGGCTTTGGAGGCTGTCCTGGAACTCGCTCTGTAGACCAGGCTGGCCTCGAACTCACAGAGATCCGCCTGCCTCTGCCTCCCGAGTGTTGGGATTAAAGGCGTGCACCACCAACACCCGGCTTTATTTTATTATTTTTTAAAAAGGTTTATTTATTATGTATACAGTGTTCTCCTGCATGTAAAGAAGAGGGTGCCAGATCTCACTACAGGTGGACAGTTGTGAGCTGACGTGTGGTTGCTGGGAATTGAACTCAGGACCTTTGGAAGAGCCATCAGTGCTCTTAACCGCTGAGCCATCTCTCCAGCCCCTGTTTTACTTTATTTGTGAGACAGGGTCTCACTTGGTAACCCTAGCTAGCCTGGAACTCGAGATGTGCCTATCAAGTTGGCCCTAGCTAGCCTGGAACTCGAGATGTGCCTATCAAGTTGGCCCTAGCTAGCCTGGAACTCCAGGTGTGCCTATCAAGTTGGCCCTAGCTAGCCTGGAACTCCAGGTGTGCCTATCAAGTTGGCCCTAGCTAGCCTGGAACTCCAGGTGTGCCTATCAAGTTGGCCCTAGCTAGCCTGGAACTCCAGATGTGCCTATCAAGTTGGCCCTAGCTAGCCTGGAACTCCAGATGTGCCTATCAAGTTGGCCCTAGCTAGCCTGGAACTCCAGATGTGCCTATCAAGTTGGCCCTAGCTAGCCTGGAACTCCAGATGTGCCTATCAAGTTGGCCCTAGCTAGCCTGGAACTCCAGATGTGCCTATCAAGTTGGCCTTGAAGCCAGCATCACCGGCCTCTGCCTTCCCAGTGCTGAGATTAAAGACGTGCACCACCACGCCCGGCTCATGCTTGGTTGTATGCAACATTTGGGATGGAACCCAGGGCTCTCTACGTGCGCTAGGTAAGAACTCTGCCAACTGAGCTACCTCTCCTCAAAGTGTGGTGCAGCCATCACCTCTCTGTAGTCCCAACGCTTTTCATTATCTTGCAGGAAGGGATCCCCATGCCCAATAACTGGTTGCTCCATCTCCATTCCTAGAGTGGGATGCTTTGAAGCTACACCTGGAAAGCCCTAGGTGGTGCGCCGTGCCACGAACACCAGTTAGGGATGGGCCACACTCACACCTATTCTCGGCCACATCTGGAGTTAAATAGGTCCAGGAATCCACCCACCCATCCCAGGAGATGGCGTATTAACAGTGATTAATCGTCCATCCTTCGCCAGGCAGTGGTGGTGCATTCCTTTAATTCCAGCACTCAGGAGGCAGAGGCTGGTGGATCTCTGTGAGTTTGAGGCCAACCTGATCTAGCCTGGACTACAGAGTGAGTTCCAGGACAGCCAGGGCTACACAAGAAACCCTGTCTCAAAAGAAAAAAAAAGCGTCCTCTATCCTTCAGCATTACAGAGACTGCATCAACAGCGATTCAGAGCGTGGGCTTGCCGTGTACACCCTGTGGGCACACCTGCTCTGGCCCACGAAGAACTGGTGTTATCCACTCCCGATCCTGGCACCTGCTGTCGTCCACTCTACCAGGCGGGCCTGTTTCCCCACTGACCACCCTGGGTGCCCACGGCAGAACCCACCTCGTGTTCTGACATACTGGTCGAGCACTGGATGCCTGTGTCCACTGGGTTCCGCTCCACATACAGGGAGGACAGCTCAGGGTTGGGCGAGATGTCGATATTCAGCTCAGCCTGGCGGTCTGAGAAGTTGCACTGTTTCCCAAACTCGCTGCGCTTCTTGACGTACACGTAGACGATCTCCATGGTGATGGCTGCGACGGCTGTTGGGGAAAGGAACCGTAGAGGAGAGCCTGAGACTGGTGAGGGGTCTACCCAGATACTGCCTGTCTCCTCGGGTCCCACCAAAGGCGGGGCCGTGTTTTGCAACTGGTTAGCAGGGAGCCAGGTTAGGGAATCCTAGGAGATCTCTCCAAGAAGCTACACCTGTATTTTTAAAACATCACTTAGGGACTAAAGAGTTGACTCAATGGGTAAGAGCACCGGCTGCTCTTCCAGAGGACCCCAGCTGGGGTCCATTCCAGCAACCACAAGGCTGCTCACAAGCACCTGCGACTCCAGTTCCAGGAGACCCAACATTGCCCTCTTCTGGCCTCCGTGGGTAGTGCACACACATTGTACCTAGACATACACACAGGTTGCAGGTACCCCCTCCCCCCCACATACACACAATCTCTTAAAAATAACCCCATTCGCTGGGCGTTGGTGGCGCACGCCTTTAATCCCAGCACTCGGGAGGCAGAGGCAGGTGAATCTCTGTGAGTCCAACGCCAGCCTGGTCTACAGAGTGAGTTCCAGGACAGCCTCCAAAGCCACAGAGACCCTGTCTCGGACCCCCCCCCCCAAACAAAATAATCCCATTTAGCAAGACACCTTGAAGGTGGAGGCAGGAGAATCAGAACTTTAAAATCATCCTAGGCTACATAGCAAGTTCAAAGCCAGCCTGGGTTACATGAAATCCTGTCTCAAAACACAAAACAGAAGCAAAGCAAAGCAAACAAACAAACAAACAAACAAACAAAAAACCCAAACCAAAAATCCCTCATCTGTACTTCCAGCCCTTGGAAGACTGAAGCAGGATTGCCATGAGTTTAAGGTCAGCCTCTGCTTCGAAAGCAGCTTGTGTACACAGTGAGGCTGTCTAAGATAGACCTGGAGAGATGACTTAGTGGTTAAAAGCACGTGCTGCTCTTCCAGAGGACGGGAGTTTGGTTCTCCAACTGCTTCTAACTCTAGCTCCAGGAGATCCAGCGCCACCTTCTGGCCTCTGTGAGTTTGTGTGTATGTGTCAACCCTGCCCACCCCCTCCCCCCCCAGCTGAAAATATCTTTTTTGAGACAGGGTCTCCCTGTCTGGTCTGGAGCTAACCATATAGACAAAGCTGCCTTCAAACTTGGAGATTCACCCGCCTCTGCATGCTGAGTACTGAATTTAAGGCATGAGCCACCATGTCCAGAAAAATAAAATCTTTAAAGAAACAAAATAAATCGAGACAAGAAACTTCCTCAAACAGTAAGAATGACAGAGTGCCAACTGTGTGCTGAGTGTAGATTACACTGTTTGTTTCTTGCTCTTGGCTTCTGAGATGAGCAATTAAGTCGCCATTTCACGTGAACATCCATAACTTCAGGTGGCTTTCCTGGCGTCACATAGCTGACAAGTAGCCCAGGTGGTTTGCCTGGCTTCAGAGCTCTTACCCACAAAATTACACACTTTCTGCTGAATCAATATACTTCCTGGGAGGCCGGAAGCAATATTGTTGAGCTAAGCCCACCATCACACTCAATATTTGAGCCACATGGTACACAGGTTAGAGAGGCCTGAATCTCTTAAGAAGCAAGCCCCAGCCACTGGCACAACTGTTCAAAAGGCTCATCCATGCCAGAGTGCCAGATTACCAGGCTCGACACTGCCCCTGGTGGCCACACAGGGGATCTATGGCTCCTCCATCCCTCTACCTATGTGGATCTGTGAGCCACCTTGAGAAGGGACAAAAAAGCCAGGTGGCTTCTGGAACTGGACAGCCACTCATCTGTGTCACTTGGCCATGAGAATCCAAGAACTGGGGCTGGTGAGATGGCTCAGCAGGTAAAGGGGCTTGTGGCGCGAGCCTCATGACCCGAGTTCAAATCCCAGAGCCCATGGTGGAAGAGAGAAGACCATCTCCAAAGGTTATTCTCCGCCCTCCACATGTGTATGGTGGCTTGTACAATGCCCACACCTGCACACACTCGCTCTATCCTCTCTTTTAGTTTTGCAAGGCAGGGTCCTCTGTGTAACGGCCCTGGCTGTCCTGGAACTCTCTTTGCAGGCCAGGCTGGCCTCAAACTCATGGGGATCCACCTGCCTCTACCTCCCAAGCACTGGGATTAAAGGCATGCGCCACACTCACTGTAAATTAAAAAAAATGTAAAGAAGTCTGCCAAGACCCTGGGGCTGGGGCCCTGCCTGCACAAGCAGTGTGTCTGTGGCTGGGTGACCTCTAGGTACAAAGGTTAGGGTTACGGTTAGAGGCTGTTGGAAACACAGTGTGAGGAAAGCCCTCCTTATCAAAGTCCCCAGGACACAGAAAGTCGATGCCAACTGCCCTGCACTCAGCACAAGGGACCTTCTGACCCTGTGCATTAGGAGGCTGAGTACAGGTGGCTGGCCATCTGGGACATTGTACTGGGACTCTGGACTTCAGCTTGAGCTGCGTCAGACCCTGTCTGGTGCTGAAGGGATGGCTGGGTGGGTAACAGCACTCACCCACCGCTCTACAGAGGACTGGAGTTTGGCTCCCAGCACCCGCATGAGGCAATACAGACAAGTGGGCAAACACACATACACATCACTAAAAATAAAACTTTCCAAGAGGCTGGGGAGGTGGCTGGGTGGTAGAGAGAACTTTCTGTTCTCTCAGAGGACCAGGGTTTGAGTCCCAGCACCCACATGGCAGCTCTCAGCCATCTGTACCTCCCTCCAGTTCCAGGGGATCTGATGTCGTCTTCTGGCCTCTGAGGGCACCAGGCACACACGCAGGCAAAACATTCATACACATAAGATTAACACTTTAAAAATCTTAAGAACAGCCGGGTGTTGGTGGCGCATGCCTTTAATCCCAGCACTTGGGAGGCAGAGGCAGGTGTATCTCTGTGAGTTTGAGGCCAGCCTGGTCTACAAAGTGAGTTCCGGGACAGCCTCCAAAGCCACAGAGAAACCCTGTCTCGAAAAAAACCAAAAAAAAAAAATCTTAAGAACAGGAGGAGGGTGGAATGGGAGAGGGGAGAGGAGAGAAGCGGCATGGGGAAAAATGCATACCTCAATTTAAAAAAATATCTTAAAAACAATGGTTTTTTTAAAGATCCTATTTCAAAGACAGACACACACACACACACACACACATACAGAGGAGAGAAGGGGAGACAGACAATAAAACCCAGTTAATCACTAGACGTGGTGGTATGTCTATAATCTCAGCACGGTAGGAGCAGAGGCGGGAAGATCACTGCAAGTTCTAGGCCAGCCTAGAACAGAATGAACGTCAGACCAGTCAGGGCTACCCAGTGAGACATAAACTCAAAAACTTGTTTAAATCAATCAATCAATCAATCAATCAATCAATCGTCAATGCAACCACGAGTAATGGAGGCAGCCATGTCCTGATGCAAAGAGAACCAGGGTCAATGAGACAGAAGGGGAAGGTCAGCTCTAAACCTTCGTTCGTGCTTCCGGTCAGCTGATCTCTGACGAGCCATCAGGGGATGCAAGGGGAGGGAACGGCCTTTTCAGCAGATGATGCTGGGACAACTGGGAGTTCCCAAGCGAAGGATCGGAAAGAGCAGTACCCCATACCCACCCTGAAAAAAAAATGAGCTCAAAATGAGTCGTGTGGTTCTGAATGCAAGAGCAGGAACTATAAGACTCCCTGATTATGGGAGTCGGACCCAGGGCTCTGGCTGCTGAGTCCTGACCTCTGAGAGGCTGAGAGCTGGGCATGTCCTTCTAGAAGCAGGTGCTGGGGTGGAAGGGAGCAGCAGGGCAGAGGCTGAGTGAGAAGACAGGGGCATGGGGTTAACTCTCCACTCTCGGCACCCTTACATTGCTCCTTGAAGGCAGCATGGTGACACACCCCTGCAACCCCAGCACTTTTGGGTGGTAGAGGCAGAAGAATCAGGAGTTCAAGGCTAGGCCCAGCTACATCGTTCAAGGCCAGGTTGAGCTACATGAGACCCTGTCTTGAAAACTAACAACTAAAAATAATAAAAGTGTACGTCAAACCACTCCCAAAGCCAACACAAACCACACTCTTGGAGAAAGTGGGTTGGACAGCCTCCCTTAGAGGTGGGAACCATGGCTCAGAGGGCAGAGGGTGGGCAAAGCAGCAACTCTGCATAAGGGCGCCCTGATGTCTTGTGTGGATGAAATCGAACGAACCCTTGGGGGAAAGAGTGCAAAGTCAATTAGATTCCCTGTCTCCCACCAGTCGTGAGAAGCGCCGTGCCTCCCAGACCCGGCAGCTGGAGGCAGGCAATTAGGGGCTGTCTCTCTCCATCTCCCATTGCTGTGACACAGCTGACTCCTAAGGCGACATAAGGACGCTGAAGAGATTGAGAACATTCTGGGAAGAAAAAAAAAAAAAAAAACACCCAGCCTCTTCAGCCTCAATCAGATTCTAACAGCTTTGCTGTGTCCTTGGCGTTTCCCAAGGCCAGGCCCTCCTGGAGAACTGAAACATTGTTTTGTGTCTGGAGGCCGAGACAGAGGGGCATTTAAAGGCTAGCTTGGTGACAAGAAGAACAGCACGTTCAAGGACCCAAAACAGGCTCTTTTCTCACAAGCTAGCACTGGGTGAAGATAAATGACAAGGTCAGCCAAGGGTGTCCCAAAAGTCCTTCCCCTCTTTTGGGAGACAAGAGCTGCAGGATTGAGCTTCCCCGGGGCCTGAGCAGGGTCTCTGCAAGAGGGATGTGTGTGTGTGTATGTGTGTGTGTGTGTGTGTGTGCAGCAGAGGGGACCAAGAGTATTATTGTTGCCTAGGAGTGTCAGGGGGAGATTGCCCCTGTGAGAATCTAGACACCCTGAAGTATGAAGAACCACAATCTGGCCCCGCCCCCATTGCTAAATCTGGACTCTAGAACCTCACACACACCCCAGTCAGTGCTCTACCACTGAGCTACACCCGGCCCCAACAACTCTCAAACCCAGAGCCACAAAGAACCTCCATAGCCTGGTCCAAACACCAAAGCATGTGGGGGAGAGTCACGATGGATCCTTCACCCCATCTCAGAACAAAGCTTGCCTCATGCAGGGACAGTGAGCAAAGCCATTCCTAGAGAGAAGCTTTCTGTGGCTTAACGGGAAGCGTGGTACACGCTGGGAGGGGAGTCCGGGGAATGGCAGGAAGCAGGGGTGTTGGTGCCCGAGAGAGGCCAGGAGGAGGACCAGCCTTCGTCACTTGGGGCAGCCCATCTGTGTGCCTTGCTTGAGCGATGGATGCAGAGGGAGGGCTCCCTGTGTGGATCCCATGACTTTGAGAACCTCCTGGACCCGGCTGGGAAAATGTTTTCATGACCCTAATGGGCATGACAAGGCCAGCTCTCAGGCCGAGGGGCAAATGAAGGAATGCATTTACATACAGTGCCTGTACCCAGCCCACAGTCCTCTTGTGACCCCCCACAATTGCTCCCCCACATTGACTTTATTTTCAATCATGGGGGGGCTGTGTGTGCACACAAGTGAATTGGGGTGGAATCCAGAAGTGTCAGATCACCTGGAGCTGGAGTTACAGGGGCTGGGAGTCACCTGATGGGGGTGTTGGAAATCGAACTCCTGACCCTCTGCAAGGTCTTAACTGCTGAGCCATCCCTCTGCAGGGCCCCTCTCTCTAAGTTTTTGAAACAGGTTCTCACTCTTAGTTCAGCGAGCCTGCAGCCTATGGAGAGTAGTCTAGGCTGGTCTCAAACTCTCAGCTATCCGCCTGCATCTGCCTTCCAAGTAGTTCAGGGATGACAGGCATATGCCTTTCCCTCTCCCTCCTCTTAGTAGAAAGCTCTCTTAACAGCCCCATCCTCCCCGGGTAGAACGTTCGCTTCATTCACCTGAAAGCCCGAAAGAAGTCCCGCCCACTCCGGGACACCGTCGGGGTCAGGGCCTGGTGGGGTTGTGGTGCAGAAGGCCAGGTGCTTGGGGGTTGCCGAGGTCCTGGAACTTGGCGAATATTCCGGGCAGCGAGGATTAATGCTGCGGGAAGAGCGCTAGGGAGCGCTGGTCCTGATCCAAGCATCCGACAGTTCTCCTAGAAGGAATCCAGGTTTCTTGCACTTTTGGTGATTATTACCCTCAGGGGCTCTTCCCTCCTCTCGCCAGGTTTTCTCTCGGACTTGGACGTCCTCCCAGGCGCCAGTCCCTTACCTAGGCTCCGTTTCTCCTGCCACACCGCGCCCGGGAAGCGCCCAAGACACGTCCCGGTTCCAGCTCCAGTTCAAACGGCTGGGAGCTGCGGAGTTTACCGGTTGCCTAGCAACCCTGTCTGGGCCGAGACACTGGCCGTTCCGAAGGTGATCTGGAGCGCGTGACATCGGCCCCCACCACCACTACCACTACCCCACCCCACCCCTACCCCATTCCTGTCGGAAGCAGAGCCCTTCTCTTCTCCCTTATCTGGGGGTCATCTGCAGAAGAGGTGGTGGAAAGTTAACCAACTTGTAAATCCCGCAAATGGGCATAAGCGCTGGGCAAAAAAAAAAAACCCGCTTACCCAAGGCTACAGTTATGCATCCGGCGAAGTCTCCTGAAAACGCAAGCAAAGTGACCGGTGCGTGGGAAGCCCTGCGCCTGGGTTAATGAAAGCCTGCTCTGTTCAGTTCTGATTTTGTCTGATTTGTCACTGTTTGCTGCAATGTCTGGGCCTCTTCGGCTGCCATATCCCCGGCACCGCCACCCTTCTGAATACATCTCCAGAATGGAAATTCCTTGAGGGTCAGGCTGAATGTATGCACGACTTAGCTGTGTGGTTGGCGCGTTGGAAACATGGTGTCATTGCATGAATGAAAGAGCTAATGGATACATGAATGACACAATGAGAGACGTGTTTCTCGTGAGCTTAAGGCAACGAAGTGAGAAAATGCAGGAGGGATTAGAAAACCGGCAAGATGGCTGAGTGAGTTACAGTCATCCTGACAAGTGAGAGTTCAAATCCTGGAACCCAGGTAAAAGTGGAAAAAGAGAATAGATTCAACAAAGTTGTCCTCTGACCTCCTACACCTACGATACTACTACTACTACTAATACTAATAAAATCAGTAATTAAAAATTAAAGAAGGGGGGTTTAGTCCTACATCTAGGGTTGGTGAGATGATTCAGTGGGAGAAGGGGCTTGTTACCACTTCCAAAGACCTGGGTTTGATCCCTGGACACATATGATGAAGGAGAGAGCTAACTACACACACACACAGTGTTTTTGTTTTTTGTTTTTTGTTTTCTGAGACAGGAAGAAAACTACAGAATCTCCTATAGCTCCCCAGAAGACCCTAAGAGCATTTGGAGCTGGGGACCCTAGCTTGGTCATTTATTTATCTCGTTATTTTTAGCAAGTCCCTCTCCCTCCCTTGTGATGGCTTGCACGAATTTGGATCCCACAGGCTCATAGATACTCATGCTTAGTCCCCAGTTGGGCAAGCTGTCTGGAAAAGATTAGGAGGTGTGGCCTTGCTGGAGGAGGCGTGTGTTTGTGAGGGGGGAGCTTGGAGATTTCAAAAGCCCACACCAGGCCCAGTGTCTCTGTCTCTTCCTGCTGCCTATGGATGAGGACGTAGCTCTCAGCTATTTCTCCAGCGTCACGCCTGCCTAGGTACGTGCCGCCATGTTTCCTGCCACGATGATTATGGACCAACCCTCTGAAACTGTAAGCAAACCCTCAATTAAAAAGTTTTCCTGCGTAAGAGTTGCCTTGGTCATGGTGTCTTTTCACAGAGATCGAACAGTGACTTAAGACAACCCTGCGGTACTGGGACTGAGCAGGGGCTTGCGTCTGATAGGCTAGAGCTCTACCAGTGAACTACACGCCCAGCCTTAGTTTCCATTTCTGGGACTTAACCTCCCTCATCCTCACAGTAGGACAGTGACAGTTCTTCGGGCCCATGTGTGATCAGACACGGCAGAGCCCAGCCCACCGACAGCTCTGCGCTTGGGGCTACAGGCTGTGGAGGACGAGGTGAACCTGAGGCCAGGCGTGGGCACTGGAGATTTGGACGAAGCCAGGCAAAGACTGAGTCACCAAGATGTGGGTTATGGGGCTGGAACTGGGCCCTAGAAAATGGTTTTGAGTTGCCGGGGAGAAGGAGTGGGGAGTTATTCCCGGGGTGGGGGCGGGGTGTGATGTGAACCAGAGTAACAAGCTGTGTCTGCTCCAGGATGAGCAATGTGGCTGGCTGGGGTTGCAAGCCGGGGCCCCTCTGATGACGAGTGGGTAGGGAAGCAGGGGTGGGGTGCAGATAAGAAAAAAGGGGGGCTGGAAAGGAAACTGGCAGTCGTTTTTATTATAACAATGATGTTATCCCTGACCCCCCACCCTATCCCACCCCACCCCACCGCACCCTACCCCATTCTAGCCTCACTCAGACCTGTGTGAAGCCAAGCGATAATGGAAAGGGTTACCTCGCTCACTGGCTCACTCGCTCACTAGCTCTTAGCTCTTGGCAAGTCCAGCTTCAACCACCATGGGAGGCCAGCATGAAGTCATATAATTAGGAGTATTCATAACGTCCTGGGTATTTTTTTTCCCCTCAGCTTCTCGGATTTCCACCCAATCACAGCGTAACCGGCCACAGAAATTCTTTGCTCAGACCAGCCCCCGCCCTGGACAAACTCCAGCAGGTGCCTAGTCCATACCCCGCTGCCTTTATTTCCACCCCAGTTTCCATAAGACAGAGTCTCATGTAACTCGGGCTAACTTTGAACTTCTGATCCTCCTGCCTCCACCTCCTAAGTGCTGTGAGGACAAGCTCCAGCACACCAGACCTTGGAACTCTTTTTTTTTTTTTTTGGTTTTTCGAGACAGAGTTTCTCTGTGGCTTTGGAGGCTGTCCTGGAACTCGCTTGGTAGTCCAGGCTGGTCTCGAACTTACAGAGATCCACCTGCCTCTGCCTCCCGAGCGCTGGGATTAAAGGCATGCGCCACCAACGCCCGGCGGAACTCTTTTACAGAAAGATCAGTTAGTGATTTTTTTTAATTGGAGTATTTAATAGTACAGGGTAAGGGCTTCCATTACACACACACACACACACACACACACACATGCATACATATATAAAATGTACTTCGATCATATCTACTCCCCATTACCTTCTGTTTTCGCCTTTTTTGTTGTTGTTGAATTGTTTTGTTTTTCCAATTTTAAATTTTCCAATTTTAAAACTGAGGGAAGGGGGCTGGAGAGATGGCTCAGAGGTTAAGAGCACTGACTGTTCTTCCAGAGGTCCTGAGTTCAATTCCCAGCAACCACATGGTGGCTCACAACCACCTTGAATGAGATCTGGTGCCTTATGCTGGCACACAGGCAGAAGACATACATACATAATAAATAAATAAAATATTTTTTAAAAAACTGAGGGAAGACATGACGCCTATGCTTCTGAAATGGAACCAGAAGTTCAAGGTCAACCTTACACACTAAGCTTGAGACCAGCCTGGGCTGTACAAGACTGCCTCAAAACAAGCAACAAACAAAGCTAGACCAAGGTGGGAGCCTTTTGATTCCAGCACTCCTGAGGTAGAGGCAGGCAGACGTCTGATTCCCAGACTAGCTTGGTCTACATGGTGAGTTTCAGGTTAGCCAGGGCTACATAGTGAAACCTCATCTCAAATCAAAACCAAAACCACCAAACAACACACACACACACATACACACACACTCACAGAGAGAGAGAGAAACAGAGAGAGAGAGAGAGAGAGAGAGAGAGAGAGAGAGAGAGAGAGAGAGCAAACTAAAACAGGAAGCACAAGCTCATGAGATTCTTGCCCACAAAAGCTAACCCATATCCAAGCAATCAGATCTGGTTCTGGTACATGATAATTGGTAAACTCCATCCCAGGACCGAGACCATGACTCTACAGACGCCTCTGCTACCCTCGAATTCAGAGAAAGTAAGGGGCCACCAAATATTTAGGCTTTGTGGGTTAGGAGGCACATATCAAAGTTCTCATGGGGGCCGCTAAGGACAGTTCTTATCTGAGCGTGCTGGGCAACGAACAGGGCTGGCCTCTCCCGCATTGTGTGGAGAGAGGAGGGAGTGCTGGGCTGGGAGTGTAGCTCAGTGGTAGGAGTGGCCACCTAGCATGAGCCAGGCCCTCATTTCAGTCTGAACTTTGGAGAAAGCCCAGAGTACACACGGGGCCTTTCCCTGGTTCTGCAAGAGGAGCTATGGACAGAGGTTAGGGATGTGGCTCCCTGGATAAGAGCTTTTGCTGTGCTAGCCTGAGGACCTGAGTTCAAATCCCCCAGCCCTCACCTAAAAAACTGGGTGTGACTGGGCACATGCCTGCAATCTCAGTGCTGCAGTGGGGGAGACAGGAGGATTTCTGCCTGCCAGCCTAGTGAGAGACCCCATCACAAGGTCACAAGGGAATAAGACGGGGGTAGAGCAGAAGAGGCATTGTCCTTTGTCCTCTGGCCTATGTTCATCTCTCTCTCTCTCTCTCTCTCCCTCTGTCTGTCTCTCTCTCTCTCTCTCCCTCTCCCTCTCTCTGTCTGTCTCTCTCTCTCTCTCTCTCCCTCTCCCTCTCTCTGTCTGTCTCTCTCTCTCTCACGCGCGAGCGCGCGCGCACACACACACACAACACCATTGCCACCCCTACCACCACCATCACCACCACCACCAAACAAACAAAAAACAGGTAAATGTCACAGGCACCTGTGACCTGAGATAGTCACTCACAGGCCCATCTTTTTCCTTAAAAAAAAAAAATTTATAGCTAGGTGTACTGGTGCATACCTTTAAGTCCCAGCATTCAGGAGGCAGAAGTCACCAAGGCTAACTCTGGTCTACAGAGTGAATTCTAAGACAACCAGAGCTACACAGAGAAACTCTGTCTCGGAAAAAAAACATGTGTTTATGCTGAGCATAGTGGTACACACCTTTTAGTCTCAGCACTTGGGAGGCAGAGACAGGCAAATTGCAATGAGTTCTAGGCCAGCCTGGTCTGCACAGTGAGTTCCAGGTCAACCAAGGCTACAAGACCTGTGTGAGTGCATCATATGTGTGAATGCCCATGGAGAGCAGAAGAGGGCATCAGATCCTATGGACCTGGAGGGTCTGATCTTGAGTTGTCATTGTGGGTGCTGGGAACCGAACCTGGGTTCTCAGCCTAAGCAACAAGTGTTCTTAACTACTGAACCATCTCTACAGCCCCAAGATTGGCTTTTTAATTTCTATTTATGTGTATATAGGTCTCTGTGTGTTATCCTGGAAGAGCAGGGCAGTGGATCCCCTGGAGGCAGAGCTACGGTGGTTATGAACTGCTTGACATGGGTGCTGGGAACCAAATTCAGATCCTCTGGGAAAGCAGCAAGTGCTCTTACCTGCCGATCCGTCTGTCCGGCCCCTCATAGCCCCCCTCACCTCTCATCGGAGCCTCTTATAATCCCTCCCTCCACAACCTCGGTGGAAGGGAATGCACCCTCGATAGTCCCCAAAGCTTAGCAAGTAAGTGACCCAGTCAAGCGCACATCTTCAGAGACATGGTTTATTTCTTGGCTCAGGTGAGGGTGAAGACGTATCAAGCAGAGGTTTGCCCACCCGACTCCTGTAGAACCCGGAGGAGTTTAGTTTAACGTACATGCATTAAAAAGTCCTTCAGTTGCTGCAGAGGAAACATTAGAAGCAATGCCTTGAGGTCAGCCCAAGATCTGCACAGGGCACAGATACAGAAAGATGGCTCACAGTATGCGCGGGTTATAGGGGACACAGTGAGGCCGGCGCCTGGTGGCTTGGCTGGGAGCTGTCAGTGTGATGACAGGGAAACGGCCCTGTTGCACACTATCACAGGCCCTGCTTAGGTGTGCAAGGCCACGGGGCTTCAGGGTGTTGTGTGCTCTGGATTGGCAGGAGGTTGGAAGCACCAAATAGCCTAACCTGGTTCCTCAGCAGGCAGGACATCGGTCATTATTTTCTCCTAGCCAGAAAACGGCTTCAGAATAGAGAAAGCCCCTCAGTCTTGTGGGCTACCACGTCTCTCCCTTTACAGGGCCCTAGATATCCTTCTCCAGCCATCTGGCACAGGGTGTCTCACCAATCTTTATTTAAAAAATAAAAAAAAAAATAGATGGACTGAGTGTGGTGGCGCACACCTTTAATCCCAGCGCTCAGGAGGCAGAGGCAGGCGGATCTCTGTGAGTTCTAGGCCAGGGCCAGTCAGGGCTATATAATGAGACCGCAGTAACACAAAAGAAAGCCCCACACAACCCACTCCCCAGCCTCTCCTCCAGATCTGTAAAACGGCTTCTGAGAGAGAGCTGCAGTATGGAAACAGATGTAAGGCCCGAGCCTTTTGGAGGTGCCTGTGAGGGAGCTGTGGGTCTTTGGATCATCAGAATGTCTTAAAGTACAGGGAACAAGAGCCCAGTTGCTTTCAAAGTGTCTGTTCATACCTGAGACTGTCCCCACCTGCAGCTGAGACCCGGCTGCAGAATGGAGCCGGCCGGTGGAGGTTAGAGAGGCAGAATGTGGCGGGCCCTCTCCCATGCTCCTGCCCAAAGCTGCCAGGCTGCAGTGCCCAGCGTGAAGCCACCAAGCCCTCTGGGAAGTACTCTGAGTGCCATCCTTGGCAGAGTCTGTGTGGTCTCAGAACGTGGTTCCTGGGCTACGTGTTTTCCTAACACACTTCCAACTGTCACCTGCTAGGAAGTGATGACAGAGTTACGGGAAGGTGTGGCCTGGGCTTAGGGCCGTGCTACTAAGAGGCAGGGCCCAGTGGCAGGACCTTGAGACAATGGAGCTCTCAGGCTGGTGGTCGCCTCCTCACTGCCACTTAGCATCTGCTCAGGATGGGGCTTAGGGGGCTGAACCGGGTGGCCGGTTCTGGGACGGCAGCTGAGTCCTAGGACGGAGAGCTTGGCCAGAGAGGCTGGTCTAGTCTCGGCCTTGCATCCACCTGTGGCTTGGTCAGGTGTCCCAGCTGTGTCTCCGCAGCCACAGGACCTTCCCAGTCCAGGAACTTTCAGTTTCTGTTATAGAAACACAGCCAGGACCTGCAGCGGCTGGAAAAACCAAGCTGGGTGGAGGAGGCAGGTGCCCTGGAAGTTGCTAGGATGGGAACTCGTAGTGTCTCAGATGCTCATCCGCCACGGACATGTAGGTGGCCCTCATGCTGGGAGAGTACTGTGGTGGAGAAGAGGGACAGTCAGAACAGGGCACAGCTCACTGTCGGGTCAACCTGACACTATACAGCCCGCATTCCCGTGTGAACGCTGGTTCCATACCCATAGATTCCCATAGATTCAACTGTGGATCAAAGCTACTAAAAAAAGAAATGCCCGCACTAAGTATGTATGTGCTGGTTTTCTTCTATTGTTTCTGTTACTTATTTAGACAGGGTCTTACTTTGTAGTCCAGGATAGCCCAGAACTCCTTATGCAGCCAGGCTAGACTCTTAACTCAAAAGGATGGCTTCAGCGAGAGCTGGGATTACGTGTGTATGTCACCACACCCAGAGTCAATGAAGCAACATTTTGCAGAGTTGGATTGCTTTAGTTATTAAAAGTCACCCGGCTGTGATCCTGAACACACAGCAGGGTGTGTGCAGGTTACACGAAAAGCAGCGCATCGTTTTACACGAGGCACTGGAGCATCATCGGAGTTTGGGATCCTTGGGATCCCTGGAGTCAGTCCTCTCTGTGCACTTCTCAGAGGATGACAGCCTGGCCAGGGACAGCAGCCAGACACAGTGTTTTCATCACAAGGTGTCGTGTAGCTGGGGGAATACCAGCATGGCTTGAGAAGCTTCGTGTCCACCGATGCCTCCCGTCTGACACCCATCGGGGGCCCCGGGCTTTAGCCTCTAGCATAGCGTGCACACACAGAGCAGGGATCTTCCGTCCTCCGCCCCAGCACCCAGGCTGCTCTCTCACTAAGGTGTGGCACTGGGCTGTATCAGGTGCACCAGTTCGGAGCAGTTAGCTAGCAGCCAGAAGCCTGAGTGGCGCAGACCCATAGGTCCTAGGAGCCAGGTCTGAATCCCAAGTGTGCATTGTATGTGTGTAGCTGCCACCTACCTTGTTTTGTTTGCATTTGAAACAAGGTCTTTCGTTAACCTAAAGCTTGCCCAGTAGGTGAGGCTGGCTGGCCAGTGAGCCCCAGGGATTCATTCACCCGTCTTCGCCTCCCCAGCGTTGAGATTATAATACAGACTACCACACCTAGCTTTTTATAATGCAGGTACATGTTTTAATATTTTTATGCTTTTTATAATTCTGGAGGCTTGAATTCAGGTCCTCACAAGGCATTCACTTTACTGACTGAACTGTCATCCAGTCCCCATCTATACATTTTACCTTCTCCGTGACTTTGGCAGAGGTCTTCCAAACTCTCCTGGCCACTTGAAAAAATGGACCTAAAATAATTCAGCAAGATCCTTTTTCTAAGGGTCTTCAAATATCTAGGGAGTTTTAGACGTCCCCATGCTCAGGCCACACCCACCAAGATACTTTTTTTTCTGTATTGAGGTAGGACACAGAAAGTAGAAAACCAAACTTTTAAAAGTGTCACCAAGATTCTACTCCTTCCTTCCTTCCTTCCTTCCCTCTGTGTTTTTTTCAAGACAGGGTTTCAGGTTCCCTGTGTAACAGTCCTGGCATCTGCTTTGTAGACCAGGCTGGCCTCAAACTTAGAGATCTGCCTGTCTCTGCCTCCCAAGTGCTGGGACTAAAGGTGTGCGCCACCACCGCCCAGCCAGACATTTTCCATTTCTTTTTTTTTTTTTTTTTTTTTTTTTTTTTTCAAGACAGGGTTTCTCTGTATTGTTTTGGAGGCTGTCTTGGAACTCACTCAGTAAACCAGGCTAGCCTCGAACTCACAGAGATCCGCCTGCCTCTGCCTCCTGAGTGCTGGGATTAAAGGCGTGCGCCACCACCGCCCGGCCATTTTCCATTTCTTAACACCCATGATTGTTGCTGGCCTACTGACCCCAGGATCAGAGTCTCCAGGCCCCAGGGACATTTCTGAAGTCTAGGTCACACATAACAGGAAGCATGCCACCTGAGGTAGGATGAGGAGAAAGGGGCACGAGGCCCTTCAGGTAGCCCAGTGCATCTCCATGAGGTGATCTTGTCTCTTAGACACAATACAATGTCTAATGATGGCCCAGTTGTCACAGCTGGGGCAGGGCTGGGGATAGAATACTGTGGACATCTAGCAAGCGGAAGCCAGACAAGCATCCTACAATGCACAGGCCAGCATCAACACCCAGGACCACCCTGCCCATCAGAGCACCGGGAGCGTTGAGTGAGGCAGCCTAAGAGTGTTGGTTCTCTGCTTTGGCTCACAGGCCAGCAGCAGGTTTGCCTGGGAATAGCTAGATGTGCAAATGCCTGGGTGCTGGCCCAGAATCCACAAGCCCTTTTAAAAGATTCCAGTGAGCACACAAGCACGAGACCCCCCCCACCTCCCCCAAACTCTGAGTGAAATGGGTCAGTTTCAAGCAGGGTGGTGCTTTAATCCTTACCCAGTGGTAAGGATTATAAGGATCTCCTTTACAAGACGGAGAACTTTGAAAAGACCAATCAGAATTTTGTTCCTTGTTTCTGCTCTCCTTGGTCCTTTGCTGTCTGTAAAACCCATCTCCTGGGGCTGGGGGTATAGTCTGTCGGTAGACAGAGCATGTGTGAGGCCCTGAGTTCTAGTCCCTAGTACCAATACTACCCCTTTCAGGGCTTACAGCAGTACTGGTATTTTATGGGATAGAAGAGCTTGGAATTGAAGATAAAGCCAGCAAAGATCTTGAACTCAGGAATTTTCACAATCACTCTGAGTTGTTTTTGTTGGGGGGGGGTCTAGAAACACAAGAGAGATTCCCTGGAGACAGAGCTAAGGGGAAGACACTTTCCAGGCTGCGCTTTCGGTGGCCTTGCTTTCTCTCACTCATGCTCTAAGTCTGATGACTCTTTGGAAGGAGGCGGAGGCAGGGGCAGAACCCTCTCCACCTCACAGCCAGTGTGCTGCCTTCCCTGAGGCAGATGCCCACACCCTCATCCCTCCTGTTTCCATGGACGACAGCATCAATACCTGTCTCTCCAGATGTCCCTAGCAGGGGCAGAGGGTGGGAATCTTCCCCCGGAGCTGGCTGGGACAGGGCAGCTTGTAATCACCTTTGCCAAGGCAATGAGGGCTGTTCTGTCCTCCAGCCTTGCAAATAAGGTCAACTATTGTTTACTTCAGCTAAGGACACGGAGAGTGGCCTGATTGTCTCAGACAGAAGGTAACCTAAAAATCACTTTCACTTACAATCACAGTTTAGTGATTAATTCCTTTTTCACAGCAGCAGATTTTCCCAAATCATGTTTGGCTTAGATTAATAATAAAGTCAGTCTGCATCCCTGGGGCCTGGCAGCTGGAGGGAGATAGAAAGAACCAGAAGGCTGACTAGCAGAAGGCAGGATGGGATTTTAAAGGTGCAGCCTCTAACTCACTACTGCGTAAACCCTGGGAGGGGCATGTCTGTGAAGCCTGCACTTGGGGGGTGGCGGGGTGTTGTGGGATATTATTTTAAGACGTGGGTTGCTTTTGTTTATGTTGAGCTTGTTTAACTCCGTGAAGCTGTGTCACTTTGCCTGTCTAAAACACCTGATGGCTTAGTAAAGAACTGAGTGGCCAATAGCGAGGCAGGAGAAAGAAACAGACAGGGCTGGCAGGCAGAGAGAATAAATAGAAGGAGAAATCTGGGAGGAAGAAGGAGCAAGAGAACCAGGGAAGGACAACACTAGGGGACAGCCACCCAGCCAGCTACAGAGTAAGAGTGTGAAAGTAAGATTACAGAAGTAAGAAAAGGAAAAAGTCCAGAGGGAAAAAGGTAGATGGGACAATCTAAGTTAAGGAAAGCTGGCTAGAAATAAACCAACGTAAGGTTAGGCATTAAAAAAAAAGCCCCCAGTGGAGCTACAGTAAAACAAGGTGGGGGCAAAAGTTCAAGGGCAGCCTCAGCTACATAGCGAGCCATGAGTTAAGTTCAGGGTCAGCCTCGGCTACATAGTGAGCCATGAGTTAAGAGGTCAGGCTAAGGGAGACCCTGCTCAAAGAAGCAATAGTAATATGGGGATGGGGACAGGTGGCTCAGTGGTTAAGAGCATCTGCCACTCTTCCAGAGGACCTGAGTTCCGTTCCCAGCACCCACATGGTGGTTTAAAATCATCTGTAACTCCAGTCCTAGAGGATCTGATACTGTCTTCTGGCCTCCACGGGTACTGGGCATGTTTGGTGCAGGCAAACAACCCCCCCCAAGCAATCAAATAAATGAATGAATGAACAAAAGAACAAATAGATAGACAGACAGACAGACAAAGACCAAATTTTCTTTTGGTCTTACAATGCAAGAATAACGTTCTTTTCTTTTTCACTTTTTTTCCTTTTGAAGTAAGATCTCCTATATCTCAGGATGGTCTTGAACTTGCTCTGTGTGACCTTAGACTTATTAGAATCACCATACCCAGTTTTACACTGGGGCTGGGGTTTGAACCCCAGGCTTCATGTGTGCTAGGCAGGGACTCTACCAAATGACCCACATCCGTAGCCCTGGGAGCAGTTTCTTGAGGGCCATGTAAAGGCCATTACCACGAAGACCCCCCCCACTCCTCCCCCACCACACCCCCTGCAGTGCCCAGCTCCAAGTTGGAGCCCTGACCATCATGTGATATGAGAAATTTACTTTTCCCTCTAAGTAAAAACAATGGCCAACCAAGCATGGCTACCCTAACCACCAGGTGGATTTATGATGGGCCAGTGTGACAAATGCTGTCTCTGGTCCTCTTGCTTGAAGACAGAGGCCATTTATCTTGAGGACAGTCGTGCAATGGGCAATGCCCAGGAGACCATCTAACAGGGTGAGATTGCTTTGTTTCTCTATGGTCTAGGTAGCTGACGGCCCGTGACATGCGTGGCAGTCTCAAAGACCTATTTGATATCAAAGCTGTTGCTTTCTTTTCTATCTCAACGGGGATCACACACCGTGATGACTGACAGATTCTGTTTTTGATTATGTCCCTGACAGGGACCAGGACAGTGACTTCGCCACAGAAGGAATACTTACTGTGGGCGGAGGGGAACCTCTCCCGATGAGTGGCACATTCTCGTATCGTGGGTTCCCACCAAAGAGTATGGCCTGGTTCCTGGGGGCCGAGAGGAGAAATCAGGTGTGTGTGTGTGTGCTTGAACTTGTGCTCCTGGGAGTCGAGGGTGGTGGTGTTGGCCGGTGGAGGGATTGTGGGTAGGACAATCAAGGAAAAAGAGCTGGGCGTGGTGGCTCACACCTGTAATCCCAGGACTTGGGGGCGGGGAGATCGAGGACATCTTGGGCTACAGTGTGAAAGAACACTCTAGGGCAGGTCCCCAACCTTCCTAATGCTGTAGCCCTTTAACACAGTTCCTCATGTGGTGACCCCCGATGGGAAAGTTATTTCCTTGCTGCTTCATAACCGTACTTTTGCTACTGTCTTGAACTGTAATGTAAGTATCTGATGTGCAGGATAGCTGATAACCCACAGGTTGAGAACCACTGCTCCGGGAGACCAGAGAAGAGGCAGCTAACAAGGGACAGATGCCAGGAGCACCATGACTTGGAGAAATGCAGCTTCTCAGGCCTGGGGCTGCCCTGGGGGCTTGTGGCGAAAGCCCATGGCTTTGTACCTGCAATGTGCTTTTCTCCGTGGAGAGGTGACTAGATGCTCCTATTGGGCAACCTGTGGGTCTTTGGGGCCTTCCCTCCCCCGTTTGTTCTTGGGGACCAAATGCTCTGTCTACAAACTCAACCTCACTCCAGGGCTAGGAGGGCTATGCTTCCCAGCCCGGGTGTGGGAGACTTGGGGCCCTACTGTGCGTACATGTACTCGGAGACAGGGGCGTTGGAGATGGTCTGGGTGGGGGGAGGCTGGAGGCTGCACTGGCTGCCAAGGCCACTGCTGTAGCTGCAGAAACTGTGCAGCTGCCCCCTCATCGGGTTGTGGGCTGCAATGCGCCGAGCTTGGGGGTTGAAAGGGTCATCGTCGTCAATGTCATCGTAGTCTCTGTCCCTAGAGAAAGATACAGAAGTTGGTCAGCCATGAGGGGTGAGGCTCAAGGCCACGCGGTCCTATTCTGCTCCCCAGTCTCTCTTCCTAGGGCACTCTCGGGCCGTATGCATCTTCTTCAGCATGTGCAAAGGCCTGGTCCCCAGGGGTACAACTTACTCTACCTGACCCCAGTGCCATGTCCACCTCTTCTAGGCAGCCGCCATACCGGCTGTGTACATGGCGTTGGGGAGGTGGCCCACTCACTCTATCTTGTCCGTCCATTTGTGAGGTCCTGAAATCTTGTCTTTGTCTCTCTCCAGAAGGAGCCTGCAGATTCCTTCTTGATATCTTTGACCCTCCCTACTGCTTTCTGGGGCCCTCTCTCATCATGTCACCTTGTAAAGTCTTGCTTAGGAAGAAGAGCAAGGGCTTCTGGGAGGTGCCAGGAGGGTTGTCACCATCTTTGACCCAGTTACTTTTTCAGGGATCTATGTTAATTCTCAGGGAAACCCCTGCCAGTCTGCAGGGGCTGAATGCTGGGCCCTCTGCGGCCCTCCATTGTCTCAGGTGACAATTGGTGGTGCCACCACCGCAGGAAAACCCCTATGCGGCAGGGGGCCACTTCCTTTCTGGTACCCTACCTGCTGATGAAGTGTTTCCAGGCCTGAGGCCCCGCACAGGTCAGGGTAGAGAAAGCCATGGCAGCCAGGATGGAGAAGAGACCAAGGAATAGCAGGCCCTCAATGCCATCATAGCAGATACCAGTGAGGGCATCCAGGTAGTCCTAGGGAAACAGGGACATGTCATTGCAGGGAGATGTGTGGCAAAGTCTAGGGTCTGAGCCTCTCCACGGGAGCCCCTCTCCTTCCTGCCTTTGCCTGTCATCTTCAGGTTGCTCCCCACCCAAAGCAGAGACCACTGCCTTTTGGGGTCCCCAGTCTAGAGTCACCTGACAACTCCTTGGGACAGACGGGCCGGCGGCTCTACAAGGATTTGTGGGCCTCCTACTGTGTGCCAGACACTGGAGGCTGACTTCAAACAAGACAAATGAGGTGGTGGCTAGTTGTAGAATTGGAAACAGGTTATATCCATAACTCTTTCATTTTAAAAATTTTATTATTTTATGTCTAAGTGTATTTAAGTGTGTACAGTGTGTGTGTGTATACATACATGGGTCATAGCATATGTGTTTATTCTAAATCTATACAGGTTGTGGAAAATGTTGACATACATGATATATATTGGCTTACTGCTTAGGGGTGAGGTGCTCACATACCTCCAGTATCTCTTGTATTATTGTATATATGTGAGATTAGGTTTTTGGTATTTTTTTTTAGACAGGATCTCACTCTGTAGACCAGGCTGGCCTGGAACTCACAGAGATCCACCTACCTCTGCCTCCCAAGTGCTGGGTACTAAAAGTATGCGCCACCATATTTGCCCCCCCCCTCCAGAGCTTCACCATATAGCCCAGCCCAGATGGTCTTAAATTCATGATCCTCCTGCCTCAGCCACTAAGTACTGGAACTACAAGCATGCATCAGCATGTCTGGTATATTGTATCCTGGCGATGAGACTGAAACACTGACTTGCAAGACAGGGAGATGGATGGGTTGACCAGATGGCTATTAGTCTAGGTAGTGGGTAGCTATACACTAATCATTTAGGTCGAGAGTCTTCCAGTCTTCTAAAACTTTCCTGCCCAGCCTTTCTAGGTTCCTATTGTAAGTCCCTTCCATGGGGTGCTCTCCTGAAGCCAGAGAATCAAGAAGCTAGATACCTCCTTCCGCTTCCCACTGTTCGGCTTCAGCCTCATTCCTGGGCCTTAAGGGAGTCCAGACAAGTCCTAGGCCTTTGCTGGCTTCTCTCTGGAAAACCGTGCCCTGCTGGTGTACCCCACACCCTTCGCAGTCAGTCACCTAGTACCTTGTGCAGCCCTCGGCAATCTAACATGGCAGTCAGCTGGTGCAGGCTGGTCTCGGAGGAGTTCAGCAGAATCTGGATGCCGAGAAGGTCTTTCTGAAGTGGGGGGGGAGAGAAGGCAGGGCGAGCAGCTGGGGAGGGCGCGCATACAAGACGATAAAGAGCAGCTGTGCAAAGAGGCCTTCGGGTGAGAGGAAAGGGCTGAGCCACAGGGAGTGAGGGATGCCCAGGTGGCCGGATGCTCGCCCAAACCTGGCTGGGGCACAGGCAGGAGTGTGGCAGAGGACAGGGTGGATGGGGGCAGGGCCCAGCGAGGGCTCTCCTCCTCCCAGCACAGCTGCTGGGATGGCTGGTCCCTTACCTCTGCTGTAGGGAAGAGGGGAACAGCAAACTGCAGCAGGCCTACAACTTGGATCTGCATGGTGGTCAGTGAGCGCTGGAACACGGTCAGTGACTGCGTGGAGAGGACCACAGCCTCCCGTGAGAACCCATTCCCCGGAAGTCCTGCGGCTACCAGGAGGCTTGTCCTCTTGGTAGTCCCTCCTGGTAGTCACATCACCGTCAGGCAAATGTATAGGAGCGGGGCAGGCTGTACCCACTGTAAAGGGCTTCTTGGACTCTGGATTCAGGGGACAGGCATAAGGAATTGGATTCCGCTGGTTTTGGAACACTGGACCTTGACTCATAGAAGGAAACTGCTCCCCAGCATCCGGATCTCGAGCCATCTGGTCAACCCAACCACTCACTATATGGCATGATTATGCTCTTTCCCCAAAAGAAATCTTTCCCCCACATCCCTCTGTCTTTTTAGAGCTTCACAGTCCTCCTGCTTCTCACTATTCACATGTGGTCCTCATACTACATGGCACTTGCTGCCATGGGACCTATCCCCACGAGGCACACCCCAGCTCTCTAGGGAGGTGCACACGCGTGAGCATAGGAGAAAGGTATAGAATGCAGTAACCAAGGGCAAACCCCTTTTTGAGGATGGCCAAGAGAGGGACCGCAGTGAAGTGATGCCCATCTGTCCACCATCCTGGCACATGGTAGGGGCTCAGGGTCCAGGGAGAGGGAGGCCAGGAGGGGCTGTGGGAAAGGCGAAGTTGTGCTTGGATGGCTGTACCTGCTGGAAGGGGCTGCTTAGACTCTGACTGCATTGCAGGTAGTAGCGGGTCACCTCTGCAAAGCAAGAGCATCGGCGTAAGGAAGCTCACCGGAAACCAGACCCCTCGGCCTGCTCTGTGGTCCAGCCCACTCCCAAAAGGTGGTTTTCCAGGAAGTGGCCCAGTGGTCTAGAGGAAGCTAGGCCTGGGATACGGAGACCGCCTGATGAGCACAGGAAGAGGTGAAGTGTAGGAAGTCGGATCATGCAGGCTTAGCCTGAGGTTGGGGAATGGCTCTGGTGACAGAGGCCCCAAAGGACATTACCTGAACTGAGCTGGCTCCGTGTGTTGTTCAAGATGTAGATGTCAGGGGCCATGCAGAAGTCACTGGTACCCTGAGTCGTGGAGACAGGAGTGGGAAGAGGATGGTCAGACAGGCCCTCGGGCACCGGGAGGAGAGAGCCTGGCTCCTGCTGCCCTGGCCACTTTGATCTCTAACTCAGCCCAGGGCAGAAAAGAAGCTGGGAGCCAGATTATCAACTTTGAGTCCTGGCTCTGTCCTTTCCTACCTGTTACCTTGGACAAGTGACTTATTCTTTTTGTGTCCGAGTAGTCTCACCTATTGTGTAGACACAGGGACACTATTCACCTCACATAGGACTGTTAATGTAGGGGCAGCTGCAAGTGTGGGTCTGGAGTGGTCTTCCCTTGCTCTCGGACTTATTTGCTCTTCTCTGCTGTATTCTTGCCATTGCCAAGCTCTGCACACTCTGGCGGTCAACCTATAAAAGGTTGCTTTTTTTTTTTTTTGTAAACAAAACAGAACAGGATCTAACTATATAGCTCTGGCTGTCCTGGAGTTCACTACGTAGATCAGGATGGCCTCGAACTCATGGAGATCTGCTTGCCCTCTGCCTTCTGAGTGCTGGCATTAAAGGCATTCGTCCTATGCATGACTCTGACTTGCCATCTAAAGGATAAGACTAGGAAGAAGTCCATCTTGGCGCCTTTGGGGTCATGATTCCATTGCTGAGACCAGTAGGGAGCCAGTGGAAAACTATTGGAGTTGGAGCATGACCAGTAAGGTCAGTGTGACTGTTTGACAGAGGAGTGACAGGAGGATGCCATGTTCTGAGCCTAGAGTTGGTATGGGGTGCAATGGAGACCTGGAGAGAAGAGGCACCCCATCTTTCAGAGCAACCCGGCAAACTCTTGCTCCCATGCCCCATACTAAGGAGCTACCCAGTTCTCTGATGCATGATCCTGGAGCATGGAACTCCTTCAGGCAGCCCTGTGACACGAAAGGTACTCTGTCCATATGCAGCACCACCCCTCACCCACTGAATACAGGTTTTGAGCTCTTACTAGATACAGGCATGACTTTAGGACTGAGGACTGGTACTTGCCAGGGGCATGTGTTTGTGTCTTGGGATTGAGAGCAGAACATGTATGGGGGACACTGGGAGACAACAGGCTCCCCTAGATTCAAAAGTTCTCCAGAGTATCCCGACATTCATCTCCTCCCCCACACAAGCACGACCATTCCCCCCAACCCCCGACATATGCAGTCACCCACATGCACTCAGGACCTCGGAGCATGGTTTTATATACAAACCACCAACATACATAATAAATCACCGAGCCTATTATTATCAGTTAGAGCTGCAGCGTTAGCAGGCCTGGTGGTGCGCCCTCGCCCCTTGGCTGGAAAAGCAGAGATGGAGAGCCAGGCTGGGGTTGCTGGAGAGAAGCCTTGACAAATGGAGTAAGGCCACTGTCTTTGAATCACACCTCCAGAAAGACCAGGACCCAAAGAGGGGGAGCTAGGAACCCCTTTATGAGGCGTCACCAATGCTGAGGCTTCTCTTCCACCTCTGGTTAGGTCAGGCCTGGGAAAGTGGGCTAAGATATTGTGGCGGTACAAGGCTTACTGTGAGAAACCAAATCTGCCAATGAAGGTGTGCATGCGTGTGAATATGATACATGTGTGTGTGCACGTGTGTGTCCATACCTGTTCATTCAATGATGCATAGAAGGAAGGGCATGAGGGAAGAGGATGACAGGAAGAGGGCAGCTAGTGTAAGTAGGAAGGCTGGGAGAAGCTGACATTGGCCCAGGTGAGCTAGCCCAGGGGATGGCTGAGCCTACAGGAAGTTCCCAAGCATCTGAAGGGGTTATCCCTGGGTCCCTCACATGCTGAGAACTGTGTTAGAAGCCAAGATGGCTACTACACATTGAACAGTCATCGTGTGCCATCTGAGGCACCGGGTACTTTTATTCTCCTGTGTAAAACGGAGGCATGGAGGACTTCGGCAACTTCCAGAGGTTCTGCTGCTGGGAAGGGATGAAGGAATGACAAGACTAAGGCTGGGGGCTCTAGCAGCTATGCTCCTGCCTCTGACCCAGGAGGTGGGCCTGCTGCCCCTCAGGCCTGCATGCTCTGGAGTCTTCTGTCACCTTTGCTGCGGCCACAGCACCTGTGAGATGCCTCACCAACTCCTGCTCTCTCCCCCTCTGGGCATTGCCTCTCCTCTGCCCAAAGAGCCCCCGGCACCTGAAGGTTGTTTGTGTCTCATTGCCGGCTACATAGGGGTGGCCAGCAGGGCCAGTAGGAGGGCTTAGGGCCACAGGTCTGGGGGCTCTGAGCTTGGCTCCCCAGTCCCTACCTGCCCTCCACTCAGCGTGCCCCGGAACTATCTGTGTCCATACTCTGTCCTGTGGATGTCCCGCCTGGTGGGTAGGTTGGGGGAAGGGTGATGGTGTGACTCTGGCCCCACTGCCCTGGAAATCGGCCTCAGAGGACAGTGGCAGTGGAGGAACACAAAAGCTCTGCACAATGACCCCTTGACAGCTGGTGGCCCCCCCGCCCCCACCCCCAGCTCCTCCTTACCCCTTTTCCTATTAAAATGCCACGGCAGCATCGGCTCTGTCAAAGACCCATTCAGTGCCCTCACACCCGCCTCTCCTGCACAAGGGCCCGACTAAAGGAATTAGGGAGATGGCATGGCTCCCAGCTCCCTGGCATTCCACGGCACCGGGCTGCAGATAAAACGGCCTGTGGGTTCCTTGAACGCAAGATGCTTGATGGGAGAAACCCCTGCTGGGAGGGAGCCAGCTCCCAAGGGCAGCTCACGGTGGCAAGCCGGGGTGCTGGTTGCTTCTTCAAAAGGCAGAGGCTGCCAGAAAGGGGCCCCAGCCCCATAGGCTCAGCAGGGAAAGCTTCCCTACGCCCGCCCGCACTTGTATCTGGAGCAGAGGCTGCCAGCCAGGCAGCTGTGCCCATCACTCTGGGCAGTGGGGCCCCTCCCCACGCTGTTTACAACCTCCCAGCTCCAAAGGCCACCAGGATGCCTTGAGCACAGCCTGGGCCCCAGTGCTGTCTTCTTGGCACCAGTCCTTGGCACAGAAGGGGGGAGGTGAGAAATACCCACTTCCTTTCGGTTTTGAGACAGGATCTCATGTGACCCAAACTGGTATCAGACTTACAAATCCCTGCCTTTAACCCCTCACATGCTGGGATAACAAATGGGCTCTATCATGGCCAATTACGCAGCGCTGAGGATGGAGCCCAGGGCATGGTCTACGTGGGCCAGCACCTTACTGAGTGTCCCCGGCCTTCCCTATCCCCTGCTACATACAGCGCTAGAACTCAAACCTACGGCTTTTTACTAGAGTAAAAAGTTCTGTCACTGAGCTATGTTTCCAGCCCCCCCACACACACTTAGATTTATTTTATGTGTATGAGTAGTGTGTGTGTGTGCGTGTTTGTATACACGCACATGTGTACCGTGTGTGTCTGGTGTCCTGCTCAGCAGTCAGAAAAGGGCATCGAGTCCTCTAGAACTGGAGTTGAGGAGGACTGCGAGCCACCACGGGTGCTAGGAACGGAACCTGGGCCCTTCTCAAGAGCAGCGGCAGGTGCTTTTAGCCGTTGAGCCAGATCTCCAGGCCACAGCCTCCCAGCCCCTCAGAGCTGCCATACTAAGTTACTCAGGTCAGACTCCAGTTCACCCTGTAGCTCATGCAGGCCTTTAATTTACAATCCTGCCTCGGTCTCCAGAGTAGCCAGGGCCATAGACTTGAGTCACCAGAACTGCCTGCTCAGCACTTCTGAATAAGCGCCTATCAAGTGTGGCAGAGCCAGGTGGCACCAGGGACCATTTATCCTGTGGCTATGCCAGACCAGAGTTCCCAGGCAGCCCCAGGGACACCAGGCAAGGTGTGCTGTGGGTTAGGCAGAGCAGGTACAGATGGGGGAGGGGGGGACATGGCTTACAGCCCTCAAATCAGAGTGGGTCCCTGAAACCTCCTAGTGAAGTGTGTCTTCCCCAGAACACGCACAATTGTAGGTTCACACAGGCGTGCAGCAACATACACACGCGGAGCGAGCACTTATCACTAGTGATTCCCACCACATTGTGAATCTGCCTACAAGTTGTGGCTTCCACTGAGTGACTGTCAATAGGGAAAGTCAATCCCGCCCGCACCCCCCCTCGCTCCCCCCCTGCCCGAGTTTGCAGCCCAAGGCACAAACCGCAACCCCGCCAGCTGAGTGAATGAGCACTCAGGCAGCTCAGCTCCAAGATCAATGATTTTTTAAAATACATTCTCATATAGAAGTCCCTCACTTTCCCGTTACATTTGAGGCATGGCATTCTGAAGCACACACGTGTGTTTCAGAGCAGGTGTAAGGGCAACAGGGCTGCAGAGGGGCAGACGGTGGGAGACGCCGCCTTCTGGGTACCTGATATCTGGAGGAAGGTAAAGGAACCCACCCGGCTTCCGCCAGGTTAGCTCTTCACACTCGTACAGAAGCTCCCTGTCTGCCCACGCGCTCTCTGCTCGCCCAGACAAGCAGGGTGTCTTGTCTTGGCTCTGTGCCCCGAAGCCCTGTAACTTTGGATAAGCCCCTTCCTGTCTCTGAGCCAGGCCAAAGTGACCCAAGCCTCTTTAGTTCTAAGACTCTGGGATGGAAGCTGAGTGAGGGACTGAGCCCAAAGCTAGCCTGTCTGGGGTCTTTGAACAGGACAGGACAGGCGACTGTCTTGGTCAGAGCGGCTACCCACAATCCCCTCCACTTACCACCGCTGCAGCCGAGTCAGCAGCCAGGGAAGCCCAGCTGAGGATCAGGGTCAGAACTCCACAGCACAGCATGCTAGGAGAGAGGCAGACACTCTGGGATCTCGGAAGGATGGGCAGGAGGGGCTCTTTTAGACAGTGGTCATCCTACCCGCTTCAGCATCCTTCCTGCCAGGAGGAGCCCTACCTGGCCACGCTTTGGCCCCCACCCCCACCCCATCTCCATCACAAGCTAGGAGAGGGCTGTGGATCCCAGCGCCCTGGTTGAAGAGACCCAGCTGGGACAGCACAGAGAGAGCTGGGGTGTGGGGCATGTGACACACAAGGGACATCCTGGCTACTGCCCCTCTCAGGGCCTGGCTAGGTCCTCATCTCCCTCTACAGGGGGCCTCTAATCCCACTCTTTGCTTCAGGAACATAAACAGGGCTACTCACGAGGCTAGGAGACACTTGGAGCGCCTGGCCAGTCCCAGGCAGGTGACCAGGCAGATGACCAGGTCCAGGATGAAAAGAAGGAGGTAGAACAGCCACCTGGGTGGAGGCAGAGAGAAGGTGAGGATCCGCAAAATCAGAACCCCTCCCCCACACCTGCTGCCCTTGGGAGACCAGAAGAGCAGCCCAGGCCAGCAGGAGCACGGTTCAGGGGCTGCGGGTTCTCAGAGGTTCAAGTAGCTGCACCCCAAACTCTCCTACCCCTTGCCTTAACCATCTGGTGGAATACCTAGACCAGTACTGGGTGCTAGAACTTTCCATCATGGTGGAAACGGTCTACATCTATCCACCACTATTCACTGATGCCTGCTGAGAACCTAAAAAAAAAATGCCCAAGAACCGGAGATGTGAATTGTGCAAGAGAGAAAATGAATCGAAAGTGTGGTGGCAGAAACCCGGAACCCCAGCTCTGGTGAGTTCCAGGCTAGCCTGGGCTGTAGAGCAAACTTAGCCTACTCCCACAAAGGATAAGAATGTCTCAGTTTACTTAATATTACTATTTCTTTTTTTTCTTTTTTCTTTTGGTTTTTCAAGACAGGGTTTCTCTGTATTGTTTTAGAGACTGTCCTGGAACTCACTCTGTATACCAGGCTGGCCTCGAACTCACAGAGATCCGCCTGCCTCTGCCTCCTGAGTGCTGGGATTAAAGGCATGTGCCACCAACGCCCGGCCTTTAATATTACTATTTCTTATGATGCTGGGGAACAAGTCCAGGGCCTCATCTTATACACGCTAACAAGAGTTCTGCCATTGAGCTACACCCCAGTCCCCCAGTCTACAAACACAGACCGAGATGGGGAAGTGACCCTCAGCATTCGGGAGTTCCCCGGAGGAGGGGAAGGTGGGCTGCTTGAACCATTCATGCTCCTTATCCTGACCCCAGTAAGAAGAAGCCTCTCTTGATATAGAAAACCTTTACCCATTTTATCAAGGCCTTCACTAAAACGCCCACAGGACCAGCCAGATGCACTCAAGGAAAGGAGCCAGGTCAGCACGGACACCCCCTGTGGATACTCTCATGTGACAACGGTCTCCTCAGAGCTGGCAGGTCCTCTCAGTCCCCCAGGAGGAAGACATTTTGCCCACGTCTCACAGGAGTGATCCCAAGGGCCTGTTCATCTATCACATCTCTGACATCAAGGAAACTCGAAGTCTGTGGGGTGGGAGGTGGGAGGCCCTCCTGAATCCCAGAGTCCCCCAGGAGCTGGGGACTGGGTGAGCGCTTCCCTTTGAGAAAGGCAGGCTGACAGGAAAGGCCTTAGCATTTCCTCTGGACTCGGACCCCAGCAGCGGCCTCCTGGGTGGGGCTTTATGATTTAATAGGCTACAAATCCAGAAAACCAAAAGTACATTGTGCAACGTTGAGGCAGAGGCTCTGGTCGTCGCCAGTGGCTTGAAGAGGTGCCAACTCATTTGGGGGAGGGAGGGAGGGATCCAAAGCAAAGACCTGACACTTGTCACGAAAGACCCACATATCTGTTCTACCCTGTGTCGATGATACTGGACTTCTGATCGTTTGAGCACAATGATGTGCGTGTCACACACAATGCACGCACATTGCATGAGTGCATGCTACCATTCGGATGAAGGTCAACTCAGGACAGAGACAGCTGTCCCCTTTCTTGGCTCTCAACAGTGACCCTTCTGAGACCCTGGTATTTGGAAGGAGGGCAGCCAGTCTGGGGTCTATGACCTGAGTTTAGTGACGTCACCAGGGATATGGTTACAGAAGGACACAAACAGATGCTGGAGGAGACAGATGAGTTTGGAGACCTAAGCTAGGTGCTGTGGTCATTAAACTTGACTGTCAACTTGATGGGACCTAGACTCACCCAGGAGACAAATCTCTAGTCATGCCTGAGAAACATTTTTTTAAAACTCTGTGTGTGTGTGTGTGTGTGTGTGTGTGTGTGTGTGTGTGTGTGTGTGTACATGTCACAATACATGTACAGGTCAGAGGAAAACTTGCAGAAGGCAGTTTTTTCCTTCCATCATGTGGCTCCTGGAATTGAACTCAGGCTGTCACATTTGGTGCCAGAGGCCTTTAGCATGTAAACTATTTCAGCAACCCAAGATTTTCTAGATCATATTAATTGAGGTGGTGTGCTGGCTGGTTTTGTGTCTATTCGACACAAGCTAGACTCATCAGAGAGGAGGGAGCCTCAATTTAGAAAATGCCTCCATATAAGGTCAGGCTGTAGGCAAGCCTGTAGGACATTTTCTTATTTAGTGATCAATGGGAGAGGGTCCATTCCATGTGTGCGGTGCCTCTCCTGGGCTGGTGGTCTGTAAGAAGGCAGGCTGAGCAAGCCATGGGGAGCAAGCCAGTAAGCAGCGCCCCTCCTCCATGGTCTCCGCATCAGCTCCTGCCTCTAGTTTCCTGCCATGCCCGAGTTCCTGTCCCGACTTCCTTTGATGATGAACAGTGATGTGGACGTGTGAGCCGAATCAGCCCTCTCCTCCACAAGCTGCTTTTTCGACCATGGCGTCTCACCACAGCAATAGTCACCCTGACTAAGACAGGCACGAAGGACCACTGAATAAAAAGGGGGCGGCCTCGGTGCCAGCAGCCATCGCTGTGCTGCCTGACTGCGTGGGTGTGATGGGGCCGGCCGCCTCATGCTCCTGCTGCCGTAATGAGCCACGCTCTCAAACTGTGAGCCAAAATAAACTTCCCTTCCTTCCTTCAGTTGTCCGTGTCAAGTGATTTAGTCACAGCAACGAGGAAAGCACACAACAGCATGGGTTAGAGGCCAGGCGGCGCCCCTTAGTACTGCATTGCCGGGGCGCTGCCCAGTGAAGCTGCGGGGAGTGGCTGCGTCTGTAGACGTCGCCCTGTTGGCCCCTCCCACTGCCTCCCCAGCCCCTCACCTGTAGTGCTCCACATAGGCAGTCTGGTGGGACAGCTCAGTCAGCTGCGTGGTGACCTCCCTCCACACGGGCAGTCCCGAGAGCTGGTTGACGACGTTACCCGCCATCTGCTGCATGAACTTCAGGGTCTGGATGTAGTCGCCCCGAGCGGCAAAGATCTCGCTGAGCCGGGCCAGGTGCCGTTCCAGGTCCACTTTCATCTTCTGGGTGTTTCCAGACACCTGGGGCAGGTAAGGAGGGGGCTAGGAGTCTGGCCCTGGGGTAGCCACTGAGAAGGTCTCTACTGGAGGAAGTAGCGGTTGGCCAGCTAGCTGGGCTTGCAGCTGCTCCACACTGGCAGACCCTGGGAGCTCACGAGGCTGCTGCGGCGGGGGAGTGACCAAGGACAGAGGTCCTGCACCTACTATGTGTGTCTGGAATATCCCCCAAAGGTCCATGTTAGAGGTGTGGACCCAGACTTGGCGATCCTGGGAAGTGGCAGATGGTTGATTAGATCTGTGACAGGGCTTCAGGTCACTGGGAGATGCCCTTCCTCAACAAAAGGGGCCTGGAGAGATGGCTCAGCGGTTACGAGCACTGGCTGCTCTTCCAGAGGACAATTCCCAGCACCCACACGGCTACTTTTGACTGTCTGTAACCCCAAAATCAGACAAACACGCAGGCAAAACACCAATGCACATAAAGTAAAAGTAAATAGTTTTAAAAACAAAAAAGGACACTGGAATTCTTTCTTTCTTTGCCTCTGTGGACACTGAAGTGAGCAGCTCTGCAGCCCCGTGGGCTCCCCATGGCCTCTCAGATCAAAGGCTTCAAAGTAACGAGACAACCAGCACAGCTGAAACCTTCCAGGCTGCACAAAAACAAGCCTTTCTCCTTTCATTTCCTCCCTCTCGCTTTCACTTTAAAAACTGCGTTATTAGCCGGGCGTTGGTGGCGCACGCCTTTAATCCCAGCACTTGGGAGGCAGAGGCAGGCGGATCTCTGTGAGTTCGAGGCCAGCCTGGTCTACAGAGCTAGTTCCAGGACAGTCTCCAAAACAATACAGAGAAACCCTGTCTCGAAAAAAAAAAAACCTGTTTTATTTTTGAGACAGGGTCTCAGGTAGCCCAGGCTGGACCCAAACTTGCTATGAAGTTGAGAATGACCTTGATCTCCTGATCCCAGTACCTCCCCCTCCCAAGTGCTGGGACTACAGGTGTCCAGACATCCCCCCCCATAAATTTGATGATCTCGGCAATTTGTCACAATGCTAGAAAGCTGACCCAGAGACACACAGCCTTGTCATGTCTGGCTCTGTTTTTCTAGCTTTCCCTGGGCCTTGGCTCTCCAATCCAAGCCTTGCTGCAGCCTGAGTTTATCCAGCCTGAAAAACCTAAATCTTAACACTCTAGCAGGTAAACACTATACAAATAACTCCAAATATAAACCCCCAAACTCTGAAATCCCAAACACCTCAGGCCTCCCAAATTTCAGAGAGGCAGGGCTCAAGCTCAATCTGAACTCCGAATTAGGGAACCAAGAGAATTCATTTTTCTTCTCTGAACATTTGCCTAAAGTTTTAGCCACTTTGGGATTATGAAATCAAAGACTTAGAGCACCAGGCCACCACCTTGTGCTTTGGTCCAATAGGGTTCCCAGGCACCCTACAAGAGAAGGGGTTTGTCTCTGAGCTAGAGTCAGTATGTAGCGTCCCAACCACAGAGCAAGGCAGAACAATGGGGCCTTGAAAACAGAGAACAGACGCTGTCTCCTCCCAGCCAGGGACAGGAGGAGGAAGCCAGTGTCTTCTCTTGGGCTCATGTCCCCCTAGTCCCCCAGGATGTCTGTCCCACCCACCTGTCCTTTGCTTTGGCCTTAAGTGACCCCGGAAGCACATCTGTCTACACAGACAGAAGTGAAAGGAAGACTCCTTGCCAGCCCCTAACCAAGGGGCAAGGCACAGCTTATACTGTAAATGTCATGCTCAGGCAGCCACTAGGCTGGGGGACACAGCACCATAGCCCTCTGAGCAGAACCAGCATGCTGGCAGCTGGATTAAGAAGGGCTTCCTTTCTGGTTTATTCTGTTTTCAGACAGGGTCTCCGTAATTGCCTGGAGTTGGCTATGTAGTCTAGGTGGACCTTGAATTTGAGATCCTCCTTCCCCGACTTCTGGAATAATAGCTGGGTGACAGGACCATGCTGCCAGGGTCTGGCTTTGCTGTCTTGACATTGTCGGGCGCGAGCAGCTGAAGGAGGGCAGGGTGCCTGGTTAATCCTTACCCAGAAGTCTTAGCTCCCACAGCCTGCAGGATAAAGGCACAGCAGAGGGGCAGAGGAGGGCTCAGCAATGGAGCCCAGGGGAGCACTCTGGTCTTGGGGAATCATGGGAACTTGACATCGCCCTTGTGGTCTTCATGTCTTCCCCACGCTGTGACTTCCTGATTCTAGAATAGAGAATGGCTCTCTGTGTCAGCACTTCTTCCGTTTTCTGGACTCAGCTGAGTTTTTGGGAAACGGTGAGAGATTAAGAGACACCAAGGTAGAGACAGCTACCTTGGCACGCTGACTCATGCCTGTAGAACCCTAGCACTTAGGAGGCTGAGGCAGGAGGACTGCCTTGAAGTCAAGGCCAGACTGCACTACACACAAGCCCTGATCTCAAGACAAAACAAACAAAAGACAAAGCAAAATTTTAAACGTTGTCTTGGGCCTCTTCAAGCTCTCTACCTCTTACTTGTGTGTGTGACCCTTCTGCTTCAGCCCCGAGTCCTGGGATTATAGGCCTGTGCCACAAGTCTGGCATTTCAGTTTGTTACTGTCAAGGATGACCCTAAGAATAGACAAATCAAGGCTGGGCACGCAGCTCAGTGGGTAGAGTGCTCGCCTAGGATGCTGGGGGTCCTGGCTTTGATTTCAAGCCCCCAACAAATAGGGTGTGGTACCGAGCACTATGATCTCAGCACTCAGGAGACAGAGGCAGAAGGAGTTTAAAGGCCATCCTTAAGCCGGGCGATGGTGGCGCACGCCTTTAATCCCAGCACTCGGGAGGCAGAGGCAGGCGGATCTCTGTGAGTTCGAGGCCAGGCTGGACCGACAGCCTCCAGAAAAATACAGAGAAACCCTGTCTCGTAAAAACAAAACAAAAAAAAAAAAGGCCATCCTTTCTATATGGAGAGTTTTAAGCCAGCCTGAGCTATCAGTGTCCCTGACTCAAACAAATAAACAAACACAAGTCCCACAAAACAAACAGCAAATTCCCAAACAAACAAAAACCCAAGAAGAAAACGAAACGTTAAAAATTTACAGAATAGCCGGGCGATGGTGGCGCACGCCTTTTAATCTCAGCCCTCCCGAGGCAGAGGCAGGTGGATCTCTATGAGTTCGAGGCTAGCCTGGTCTACAGAGTGAGTGCCAGGACAGGCTCCCAAACAACACAGAGAGACCCTGTCTGGAAAAACCAAAAAAAAAAAAAAAAATTACAGACTAGCCAGGTGTGGTGACACATATCTGGTCTACACAGCAAGTTCCAGGACAGCCAGAGCTGTAGAGAGACCCTGTCTTTAAAAAAAAATTCACACAAACAAAACAACAACAACAATTAGAGAACAGGTCAGGATTGGTGTCCAAGGCCTGTAATCTAATTGCTTAGAAGGTTGAGGCAGGAGGATCAGTAGTTCTAGGATAGCCTGGGCTACATAGCAGAACCTTGCAGAAGGGAAAGAAAGAAAAGAAACAAAGCCACAACTCAATAAACATCTGTCAAGTCCATTTTTCCTTCTGGTATTGGTTCATGGGAAGGGATTGATTAGACAGACAGATAGATGATGGACAGACAGACAGACAGACCATGTCACAACAGTGGCCTCCTTGTGGCTTTGTGCTTGTTCACATGGTTCCCAGTCCTTGAGGTTCAAGAAGACAGAGGTGTGACGCCCCCAAGACAGACTGTGGCTTTCTCTGGGGAACGGAGGACTAGGTGAACAGCTCAATTCTTCCACCTTAAGGGGACTAGGACCAGTTCAAAGGAGTCACTCAAGGAGCTCATTAGGAAGGCAAATTCTCACCCTGCCTGGAAGGTGAATTGGAGCCCCAGCAGGGTGGAGCCTGCTGCCACGCCCTGACAAGTTCCCTAGGCGATTCTGATGCATGCACTAGGTTGAGACCCTGGGGCGGGGAGGGGGCGGGGGCGGGGAGACTCGTGCACAAGGGAGAACTCTAGGCCAGGTATGGAGTGGTTGAGAGGAACAGCAACTTAGATTCCGGGAAGTAGGGGAAGGGAAAGAACGCAGGGCTAAGATCTGAGACCCGGGCTCTGTGTTCTTGCTGTGAGATGCACTGATTTTCAACTCTTGGGTGATGCCACCTATCTGTGCCTCAGTTTCTCCCCCTGAACGGTTTCCCATAGGCCTACCGGTTCAGGATGGTGGGGGTTTCTAGCCGAAACAGGGGAATGCAGAGAGGGTCCCTGGCCTTTGTGCTTGGGGGTAGCCCTAAAAGGGTCTCTAGCTGCTATAGATCTGGGCTCCAGCAGGGCCCAGCTTCAAGTTGTCTGGGCTGGGGGTGAGTCTCCATCTTGACGCTGCCACCCACAGCCTCCCACAACCCCAGCACCTACCTCTACTTCATGGTAATTGCAGTAATTATCATAATGACACCATTTTCTTAATCCCCCGGGGAGAGTGCACTCTATAGTTTACTTTCCTTTGTGGTAATTCATCTGATGCCATTTAGCCATTTACCTGCAATTTAGACCCCACCCCTTGGATGACAGGGAAGGTCCTATAAGGATCTACCGTCTCCCTGGAGCCCTCAGGCCTGACACTGTGGGATACCCACCCTGAAGCCTTCACCAGCCCCTCAGGTAAGAGGGTCATAAACACTTCACAGTTGACAGCGCCATCATAAATCCCTGGGACAGCGGTCCCACATAGCAGTAACAGCCCCGGAGTAAGGGGCTATCTCCCGGGACAGGGTGAGGGAAGGTAAAGTTTTCAAACCTGCCTCAGGAGAGCTAGGAGCCCTAGGGCTTGTTCCCAGGTATCAGCACATTTCTCCCCTAAGATAAAGACTGCATTTTCCTTGCCATCGGGGAAGGTCACAGCTCTGGGGCATTCCAGCACTCAGGCTTCACCCAGTGCCAAGGTCACTGATGGCTCTTAGCGGGAGACAGTACACCACCCAGAACAGGCAGAAGGTGTCCCTGGGGGCTGGATCCTCATCAGGATGGGGTGAGTAAGAGTGGGGGAGTTCCCAGGGGTCACCTCCCACAAATACTGGGTAGTTCACATCCCAAGCAACACAGTCTGTCTCTTTAAGGTGAGATTTCCTGCCCCTGGGGGAGGGGGTGATGAAAGGATTAGAACCGTAGAGCTTAAAGATGCGTGCAGGGAGGGGGCAGATGAGGTTGAGTCCTCCCTAGGACGATGCCAGGGGAGTGCCCGATTCCTCTAGTTAGGGCTGGGTTTGGTGGTGGAGGCTGAGGACACAAATGTGCCTTTTGTGGGGACTCTTGATATTCCCGGGGTGTGTGGGGGTGTGTGTGAGAGTTCTGGTCTAGACAGGGTCAGGTGCCCAAGGACTAGTTTCCCAGAAATCTTCTTATGGGATCGCCTAGAAAATCAGCAGGACAGGCAGGCATTCTGCAGAAGTAACAGGCAGGCAGGGGCCAGGGCGAAAGAGCTCCTGACTCCTCCCACTCCAACACTCAGGCTCAGCCCCTTAGCTCCTCCTCCAAGCAACCTAACTTCTCTTAGTCCAGCTCAGTATTCCACTGTGAGCTTCGAACCCAGAGTCCAGAGACACACTGCTACATTTATGAGGTCTTCCCAGCCCCTGTAAACATTGCCCCTGTGTGTGCAGGCAGGGGTTGGGGTGGGTGGTCTTCCATTGTTACTAGAGACTTTTTCTCCACTTAAAGGGGCAGGGTGTGTGCCACCATGCTAGGTCCCTAGTGTCCCCTTTTGATGGGTGGATCAGAACTTGGTACAAAGTACTTAGAGCTAACATTCAAAAGTCCACATTCAGGGCTGAGGATGTAGCTCTATGGGTGAGGAGCTTGCCTATTCATATATGAAACGTGGGGTTCAAACCCGCACTGCATCCACTAGGCATGGTAGTGCTCACCTGTATTCAAAGCCCCGGGTCATCCACTAAGACTACAGAGCTCGACGCTAGACACCATCTCAAAGAAACAAACCACCGATGCTCAGCAGGTTATGGTGGCAGTAATCCTAGCACTGCGTACACAGAGGCAAGAAGGTCATAGAAAGTTCCAGGTGAGTCTGATCTACACCGTGGGTTCCAGGATACACAGCAGTGAGACCCCGTGCTTTAAAACCAACAACAAAAACAGCTTCAGAAAACCACGTTCAAGGTCTCCTTCAGGGGACGGGCAGTGCCCAGATGCTCTGCAGACTAACTGGGGCTGATGTGGGCAGAGCTGCTCTGAAATCTCTCTTGGCCTGGGTCATAAAAACTGCTTGCCTTTGGCAGGGTGACGGCTCAGATGGCAGCCCAGCCCACAGCATCCGCCACACAACTCGGAAGGGTGCAGCTGGGCCCCTGAGCTCTGACTGGCACCCTTGTTCTGGCCCTGCTGATCTCATGGGCTGTGTCTGTGCCCAGCCACCTGCCCACCATCCTTACCAGCTCGTCAATTCCAGAGAAGGTGTGGTTCGCGTTGTCCAGGGAGTAGATCAGCTGGTGCACCCCATCGTTGGTCTCACTGTTTCCATAGAAACCAACACCCACAGCGGCACTACAAGCAAAGCCCCGAACAAAGGTTAGGGGCGATGTACCCAGAAGAGAACGCTCTCATCTCTCTTTGTGGACCAGGAGGCCAGGAAAGGGTGCTGGGCGCCTTCCTCCGTTGCTTTCTGTGTTATTCCCTTGGGACAAAGTCTCGCACTGACGCTGGAGTTCACTGAAATGACTATGGCAGCAAGTGAGCTAGCTGTCTCTGGTCCCCATTCCCAGCACTGAGTTTGCAGATTGTGTGAGCTTTTTATGTGGCTGCTGGGAATCCAAACTCAGATAGGTCCTTGTGTTTGTACAGCAAGTACACTGCCCACCAGTCCCTCAGTCCGTTAAGTTCTGTCAGCCTTTCTTCCTCTGTCTGTCTGTCCTCATACTGAGGGTTGAACCCAGGGCCTCAGGCATGCTAATCAAACAATCAAACAAGTAGAGTCCCAGCACTTGAGTTTACCTTTTAAAAATTGTTTCTATAGCCAGGTGCGGTGGTGCAAGCCTTTAACCCGGGAGGCAGAGGCAGGAGGATCTCTGTGAGTTTGAGGTCAGCCTGGTCTATGTAATGAGTTCTAGGACATTCAGGGCTGTTACACAGAGAAATCTTGTCTTGAAAAACAAAACCAAAACAAACAAAAAGAAACCCCCAAAAATTGTATTTTTAGGGCTGCAGAGAAGGCCCAGTGGCTAAGAGCACTGGCTGTTTTTCCAGAGGACCTGGGTTCAGTTCTTAGCACCCACATGGCAGTTCGCAATCATCTATAACTCTGTAAGTTATAACTCTAATAACATCATCTACAAGTTCCAGGGGGATCTGACGCCCTCTTCTGGTCTCCATAGGAACTGTATGCACATAGTGCCCAGACCCACATGCAGGCAAACCATCCATACACACAAATCTTAAAAGAAAAAAATTTAGAGCAATTGCAAGTTCACAGCGAAACTGAGCAGGTGCAGGATTCCTCTATTCGTGTACAGTCCCCCATATGTCATCCTTTATGAAGCGGTGACATTGCGGTGATCACCCAGTGGGAGCATGGGTACTATCCAAGACTCACAGCGTGCATGGGGGTCACTCTTGGTTGAAATGCTACAGGTCTAGACATAGTGTTAAGTATTTACCATCAGAGTGACCCCTGCCCTGAAACTCCCCCACGCTCTGCCTATTCCTCCTCCCTCCCCTCTCCAACCCTAGGCCTTATGTCCCACAACTGGATTCGTGGCATGCAGCCTCTTCTGATGGTTCCTTTGCCTTAGTGACAGGCATTCGAGTCCCCAGTGTCTTTCATGGCTCAGCAGGACATTTCCTTTCAGCTCTGCATAATACCCTATTGTCCAAATGTGTCCAAGTGTATTTATTCACCCGGCTACAAAAGGATATCTTTGACTTGGTTCCAGGTTTGGGGAGCTGTGAATAAAAGCCACTGCAAGCAGTGTGGGCTGGACTTTAGCTGAGGAGCTTTACTCTTCTGGGGGTTGGGATGAGGGGCTATTACCTGAGGGTGACCACTAAGGACCACCAAAGTGACCTGGCCTGCTTGTCCTGGCTGGCAACATACTTCTAAAAGGGACAAAACTTCAGGTGGCCCTGGTAGGGTCTTGAGATCTGATTTGACATGCTCAGTGCCAGCCTTCAGGTCCCTCCTGACCTGATCAAGAACCTAGGACGTCCCTAGATACTCCTGATCTAGTCCTGTGCTATCAAGTTTTAGCTTCTGTCTGCCTTGTTAACCCACTAGGTCCTGATTCACGTTTTTGGGGTAGCTGACACGAGTCTCTAGTTCTGCCACAGAACGCCCCTTTGTCATCTCTTGCCTTCTGGTCTCTGAGACAGACACATGAGACAGGGTCTCATGTATCCCCAGCTGGGTCTCATACTCCCCATATAGTCAAAGATGACCTTGAACTCCTGATCCCCCTGTCTCCACGGCTGGTTTCCAATGTCACTCTTCAACCCAGACTCTGAGCAGAGTGTGGGAGCTGGGTGGTGTGTGTGTGTGTGTGTGTGTGTGTGTGTGTGTGTGTGTGTGTGTGTTCCCCACATTGGCCTGCTCTCATGTCCTCAATGACCTTACGGTCTGTGACAGCCCCTCCCAGAATTCCTCCTCAGGACATTCTCTCTTCTTTCCTATGGTGTCTTATTGATTTTAACCAAAAGCCAAACTTGAAATCCATCTGTGTGAAGTTTCATGGTTGGCTTGAATTCAACATTCCAGCCTGAGTAAATCATTTGCAGTCTTAACTCTGTCATCCATCATATTCTATGTGGCTCTCCCCTCTGGGGATCACAGGACCAATGGAGGAGCCTTCCGAGTTCTCATCCAAAATACAGACTCGGGGAAAGATAAGTGCAAGCACGCGCGCGCGCGCGCACACACACACACACACACACACACACTGATGCTTATCCTTCCTTCCTTGAGACAGCTGTAGCTGGGTTGTCTTCCTTTTGTAGATCAAGCTGGGCTTGAACTCACAGAGATCTGCTTGCCTCTATCAGGGATTAAAGGTGAGCACCACCACGCCTGGCTCCCATCAATATTCTTTGCATTCAAGCAGTAGTCGCACAACGTGCTCTGAGTAGGTTTTGCTGCAACATGGCTCTGTCTGTTTCTTTGTGGCTTTGGAGGCTGTCCTGGAACTTGCTCTTGTGGGCCAGGCTGGCCTCGAACTCACATAGATCTGCCTGCCTCTGCCTCCTGAGTGTTGGGATTAAAGGCGTGCACCACCAATGCCTGGCCCTTGAGTTTTTCCTAACAACAGGTAATAATTAATTACTGGACTGAACACTTAACACCATTTTTATCTGCTGCAAAATACACATGGCCAAATTACAATGGTTTTGCTTAGATTCTGGGTTAGCCAACATTAAATGCACTTTTCTAATGGTATTTGTACCTGACAAATAGGCTTATCTGGCAATAGCCCTACTGGAAATGTAGGAGTACCTGCAGTTTTCTGCGGATCCAGGGATTGCTGCATTGGAGCAGGCACTGCTGGTGTGTGTCTCTGGGTCCCACCTCTCCCTAACTGCCGTGTGATACCCTCCCCAGGTAAAGGGATTTTAGCACCCCAGTTCTGGATGCTCCCTGGTCCATCTCTGGGAACAGATCACCTTCCCATTAAGTCAGGATCTACCCATCTGGGCTGGAACTGTTTCCTGTAGGCCCTGACCCCAGCCACAAGTTTCATCATTTCTCGGTCCTTGCTCACTGCTGAGGATGGCTTATTGTTGGCGTTGGTGAGCCCCACCACACCCTCACCCACATGAGATCATGAACTCATCACCACACTCCATCTTGGCCAAAAGGCTGAGAAACAGTGAATGAATACATTATAATAGGAAAAAAAAAGGTGTTCAGGAGTAAGGTGACCCTCCTGCAGACTAGACCCTAGGACCAGTCCTTCTGACAAGCAGCAAGGGACTCTTACCTTAGAGGGTGGCCTCGCCCTTCAACAGCTCAAGGGGGGGGGGGCTACACACCGAAAAAATGTCTGATACAGAAACAAGGAAAACACGCCAACTCCTGAATAGAGCTTGCTCGCACCTCACGGGCTGGGGCTGGGTGGGTGCGGTGGGCTCTCAGGGCTGGGAACCTGCCTTCCTCAGTTAGAGTGCAGGAGAAGATCTACCTATGAGCATTAGAAGTTCCTGATCTCACGAGACAATGGAATTGATTGGGCCTAACTTCTGATCCTGCAGACCCAGGATGGCAGCGGAAGGTGATGCAGAGAAAAGAGATGCCCACTGTCACCTGGTCAACTCAGGAAGGGACCCATGTGGCTGTCAGGCCTGGTTCTGGTCTGGTAGAAGGGTTGGGGGGCACTATGTAGACTCCTATCACCACACTAGGGACTGATTGCCCATGCTTGGCCACAAAAGGGACGGTATTCACTCGGGGAGGAAGGGTTATTCCCTAGGTGTTAGCTTGGTGGGTGACGAGGAGCCATCTGGACATAGGGGGTGTCCTAGTCACAGGCTAGCTTCCCCTTGCATGTGTCCCTTGTGAGCCGAGTTGCATGGTGTAGCTGTGAATGGGACACTCACCAGCAGAGGAGACCGGCCACCACCGCCGTCCAGGTCACACAGCATGATTTGGGCTGCTTGGTCTGCGCTGTGTGGTCCCGCCGACAGCAGCAGGTGCACACCAGGTACACAGCGAGGAAGATGAGGTTCAGGCCCAGGCCAACGGCAGCTAACACCCCCAGGAAGAGCAGCGACTGTAAGAGGGAGGGGCTATGTCAGCTTATGGTCCGGCAGGGGGTCAGGGGCTGGACTGTATCCTCATGCCCAGCCCTCTAAATAAACAGCCTGCCCTACAGTTGGGTGCCAGGGTGGGGATGGTGGAAAAACAGACAGGGAGGACAGCTCAAATCCGGCAGGATCCAGAACCTACTAGGCGACAGATCTCTGGATGTGTGCGAGGAAGTTTCTAGATTAAATTTTTTTTTTTTTTTTTGGTTTTTTGAGACAGGGTTTCTCCATGTAGCTTTGGAGGCTGTCCTGGAACTAGCTTTTGTAGACCAGGCTGGCCTCGAACTCACAGAGATCCGCCTGCCTCTGCCTCCCGAGTGCTGGGATTAAAGGCGTGTGCCACCACTGCCCGGCTAATTTTTATTTTTTTTTTAATTTTATGTGCATCAGTGTTTTGCCATGGGAAGTTCCGGGTCTCCTGAAACTGGAGCTACAGACAGTTGTGAGCTGCCGTGTGGGTGCTGGGAGTTGAACCCCGATCCTCTGCAAGAGCAGTCAGTGCTCTTAACCACTGAGCCAATTCTCCAGCTCCTCTAGATTAGTTTAATAGAGGTGAGAAGATACACCGGAAATGTGGGAGACACCGTGCCATGGGCTGGAGTTCCAGCCTGAATACAAAGGAGAAAGTGAGCTGAGCAACAGCCTTCGGCCCCCTCTGCTCCCTGACTGCAGACGCCATGTGGCCAGTGGCTTCACGCGCTGCCATGATGGATGATGTACCCTAAAACTGTAAACTGGGGGGAGCCCAACCTTCCTTCTTTAAGCTGCTTTTGCCAGGAATTTTGTCACAGCAATGACAAAAATAACTATCGCATCTAAGCATGGCTAAGCCCAGGTTTCTGGATGAAGACGCAATCTAGGCCAGGCCTGATGACAAGCCCTGAGCCCCTTAGGAGCGTAAGGAAGGACTGCCAGCTGCAAACAGGGCTGAGGACAATGACTGCTGTGACCACAAGGACTGGGAAGAGATGCACGCTGGGTAGGACGCCTTACGTGCAAGGTGAAACTAAGCTAGGGACCCTAAGGATCATTGGTGCTGGCAAACGTGGGCCCCACCAGACGAAATGTGCCTGTCCTAGGTGCTGGGGCTACCCAGAGTCCTCAGCAGTCAGCTCTGTGTTCTAGGGAGGGTACAGAGGACCTAGGGTAGGTCATCTTTGGTGCCCGTCTTGCTGTACCCTGCCCCAGCGGTAGCAGTAAGGCCAGAATGTGAAGGGGGGCATGGAGATACCTCTTCAGCACACCTCCCCCCCTCCACAGCAGCTCAGGGTTCTCAAAGGGAGCTGTTGTCTGTCGGGAGGCCTAGGTGTCCCCCGCCACTGCATCATCCAATCCCTTGATTTGGCCAGATGGACACCAGATGGCCCTGGGATCAGTGGCCGTCAGCCAGGGCTGGACCTGGCTCTAAGTCAGGCTCCTGAGCTGACAGCCTCCTGGCTTCCCGTTCGGCCTCGGCCATGCCCCTCATCCTGAGCCGCCCCCCCCTCCCATGTCCCAGTGGGGGGAGTGCTCTTCCTAGGGCTTTTTGTCAGGGAACCTGTGTGGGTGGTAGCAATCATCTGGACAGGAGACCACAGGACACCGAAGTCTGAGGGAACACACTGAATGCAGGGGAAGCCTAGGCAGGCGACCTGCAGCAGGGCTGGTGGCTGCAGGCAGGGTAGACTGCATAGGTGACCCCCTGAGGGTGACTGCTCAGCTGCCCGTCCCTGTGAGGACTGCTGACTCGGGCTCTCCTGACGCTAACACTGGGTGGACAGACTTCTCGGCCTTAGGGACAAATCTGGACGTGATGCTGTCAGGACAAACGGGACATCTCGTTTCATTTAGCATGTGGCTCCCACTTCCAGCCGGGCAGCGCTCAAGCATGGAAGGGACCTCCTTCCTCTTCCAGCAGGTGGGAGACGGGCAGGAGCTCTGAGCACAGCGTCCTCCATCCCACAATCCCACCCAGAGCGGGGGAGGAGCACCTACGGACGACAGCTTCCTTTGAAAATCCTGAGCTGCTAGGTGGGCCTGAAGAGGCTGGAGGGTCAGAAGCTCAATGCCATCTTTGGTCGCATCCTTGATTTGAGGTCAGTCTGCGCCATATGTGACCCTGTCTCAAAAGTCAGCAACAGCAACCCGTGTGGTGGTTCAGATGACAATGGGGCACTATTATGAGGTGTGGTTTTGTTGAGGTGGGAATGGCCTTGTTAGAGGAAGTGTGTCACTGGGGTGGGATGTGGGGGGGGGGTTGAGGTGGGCTTTGAGGCTTCAGAAGTGAGGCCCAGCATCCCTCTCTCTCTCCGCAGCCTGCTGACCCAGATGTAGAACTCTCAGCTCCTTCTCCGGCGCCGTGTCTGCCTGCACACGGCCATGATGGGAACGGGCTGAACCTCTTGACTTCGGGTCAGCCTTAATTAAGTGTCTGCCTTCATAAGAGTTGAGTTGGTCATGGTGTCTCTTCACAGCAAGGACAACTAGGACAGACAACAACAAAATCCTCCAAATCTCAAAGAGCAAAACAAAACCAGAGCGGACCCCAGGCCAACTGCATCTCATTCGAGGGCTTCCAAGCGCAGAAGCAAGACTGATGTCTATAGACGGTAATCCCCTCCTTGAAACCGACTCACTCTTTAGGGCCCAACACACAGCCTTGTGAATACAATCATCACTGTTGGTTTTTTGTTTGTTTGTTTGTTTTTCCTATGCATTGGTGTTGTGCCATGGGTGGCAGGTTCCCTGGAACTGGAAATGCAGATGGTTGCGAGCCGCCATGTGGGTGCTGGGAATTGAACCTGGGTCCTCTGGAAGAGCAGTCAGTGCTCTTAACCACCGAGCCATCTCTCCAGCCCCACCACTGTTGGTTCTTAAATCTGATTATTTTTTTTATTTTTAGGTAGGGTCTCCACACCACCCTTGAGCTCACTATGTAGCCCGGGTTTACCTCGCCTTGTTGGTATCCTTCTCTTCTAAGTGCTGGGACAGGAAGTGTTCCCACCACACCCAGCCCTGGAAATGTCACTCTGCGGCACACATCTGTGCCCATCATCCTAGCACTCAAGGAGCCCAGGCCAGCCTGGACTTCAGGATGAAACCCTGTTTCCAAAAACTAAAAATAAGCCCCTTCTTTTCTCACAGGCCCCGAGATCCCACCACTAAGAAGCCGGTATCACCCCTGGGCGATTTGCAAGCCGCTGCACGTCTGCGCACACTGTGACCCATAGAAAAGAGGGGTGTCTCCCCGCCACAAGAGCCACACACAAAAGCCCACGCCACCAAGCACTAGAAACGGCACGGTGTACGTCGCTCGGGACACACCGTGTGCTGCAGTCATACAGTGGGATACTTCACAGGCATGAGCGGGTCCACGGAGGAAGGGCGGGGCAACAGACTGTGGCAGAGACTGTGCAGTCAGAGGTGGTCATCCGTGGCAATGGAGATGAAGGCTCATGTAGCAGCGCCTTGGGTGGTCAAGGGCACACGCTGGCAAAGACAATGTATTCCACACAAGGTGAGGGCCGCAGAGATGGCTCAGCGGTAAGACTACTTGACGCCAAACACAGGAACTTGAGTTTGGATCCCGGCTCCCACATAAAAAGTTTGTATATAATCGGATACATGGACACATGCATGCACACATACGCACGCATTCGTGCGCGTGCGCGCGCACACACACACACACACACATACACACACACACCCTGTAACCCCAGAACTATGGGGGAGGCAGGAAGGAGGCTTGTTGGCCTCAAGCCTGGCTCCAAGCACAGTGAGAGACTCTGTCTCATGAGATAAAGCCAGACACCAATGTCTCCTGTCCTCCATGTATGAGTAGGCGTGTGTGTATCCGCCACACATGCATTATTTATTTATCTTATGTGTGGGGCACACACACATGCCATGACTCTAGTGTAGGGTCAGAGGACAACTTTAGGGTGTCAATTCTCTCCTTAAGCAATGTGGGGGTATTGAACCCATGTTGTCAGGCTTGGTGGCAAGTGCTTTTTTTTTTTTTTTAACTCTCTGAGCCATTTCACCTGCCCCAGAAAGTTCTTTCAATAATAACGACTAATGTTGCCAAGCTACTAGGAGGATGTCCTCTGTGTTTCCCCCAAGCAGAAGGAACCATTGACGCTACGAGATATCCCCATCAGGAGGGAGATGGCGTGAGGACTGCCTTTCCGGTCTCTGTAAACCTGACCCACCAGCTCTCCATAGCTGGTTGCTGGATTTCTGATTCTTGGAAACCACGAGCCTAGATTTCCTATGGGTCCCCCTGAACTCCTGAGCCTGGATGTCCTGCACAGCTCCAGGTCTGGGCCCTCTCCAGGCCAGGCAGTTAGCTTCAGTAGGTCAGTGATAGCGGGCCAGGGCATAAAAGCTGTGAGCACGAAACCGAAATACAGGTGGGGTGCGCTTGTAAGCTCTTCCCCCCAAGATGCCTGGGCAATTAAAGGATTAGAGCTGGATGTTGGGTTGTCAGTGGCCAAGGGAACAGAAAAGGGAAGAAGACAGGAAGGAAAGAGAGGGCGTGGGGAAGACAGAGGGAGGCATAGTCAACTTGGTATCACCTGCTGCTCTGACGGTCCATTATGTGTGAGTTCCTAACTAGTACAAGGACAGGATGGGGGGTGCGGACAGAAGAGGGGGGTGGCTAATTCTACTCATACACCCTCAAGCAATTGCCAGAGCTTAGCAAGGCCAATATCCACATCACCCCATGCCTCCTACTGCCCCCCCACTACCACTGCTGCCTGCCCCAGAACTGTGCCCAAACTCAAGTTTCTCCCCCGCCAAAGCGCCTTCACTTATTTCTGGTCCATCATTTGCAGTCAGCACCGCACTAGTGTTCAGGCTAGGGGGACAGCAGTAGCCACTGTAGACAGATCCCCAGAGGCTACGGATGACCACCTGAGTGGTGTTGAAGCCTCTGGCTGAAATAGGTGGCCTCTCCTCGTGCTCTGATAGGGAGAGCACCACCTCGAAGCCTGGGAAGGGCTAACCCCTGGGAAAGTCTCGTGACTGCCTGATGACCACGACTCCAAGTTCAGATGGAATGAACGGGCTTCCTCATCCCGACCTTGGCTTGCCTCCCACGGGGCTGGGCTCTAAAAGTCTGCTTTTTCCTCCTCAGATCTGCCTCCAGCTGAACCAGGGCATCCTGTTATTCTCCCAGAATTCCATACTTTGTCCCTTCTATACTCTGTTGGGGCTTAAAAAGAAAAAAAAAGAAGAAGAAAAGAAAAAAAGACAGGGTCTATAGCTCAGACTGGCCTCAAACTCCATATGAAGCCAAGAGTGATTTCGTTTGCGTTTATTTTTTAATTACTTTTTAGACAGGGTTTTTCTATAGTTCTGGCTGTCCTGGAATCTACTGTGTAGGCCAGGCTGGTCTAGAACTCACAAAGATCCACTGGCCTCTGCCTCCTAAGTGCTGGGATCCCAGGTGTGTGCCACCCCGCCCAGTTTTGTGGGGCGCTGGGGATACAGCGCAGGGCTTTGTGCATGCTAGGCAAAGCTCCCAGCTAAGCTACATCCTCCCTCAACCTCTCACAGGGGACTCTCAGGGGAGTCTGTGAACTCGGGAAAATCCAAACCAAACTATAGCAGTGGCCACCTCCCTGTACCTCCCAACACAGGCTGAGAAAGGCCTGGGTGGGTGTGCTGTCTGCAGATCCAACAGGAAGTTCTGTGGACATGACATCATCAGGGCCTAGCCTCTCCTGAGTGGCTGGTGGATGGTGAGGGTGACAATTCCCCTGATGAGGAGGGAACCGAAGAGGCTTCTCAGAGAGACACAGTTGGACTTGGAGGCTTTCTAACTGAACTCAGCATTGCACACTGGGCACCTAGCCAGCGGGGTCTCCATCCCACACAGGGGTGACGGCCATCTGCTTCACACCTGCGAACTCTTGGGCCCTTTTGCTGCTTCTCCAGAGCAGGGCTCATCTCCCAGGGGCTGTGATGGAGAGCTAGGCTACTCCCCGCTACAGACAGAGTTCAGCAGAATCCCAATCCACTGCCCTGTCAGCCTCTGCTGGGCCCAGAGGCACGTCCTCCAAACAGCTGGGGACAGAGGCTTCCCGAGGACTCAGGCTCAAATTCAATGGGGGAGAGGATGAGGACTAACTGTCAGGAAACTAGGGACTTCCACTGTGCCCAAAGTCCCCAGGCAGGAGCAGGAGTGGTGACTGCAATTCCAGACCTCAGGGTGGGAAGGCAGATGGGCTCCCAGTGAGAAGTTATCCTCAACTACACAGGGACGCTTGTCTCATAGACAGACAGACAGATAGGAGGGGTGAGCGGGGGTGTAACTCAGTCCCTAGTGCTTGCCTAGCATGTGGGAAACCTCGTGTTCCACCCTCCGCACTCCGCGAACGGGGCTTGGTACAACAACCTAGCACAGGGGAAGTAGAGGCAGGAGTATTAGAAGTTCACTATCACCCTTGCTATCTGGTGGATTCAAGGCCAGTCTGAGCCGCATAAAACCCTGTCTCTCAATCGATCAATCAATCAATCAATCAATCAATCAATCAATCAATCAAGAGCTGGCGAGATGGCTCTGCATTAAGAGCACTTGCTGCCCTTGCTCCCAGCCCCTCCCGGGTAGCTCCCATCTGTAACTTCAGCTGCAGGCACTCAACCCCCTCTTCTGGCCTCCACTGCTCCCCGCTCCAAATCCCAGGAAGCAAAGCAGGGCCCTTCTTGCCCAGGGAAGTTCTGAGTCTCGGACCGCGCTCACCAAGCGGCCTGCCCTTCAGATGAGCCGCTCTGCTAAGTCGGGCTTTGATTTCTAGGTCCCAGCACACAAGGAGTCACTCCTGGAGCCCAGCTGCTGATTTCCAACCTGTGTAACGTGTGTGTGTGTGTGTGTGTGTGTGTGTGAATACGTGCACATGTACACACACTCTAAAAGTTTGTGACTTTCCCACGCATTTTTCAGTGTTCCCTGCTCAGGGTTTTTTCCTCTATTTTGTAGGGCACCTCAGAAACCCATCCCCTCAAGGCCATCTGTCTAATGACGGCATCACTGAGTCTGGTTCTGTCCTGGGCAAACTCAGTAGTGTAACTCATGGATACATGCAGACAAGGGGAAAAAAAATCTCACCTGCCTGTGGTCACACACCCATAGAACTGTAATCCCATCCAACCAGTGGAACGGTAATGCCCCTGCCTCAAACTATGCTGGCTTCAGAGGCGCCCCAGCCACGGCTGCCCTGCTTATCATGTCACCCAGGCCCTGGCACAATGCTCAGCCTCAAATTAAGTTTGCTGAACACCGAGCTGGCTGACAACAGAAGGTGCCCCGTCGACACCGTGAGCTCACCAGCTGCCTGAATCCAGTGCTCAGTACCAGAGAGACCCCGTGGTCAGACAAGGGAACTTACCAAAATAGGAGTGGCCTTAAATAACACCCAGTGCCAGACTTCCGCTAAGGCCCACCACATTCATCCCAGGGATTTGCTTTCCTCATAGCTGGGTCAGGATGGAAGCGGGGGGGGGTGGGATCATGGGAAAGAGACGAAACAAAAGGTGTGGGGGTCAGGACCCTGTAGGCAGGGACTGTGAGTAGTCCGGCTGCCATCTAACCACAGACTGGTGGGGGTGGGTGGAGTCAGGCTCGGGCTGTGGGAGTGAGGGAGTACCCACACCACCCCTCTCCCAGACAGGGGTCTCCTTGACCCAGCTGAGCGGATGGATTTCAAGGAGAAAACATGGTTGGGACCCAGAGCGCAGGCTCTGGGATCTCTCCACACCCCCAACCCAGCTGTTCGGAAACCGTATCCGTCCCTTTTCAAGGGCTTGCTGAAGGAAGACTCCCCGTTGCTGTGCCGGTAGTCACCAGCCCTCGGGGAGCACGCCTTCCTTCCAGGGTCAGACAAGATGCGGGGGTGGTGGGGGTGGTGCAGATCCAGAGAAGTTGGCGCTGCATTGTTTGGGGATGACAGCGCCCCCAGCAGCACGAAAGGGTCCCGACCTCCCAGAAGAGCAGGTGCTGACTGCCCAAGTCTGCAAGCAGCAGAGCCATTGAAGGTTATAACTAGAATCCCGGTACCTGCTCGCGGGCAGTGCGCAGCACAGGGATCGGAACGAGGGCAAAAAGCCACTCCTGGGCTCAGGCTAGAGAGGATCTGCTCGGCCAGACTGCTACGCGACTGCGATCAGGAGAAGGTACCACGCCACTGTAGGTAGAGGTCAAAGTCCGACATGGGCACAGAGCTCTGAACTGATAATGAACCTCTCTCCAGGTTGCCGCAAACTCTGAAACCTTGACCTATGGCGGGGACTGACTCAGCCGGGGCCGCAGAGGCCGTCGTGGGTTTGACCGCAGCTGAGATGGGCGGAGAGACGGTAGATGGGTCTGGATGGGAAATCAGGAGCCTGGACCTGCCCACCAAACCCTCAGCGGGAAGGCCCCGCGCATCGGGGAAATACCAAGAGCGTGGCTGGCCCGGGAACCAAAACCTCGGGATTTCAGGGCCTAGAAGGTGTCGGGACGTCAGGATAGACAGTACAGTTGCGGGGTGCGGGGTGAGATGGGGTGAAGCCACCTTCCTTGACTCAAACAGCTGTGGGCTCTTGGAGTCCAAGAAGTCTGTCACCCAGGCCGCTTCTCTCCGCCCCACTCAGCCTTTGAGAAGGGATCAGGGCAGAGGTGTTGGCAGCTGGGGCGGGGGAAAGGCGCGCCGAGGACTCCGGAGACTCAAGTCGGTTTCTGCCTAAACTTCTCTCAGGTCATCGAGACCGGGAGAAAAAAAAAACGTCTGGCGTTGTAGTCTCCGGAAGGGAACTTCGGGGCACCCCTGCGCACCCACCTCGGCCGCCAGCCACCCTGACTCAGATGCCCCACCCCCACCGTCAGTCTCCGGGTGGCTCAACCCCCGCCCCCTGCGCGCTTCCTCTCCTTCCTCACCGCACTCTAACTCCGATCTCTCCAGCTTTCCGAACCCCGAGGTTCCCAGCCAGTTCGAGTGTCAGAGCCGAGAGGACCCAACTGGGGACCGAGGGGGTCTGACCGCGGAAAGCACGGGCTGCTGAGGCGAGAGAGGATGGAGCGGGGACCTGGGCGCGCTCGGGCCAGCTCTGGCTTCGGCTCAGAGGGTCCCTTTCGGTGGCTCGGATCTGCGACGCGCGGGCTTACCTCCTGGTAAGTCTCGTCGCCGGGGCTGAAGGTGCTGTCTACCCGCTGCAGGCGCAGTCCGAGGTGCGGGACGCTGTGCAGCCACACAACCCACCACGGTGCGATGTACTCCACGCGCGCCGCCGGCATGGCTTGGGCAAGGAGCAGCCGGTCCGCTGCCACTGCCACGGCCGCTACCACCAGCCGGCTCCGGACGCGATCGGGCCCCGCCCCGCCCCGTCCCCGCCCCATGTCCAGCCCTAGGCGAGGACACGCCCCGCCCTGCACAAGGCCCTTACCCCAGGCCCTGGCCCACCTCTCCTCCAGGAATTAGGCCCACCTAATTCCAGAACACAATTAGACCCTAAAGCATCCACTGATCTGATGAGCGAAAAAGGTGGAAGGTGTGAAATGAACTTCAGTCCCTAAAATGTAATGCCTTGTTATCTCATCAAAATTGTGGACCTTTGATGGTGCATGCCTTAGGATGGGAAGGCAAAAAAAAAAAAAACAACAAAAAAAAACCAAACAAACCATGAGTTCAAAAGTCATCCTCAGGTCGGTAGTGAGTTGGAGGCCTGTCATTAAAAGGGGGGGGCAGTGACCATAATAATTAGTGATCTTGGCCTAGGAGGCTGGGCTAGCCCTTCTTTTGTTTTTTTGAGACAGGGTTTCTCTGTGGCTTTGGAGGCTGTCCTGGAACTCTTTCTGTATACCAGGCTGGTCTCAAACTCACAGAGATCCGCCTGCCTCTGCCTCCCGAGTGCTAGGATTAAAGGCGTGTGCCACCAACGCCCGGCTGGGTTAGCTCTTCTATCATTTGTTTATTTACTTATTTGTTTATGAGGCCTGGAACTCATTATGTAGACCAGACTGGCCTTGAACTCACAGCGGTCAGACGCCTCTGCTTGGGATTCCAGGTGTGTGACACCCTTGCCAGCTTGTTTGTTGCAGTGCTGGGGTGAGAACCCAGGGCCTTAGGCATGCTAGGCTAGGCAATGGCTCTGTTGCTGAGCCCTACCAAACCTGCTTAAATCTGCAGGGCAGGACAGGGCCAGGCAGAAGGAACACAGAAAGGCAGGGCCACCTACGTGCCAGACAGAGCAGACAAAGGCCCTGAGCCCCTGCAGACTACAGTTGGTGGACACGGTGGGCAGTCCACACACTCACGTGCCAGGTTGGAAGGTGTCCGGTGGCGGCGGTGGGAGCAAAACAGGGTGGGGCAGCACCAGGGCAGTCACGCTCAGCAAAGCCCCACCCATTACGTCTGTCTTTTGGTTAGAATTAAGTGCAGAGCTCCCAGACCAAGCGTTGGCATGGACAGTGCATGGGTTTGAGGCAGGAGGTTAGGTGATGGGCAGGGCCAGCAGGACAGGGTCAGGCTTGTCTGAGGACAGTGCTGGGTGGGTAGTCGGCCGGAGCACACTTGGTGCAGTAGGCAGGCACCGAGGTAAGAGAGGAGAGGCCAGAGGGGCAGGGCAATTAGCGTCTAGCTTGGAGAGTCCGCTAGGTGCTGATGGGGCTCTGATAATGGTAAGGGTCACAGGCACTGCTGGGTGGGAGAACAGATGCCCATGCCATCCAAGAACCTCGCCAGACATGAGTCTGGCGTTGCCCAGCCTGAGGCCTGTCCTCACCATCAGTCCCTGATCTTGGCTACCAGACCTGCACAGCCTCGTTCTCACAGGGATGTCTTACCAGTTCAACATTGTCTAGGGATCCTCCCCATCCTAGGACACCTAGTGACGATTGAGGCCCATTTCCTGTCTATAGCGTTCAGCAGGTTTTAAACCTCTCAATTATAAACATGCACAGTGTTTTGGAGTCCTGCGTTGTGTTTAGGGAGGGGAGTTTGGGGGTGCCCCCTGAGGGACCTCAGTGAGATGAGGTGATGATGGGGAGCCGCTGGATGATGTCTCCAGTGGATTCTGAGTGGCAGATGGGAATCTGGACAGGGGAAACCTAGAGTGCAGAGACGGAAGGATGAGCAGCTGCCGGGCGAGGGCAGGGAACAGCCATGGCTGCCCTTGTGCGTGCAGCTGATGGAAGTATTCTGTGGAACTGAGCAAGCAGAGCTGAGATTTGTAGATCCACACCAAGAGCGAATTCTTTTCTTTCCATCTTTTTCCTCTTCCTCCTCCCCCCACAGGGTTTCCGGGCTCTCAAACTGGAGGGATCTGCCTGCCTCTGCAGTATTGGCATGGAAGGCACATCTGGCTTCCCTCTTTTAAAGACAGGTTCTTGTTAGGTAGCCCATGCTGGCCTTGAGCTTGTGGATCAATCCTGCTGATCTCCCAGGTACCAAGATCACAAGTGTATTCCCATGCATAGAGGCAGGTGGATCTCTGAGTTCGAGGCTGGGCTGGACCGATAGCCTCCAAAACAATACAGAGAAACCCTGTCTCGTAAAAACCAAAAAAAAAAAAAAAGTATTCCCATGCATGTAAGTTAGAGAAAAGCAGCTGGTATGACCATGAGCCTGAGGTTGCAGCACTCAGGAAGCGGATGGTCACAAGGTCAAGGCAGCCAGGGCAATGTGGTGAGGGCCTCAGAAGAAAACCCTTCAGCCGGGCGTTGGTGCCGCACACCTTTAATCCCAGCACTCGGGAGGCAGAGGCAGGCGGATCTCTGTGAGTTCGAAGACAGCCTGGTCTACAGAGCTAGTTCCAGGACAGCCTCCAAAGCAATAGAGAAACCCGGTCTCAAAAAACCAAACGAAAACCCAGCTCTTCTACCCTGTCCCAAGTAAGTAATAATGCAATAGCTAGGGGAAAGGGAATGGAGGGTGAGAGCAGGAAGTGAGGCCCCTTGAAGCAAGGGGAAATGTACGTGCCCCAGCCTCTGGACCTGATGGTGTGGCCTCTGCTGGCAGCCAAGCAGAGCATCAATTTCCCAGGGGTCCCTTTCACAGCCAGGAGATACAGAAGCCCCAGGTAATACTGTCCATGTCCCCAACTAGTCACTTCTATGATTTTGAACCCGGTGCAGAGCTGGAGCGCTTACACTGCAGAAGCGAGAAAGTCTGAGTTTCCCCTCAGGTCATGGCATGGCCACCAGACTTCTGGGCATTCCAGCTGAGTGCTGACCCAGGGAGGGGAAGCCAACCACTAGTCCACCAGAGAGTGCTCCCTATGCTGACAAACACCAGCTCACCCGAGGGCACAGACGTTACTCAGGCTCTGGAGCCGGCTTGGAGGGTGGGAGGCACTGCGTGCAAAGGCGCCTTCAGTGCACAAGGCCAGACAAATGTTGTCTCTTAGGAGCCAGGGTAACCCTGAGAAGCATGCTGGAGACAGCTGTGGACTGTCTTCAGAAGCCGTAAACACCATGGTTGTCTTCTGTCCTGCCCACGCCAGGGATAAACAGAACCACCTCCCAAATGCTCACAGCTCAGACCAAAGTGATCTCCCCCAGCAGATTGCCTCTGGTAACCGGCTTGTGGGAACATTTAACAACCCTCAGCTGCTGGACTACAGCAGAGAAAGAACTGCCAACCATAGCACATTAAACTGGCTACGGCACTCACGGCCCCTACAGCCCAGCACACAGGCCGAGGCAGGGGATCTAAAGTCAGTCTGGGATCCCTGAGATCTCAAAAACCCCAAAGCCCTCCCCAGTTACGGGGCTCACTCACTGCAGTAGGGTGCCACCTGGTGGTGGACCCAGTGTGGTCCAGTCACTCTAACTGAAAATGGTTGGCATCATTAAGTCCAGAAATAGCTTCAAACAGTCACTGTTAACTCTGCCCTCAAAAACAATCACTTTGCCCGCTTGCACATTCAGTGTACAATGCAGTGCCCAGGGGCATCTATCTGCTCCCCTCTTCCTCCTGCTCCCGGGCTGTTTGTGGTAAGCAGGCCCTGATGCCATCCTGCATTCACCTCACTAACAACCCCATGCTTCCCCGACTTCCCAAGTTTCACAGGATGCAAGCAACGCCTCTTTCTCCTGCACCCGAGATATTCCAAGGGCAGAAGTCCAAGGAGGACGGCTACACGGCTCAGCCTATGGTGGCCAGGGGAGTGCACAGTGGCTTTCATTACAGCAATATCACTTCCCATATAAAGATGAGGAACACACATGTCTTTTTAGAGTTTTTAATAGTCAAACGCAGAGGTCTGGTTCATTTCAGCTCCTTCACTGCCAAACCTGGGGGAACAAAGAGACAGATGGTTGACATAACCATTGCCCTCAAACCTAGCCCACCGTCTTTTACAGGATCTCCTCTGAAAACTCAGGAGCTTGTGAGGATTAAATGAACTATAAACTAGGGCCAAGGAAGCAATTTTTGCGATCAGGCAGAATCTGAGAATCACAACCATGCCCCTGCACTGATCACAGCAAAGGCAAACACCTCCCACTAAGTGGCTCTCCTAGCCCTAGGGAGGACCTGAAGAAACTCGGCAACACGGGCCGTGCCCACCTCCACTGTCTCAGGCTTACTCACCAGGGGGCAGGGACTGTTTCAACTTCTCAGCCTTCTCTTTGTCTGTGATGACCAGGGTGTAAAGGTACCTGCTGCAGCGAACCTTGAACTTCACATTATCCTTGTTCTTCTTGATCTTGACAGCTGCCAAGGAGACCAGAATTAAGGATGGAGCTGTGGGCTTAGCAGTTAAGAGCACTGGCAGCCTTTTCAGGGGTTCTGAGTTCAATTCTCAGCAACTACATGGTGGCTCACAACCACCTGCAATGAGATCTGGCGCCCTCTTCTGGGCAGGCTTACATGCATCCATAATAAATAAAATGAGTGAATGAAAAAAGGATGGAGCTGCCAGAAAACCAGCAGAGAACCACACAGGTCAGACAGGCGAGCCAGCTCCTGCCTCCTCACTTTCGAGGCCCCTCCCCCGCTTTCTAACGCTGAATGTACCGAGAAGCTACATTTTCCTTCTTATACACTTAAGGGGTTTCTGTGCCTACTCAGTTTACTTGCACACAAAATCCACACTTGCACCTGAGCATCACAGAGCACTCTAAAATGACCTGTGACGACCTTTTAAAGGCATTGTCTGTAAAGGAAGGAAATGGGTGCTCTGCTGGGATTAATCACTTTCCGGCCTTCCACTTCTGGAAACCAATTTTCTGCGTACAAGGATGCTGTGGACACGCAGTGCCCTTTCAGGATGCTCTACTTCAGTGTGCAGGGAAGCTTCCCCTAAAGTTTCTGGTGGGACCTGGTTGTTTGGTGGCGCACGCCTTTAATCCCAGGACTGGGGAGTCAGAAGCAAGTGGATTTCTGTGAGTTTGGGGCCAGCCTGGTCTACAGAACAAGTTTCAAGACACGGAGGGCTTTCACAGTGAAGCCAGTGTCTGCAACCCCAACACATCTGTGATCACGTGTATGTGTGCGTATGTGTAAGGGCACAGGCATGATAGTGCAGGTGCCTGGAGCCCAAGAGAGGGCATCACTGCTGTGGGCAGTTGTGAACGCCTAGGATGCAGAGCATCAAGGGCCATTAACCTGTGTGGCTTTGTCTGCTAAGATGGGTTTCTCTGCCTAACAGCCTCTACTGGGACTTAAAAGCAGGCACCACTGCCTGCTCCGGGCTCTTAACTCTTAAGCCATCTCTCCAGCACCTGTCTCCTGGTCTCTACCCCATAATCTTGTGACTCTAGCTCAGACAAGGCCCAGGTGCAGCTCAGACCCCACTGTACAGATCTGGTTCTACTCCAACGTGGAGCCATTTCCAAGCCCGCAGCTACGTAGCAGCTGGACAGCCAGCTGCTTCCTAGAGCGAGCCGGCCACTCGGGTACCTGTCAAATCTCTGTCTCCAACTTCCCCACAAACCTCTCAGATACCACAAGCAACTCCAGGCTATAAGAGCAGTGAAGCACTAACTCTTCCAAGAGCAGCAGCACAAGATCGTGAGTATTCTCAACTCCACCTGTGGGAACTTCCTTGGGGACAGTTCACAGAAGCACGGGGCTCAGAGTCTGCTCAAGGCTATGAATGCTGACCTAGTCTGATCAAAGTCAGACACCAGAATGCAGCATTGTATGCTGGCGGTTCCCGTCCCCCTGAAAACTAAGTCAAATGGCATTTCTGGGCGTGACCATGTTCCTGAGGCAGGGTCTCATGTAGCCCTGAATTCACCGTGTGGCTGAGGTTACAGGGTGCTCCACCATGCCATTCACCCAGTGCTGGGAAATGAACCCAGGGCCTTAAGAGAGCTAGCTGGGTGGTCTCATACCCTCAGCTTCCAAGCATTTTTTTCTATTTTTGTTTTTCAAGACAGGGTTTCTCTGTATTGTTTTGGAGGCTGTCCTGGAATTCGCTCTGTAGACCAGGCTGGCCTTGAACTCAGAGATCCGCCTGAATCTGCCTCCCGAGTGCTGGGATTAAAGGTGTGCGCCACCAACGCCCGGCTCCAAGCATTATTTCAAGGCCAGCAATTCCACTTCTGGGTCCATACCAAAAGATAAGCAAACAAAGGCAGAGCCAGGCTGAGAGAAAGTGTGTAAGCAGCCCAATGCCATCAACTCAATGGGCTCCCCACAGTGGGGGCGCTGACCTGTAAAACCAGCTCTTGGGAGGCGGAGGCAGTTCAAGCTCGAGAAGCCAGTGAGAGCTGAGTGGGTAGAGGTACCGGCTGCCAGTGGGAGAACCAACCCTACCAAGTTGTCCCGACCTCCACAAGTGCACTCACACAGCAAACAAAAATGCAAACCATACACAACAAAGAAACCAAGTCACAGGTTAGGAGGCTGAGAAAGAATCACGAGGTCTGGGTTTTAGGTCACTCAGCGCCCACATGGCCTGTTTCTAAAAACAAAACCCGCCAGAAAGCAGGTTCCAAAAACACACCTACAAACAAAACTCACTTAATTCAATTCCCCAACCCGCTAAGGAACCAGATGGATCTCCTGAGATGCACGGGAAGCACCAGCAGGAGACTTCCTTCCCACCGGCGGTCACCAGGCTTCACAGAGCCAGATCAATGGCGACTGCTTGTTTGGACCAACGGGGAAAAACACCTAAGACCCCCGTGACCCATTCCAGGGCCCTTCCTGTCCAACCTAGCACTGAGATCCTTTCCGTTCACGGGCTGGGCCTTATCCTGAAGACGCATCCGAGAAGAAGGAAAAGGAAGCCACGCGGGGCTGGCGCACACAGCAGGCATTAAATACCCCTTTCCCCGTTACGTGAGGTTAAGGCCACTCCAGGTCCAACAGGCACGACCCCCCCCAAACATGCTTCCAACTGGGGACGACTCCCTCCCGGTGCGCTGAGACCATGGAAACCCGGCAGGGAGTACAAGCTACCCGGAACCTGTTTGTTCCACCCCCCCCCCGCTTTTCTGAGACAATGAACCCTGAATCCTTCCTGCTCTTTCATCTCCGCCTCCCAAAGCCCCGCGCGTGTGGCTCCCTGCTGGGGACACGGCCGAGGCTGGTCCCCGCCGCCGCCTGACGTCTTCCTGGCTCTGCTTCCTGGCTCACCCGCTTTGCCCTGTCTGGAAACCGGGGGGAAGCTCGCTATGCAGCCCGGGCTGGCCTCTAGCTCAACTCCCGGGCATCCTCCTGCCTCCACCACGCTGCCGTCGTGGACGCCCCCGCTGCCCCGTGCGCACCGACCCCCGGCGTCCCCAGCGCACGCCCCGCAGACGCTGCCGTCTCTCCGCCCCGAACCTTCTGGAAACCCCGGGCACTCACACTTGGCATCCTTCCGCCGGGCCGTGAGCAGGAAGTCCTTGATCTCCTCAATTTTCCGTGGCTGCAAACACAGGGTGGGGGAGATGGAAAATGAGCTCGGGGACACCGGCACCCCGGGAACCCCCAAGCCCGCCCGGATCCCCGCGCCCGGACTCACCATGGCGACGGGCGCTCGGCGCTGGGTCCGCACCTGTGGGCAAAGGGTTCTCCGCGTTCACGGGCTGCGACCCCGGCTCCCCCGCCCGCTCCGCCGCACGCCCCCGCTCCTCCCTCGCACGCTCCCCGCCGGCCCGAGCCCCCCGCGCTCTGCCCGGCCGCGGATGACGGCGGATTTAACTCCCTTCCCCACCTGCCCAGAGCACTCACAGCGGCGACGACCGAAGAGGACGGAAAAAGAACGAGACTTCCGCTTCCGCGCGGTTAAACCCGCCCAACAGGAACCTGGGTACAGTGTCTGCAGAGGGCCAAGAACCGCTTACGCGTTCACGCTTTCCGTTTCAGCTGCCCTGCCCTCTTCTGGTTCAGACTGGTAGTTCAGCTTCTTCTTCTTCTTTTTTTTTTTTTTTGGTTTTTCGAGACAGGGTTTCTCTGTGGCTTTGGAGGCTGTCCTGGATCTAGCTCTTGTAGACCAGGCTGGTCTCGAACTCACAGAGATCCGCCTGCCTCTGCCTCCGGAGTGCTGGGATTAAAGGCGTGTGCCACCAACGTTCGTCCTAAAAACTATTCTTTTTCTTCAAAGAATTATTTATTTATTTATTTATTTATTTATTTATTATGAATACAACGTCCTGCCTTCATGTATGTCTGCAGACCAGAAGAGGGAACCAGATCTCATTACGGATGGTTTTGAGCCACCATGTGGTTGCTGGGAATTGAACTCAGGGTCTCCTCTGGGAGAGCAGTCAGTGTTCTTAACCTCTGAGCCATCTCTCCAGTCCTCTTCTTCTTTTTTTTTTTTTTTGTTTACAGTTTATTTTTCTTTCCTGTGTTTCCGATTGCATGTCTATCTGTGCATCTCATGCGTGCAGTGTCCATGGAGGCCAGCAGAGGGCATCATCGGGTCCCTGGAACTGAAATAACAAACAGCTGTGCATTGCTACCTAGGGGAATCAAATCCAGGTGCTCTGGAAGGGCAGCCGGTGAGTGCTCTTAGGACTGTTTCTGAGACAGGGTCGGGTCACACACTTTCTTCATGATGGCAGAGATGACGACATTCCAAAGAGACGTTTATGTCTTCCCCCTTGTTGAGGCGAGGCAGAACTTCTGCGACCACCGGGGTAACCGGAAGCGACTCATTTATTGCATTTTGAGACCCATCGCCCAAGCCAAGAACTGAGCCTCCTGTGGCCAGATTCCCCAGCCCAGCTCCCGGCACCCGTCACTTCTTCAGGTGTGTAAGAAAGTGGCAGCTCTGGGAAGGCAGCGTTCCCTTTGCCCCGTGGGTCCTTCCCAGCGCCCTTCCCACCCGGCACTAACCTCCTCAGCACAGAGTTAGCTCTGATTCTTGCAATATAATAATGGCTTGGAGGGTAGGCTCTGGGAAACTTTGGCTATTGATTTCATTTTTATCCACTCTTATTTTATTTCCTACTCTCTACAAATGTCTCCATCTTATTATGTTTGTATCCCCCCAATTTAATAATCTCACAACAGAATGTAGTTGCCTTGTACTTATTACTGTGGAGCGGCCCCCTCAGGAGGAAGAGCATTTGGCCGTGAGTTTTACTCGGGACTAAACACCTCTGTCTCTCTCTCTCTTTCTCTCCTCCCTCCCTGTGGATGAAGGAATCTTGGTGGAGCCCCTGCCTCCTGGTGATACAGGGCAGAAAACCTAATTGCACAAGAATCATTTTCAAGAACAGAACTGTGTTTTGGAGCCAACAACCTGTCTGCCGCTAACCTCTTGGGAAGCTTCAGGTGAGATGCCTGAGGGCCAGTTGTAATCTGGCTGCTCAGTCCTGACCAAGGGCATTCCCACAATTCCCTGCCCGACTTTGCTGCCAGTGTCTCTCCTGGGCAGACGGGTGCCTTTCTGGTCTTCTCTGTCTCCCCAAGAAACCCGTCCTTTCAGTCAAACCCAGGGCCTCTTAACTGGCTGGTTGTTTCTGGTCTGCAGGCCTTTCTTTCCGCCCTCTCAGATATTACAGGGTCCCTTCATTGCCCGCTCGTCTTCTGCACAGGGCAGACCTTTAGTTCCGATGTCCCTCCCTTGTCACTCTGTATAGACCTTGTGGCAGTGGGGTGGATAAACTGTTTTTTAAAGACAGGCTCTCTCTCTATTGCACTGGCTGTCCTGGAACTTGCTCTGTAGACCAGGCTGGCCTTGAGCTCACAAGAGATTTGACTCTTCCTTCCGAGTGGAGTGTTGGGATTAAAAGCATGCACCACCACTGCCCAGTCTTTTTTGGGGGGGGAGGGGTGCAGGATATCTTGTGGCCCACGCCACAAGATATCTCTTTGAGATTCTGAACCATCCTGCCACTACATCCTACATACTACAGATGTAAGCCACCACGGACGATGTTGATGACGGAACCCAGGGCTTCCCATGCTAGGCAAGCATGCCACCAACAGAGATGTATCCTCGGTCCCCAGCAGGGCTAAGCACTTCTTGTATCCGTGCAGAGTTGCTTTGAGGGCAAGGACAGGGTAGAGCTTTCAGTGGGGAGCTCTTGGTTGTGATACTCATGTACAAGTAGGTGCTCAGTACTGACTGTGGAGGGTTCTCAAACTGGACGTGACATTTGCAAGCACTCCGTATAGGAAAGGGACGGCAAGAGGGAGGGACGAAGGGACAAGAAGCAAGCAGGAAGGGTTGGGTAAAAGCGGAGACTCGGGGACTCCACGCGGTGCCTAGCACACAGTAGGGACACAAAAGACGTTTGAAGTGACCAACTGCTGCCTCTGTTCCTTACTGCCGGACCAATCATATGGTGATGCTGTGGGCAGGAGGAGGGGCTGCGCCTCCCACTGGTAGCCATCCCGGGGAGACAGATGCCGGCCCACTTGAACCGTGTGATTTAAGAGAGCACAGAGCACAGAAACAAACAGGAAAACAAATTTGCTCAAGGACCAAGGTTTTCTCCGGATCCTCAGGGGAAACAATAACAAAATGTATGGCAGGGCGGAGCGTGGTGCCCAGGGGGAGGACTTCTCTGACTCCTTGGCGGAGGCTCAGGTGTGTGTGTGGGGGGGGGGGGGCGGGGTTGGCTTGGGACTCAGACAGGAAGGGGCTGGAGTCACTCCCTCCGTCAAGATCTGTGCCTGTAGCTTCCCCGCGATTTTCATAATCTATTTATTTATTTTTATTTTGTGTGCATTGGTGTTTTGTCTGTATGAGGGCAGTGGATCCCAGAGTTACAGACAGTTGTGGCTGCCATGTGGGTGCTGGGAATTGAACCCAGGTCCTCTTAACCACTGAGCCATGCCTCCAGCGCCCCCCCTCCCCGCGATTTTCAAACACGTGAGCCGCTAATGGGGGATCCTGCGGGAGAGGAGGGCTCAGACTTGAGAGCTGGCCAGAGTGGGGTCCAATTCGCCTGTCAGGGCCAGTCTGTCTGTGAAGCCTGGAGGGTGGGCCAGAGTCCCAGGCTGGAAGCTGAGGCACCATGGCGAGCACCATGGCGAGCCAGAAGCACGGGTAGAAAGACCTGGGAAGGGCTCTCAGACAGGGCTGTGGAGGTGCTGGAGCCGGTGTGAGTCGAGACCGGGGAGTATTTTCTGGTCTTTCACCCGTCTTGCGTTCATCTGCCTGCTGGACTGGGGCCTGGCCCTCGAAGCGTCTGCTGCAGGGCAAAGCAGGGACCCAGAGTCACCCTGCCCCCGTGGGGCCCCTGAAGACGCACACATTTGGATTTCTCTTGTCGTCGGTGTTCAGAGGCACCCGAGGGGGGCAGAGACCTGACACCCCACTCAGATAGGCAGAGAGGAAGTGTCGAATACAGTGTGACCTGAAGGAGCTGAGATTTGGCACCTGTCTGGGACGAGCGACGGGTTCCCAGCCCGATGGACAGAGGGAATATAGCCTACAGTCGGGAGAAACTGGAGTTCCCTGGGAATACTGGGAAATTCTGTGTGGTCAAAGCAGAACTGGTCCTCCCGATTCCCAGCTGTGCTACAATGATCTCCTGGCTTCCAGTCTCTAAGGCTATGTGTATGGTGGGGAGAGCCAAGGTCGCCAGCCATTGGGGCTCCCTCCCTTGCTGTGTGGGCTCTGGGCGCAGTGTCCATTCGACACCACACGGGGGCGCGGAGTCTGCGGCTGGAGACTGGCAAGGAGATCAGCCTTGCGGCTCGAAACCTAAATCTCAGGTTTATAAATTGTGGATGCGATTGGTGTAGTATTTCATACCTAGAGGAGTGCTTTCTTAGTTCCCGTCACACTTAGTCTCCAGGAAGACCCCAGGAGGCCCATGCCTTTGGCTGCCAGCATAGCTGGCCTTTAAGCCTGTCCTGTGGGAGCTGTCCATAAACCTCCCAGATGCTCAGCGCCAGTGAGAGCTTGGGTTCTCCATGAGTTTGCCGGCTACCTGGAAGAGCGAATGGGGATCGGAAGGGAGAGGAGGGGAGGGGAGGGGGGCCTGTATTTTTAGGGATCTAAGATGGGAAACCTAAACAGGGTACTGAGTACCTCCCTTTCCATCCCTCACGGGGTCTTCAAGGCTCACAGGTGGCCATGGGACGCAGGCAAGCTCAGCCAGCTGTTGAGCCAAGTGCCCGAAAACAAGGTTAGTGGGATGCAGTGATGCCTTGAGCCCAGCACTACTTGGATATTTATTATTATTATTATTATTATTATTATTATTATTATTATTTTGGGATAGAACCTCATGTAGCCCTGACTGTACTCAAACTTACTATGTAGCACAGGGTAACCTTGAAATTCTCATCCTGTGTCTTCCACGTCCTGAGTACTGGGATTACAGACAAACCACACCACACGGAGTTTATGGGTAAGGGGCTTCATGCATGCTAGGCAAGCCGCGTCCTAGGCCTGGAGCTCAGCATGACTGATGGCTGTTACCAGACCAGATCTGTGTCTCTGGGGCTGGGGGTGAGGCTGTTTGCAATGTTGGGGGGATTTTAGCAGCACCCTTGTTTGCACCCAGTTGATGTTGGATCTCCACAATCCTGACGGATAAAAATGCCCGCACACGCTGCCAGATGTTCCTGCAGGGCCGAATCTGGCTGGCTGGAAGTCTCCAGGGCTGGCAGGACAAAGCCAAGGGAATATTCTTTATTTTCAAGAATACTCTATTCTGGACCACCCCCCTTTTGTTACTAGGGCTGGAACCCAGAGCCTTGTAAGTGCTGGGCTGACACTCTGCTAGTGAGCTCCACTGGTGACACCCAAGTCCCTTGGCCAGGGACTTATTTATTTCTGAGCCCAGACCCCCGTTGTTGTTTTGCTTTGTATTTGACTCAGGGTCTGGTTAAGTAGCCCTGACTCAACCTGGTACTTGCTATGCACTTCAAGCTGATTTTCAGACTTCCAGCAATCCTCCTGCCTCAGCATGTTGGGTGCTGGGATAACCACCATGCCTGACTTCAGGCCAGGTCTTTGCACTCTGCTGTAATACCCTCTTCTTCTTCTTCTTCTTCTTCTTCTTCTTCTTCTTCTTCTTCTTCTTCTTCTTCTTCTTCTTCTTCTTCTTCTTCTTCTTCTCCTCCTCCTCCTCCTCCTCCTCCTCCTCCTCCTCCTCCTCCTCCTCCCTCCTCCTCCTCCTCCTCCTCCTCCTCCTCCTCCCTCCTCCTCCTCCTCCTCCTCCTCCTCCTCCTCCTTCTTGTTGAGACAGGGTTCTCTGTGTAACATCCCTGGCAGTCCTGGAACTTACTTTGTAGACCAGACTGGCCTTGAACTCATAGAGATCTGCCTGCCTCTGCCTCCAGAGTGCTGGAATTAAAGGCGTGCGCCACCACCATGCCAGGCCTACTGCCCTTTCTTTTTTTTTTTTTTGGTTTTTCGAGACAGGGTTTCTCTGTGGCTTTGGAGGCTGTCCTGGAACTCGCTCTGTAGACCAGGCTGTCCTCGAACTCACAGAGATCCGCCTGCCTCTGCCTCCCGAGTGCTGGGATTAAAGGCGTGCGCCACCAACGCCCGGCTTGCTGCCCTTTCTTATATTTACATATAGCCTAGGATATCAGAGAGTCGCTGCACTGAATTAGGCCTCCACCCTGGGCCTGCATCACAGCTACTCTCAGCCCAGAGCGTGGCTAGAGTGACTTTTCCACCAGGAAGTCTGTGTTTGGATGGGACAGGTAGATGCGAGGAGGCGCTGTGCACCAAATCCACGGTGAAGGCGCCCTAGAGAGAGCAAACGTTCCCCCAAGCCAAGCTCATTTTCCAGCTACCTGCTGTTGGCCAGGTCTCATGTCCCTCACCTCCCTGCATCTGTGTGTCTCCGCCTTTGTTCCCGCTCCAGGGAACCCAATGACTAGCAGGGAGAGCCGAGATGAACCAGGAGACCCATGAGAGAAGTGCCTCATACCCTATGGGCCGGAAGGGGGCCGTGGGATGAATCATCCTGGCTGGGGATGGTTTAGACCGGGGACGGTCGCGTTGTCCTGAGGATCCATCCAGCTCCTTCCTTCCAGAATGTACCAGCTGCCGTGCACAGACATTCCAGGGTGCAAAAGCAAAGGAGCGATCTGTTTGGGTGGCATTCATCCAGATGGTAGGAGGACAGTGCTCCTGCAGACAGGAGTCCAGGTTCACACCGGAGTTTGGCTAATCAGTCTCCAGAAACCGGTGCCTATGGGTTCTTTCAAGGAGGGTTGCAAACACCTGCTCTGAGCCCGGCTACTGCGGGCACCTGTGTGTTAAGTGATATCTTGCAGTGGCCTTGTTTCTGAGCAGCCAAGAGATCCTAGGGACACTGGCCTATGCAGGCCGGCAGGTGACGCTGTGACTGTTCACA